AATGGGAGAGAAGTTAGTGTCGTTGTAAAACATTGTCTTAAAATTGAAGAATTGAAGCTTATTATTAAAAGTGTTTATCTTTCCTCTTGGGAAAACAGTTTGTGGTCATATAGAAATCATGATTTTTATATGAGAAATGTATTAAGCGTCGCTGGTGAGATGGAATACGAAACAAACTAATTATTGTTTATTCATATTACTATATGGTGATAATAATTTATAAACCAACGAGAAGGTTAAGACATTTAAATTAAACCTGAAACCCAAACCAGCCGACCAGCAACCCCTAATCTGAAAAAGCTACTTAAAGAAATATTACCTTAAAACATGGTAGAAAAAAGTGATAGTAACATGTTTGAGAAATAATTGATGGTTGAGAATTTGGCTAACTTACCTGTTGATGTATTAAAAGGTATCATTTCATATAAATTGTGTGAACCTGAGTACTTGAAAACAAAACATAATCATATTAAGACATTAAAAAGAATACAACAACTATATTAAATAAACAGAACAGAAACTCGTCACCCGTCTTCGGTGACGGTTCTTGGCGCCCCCGCCCCTCCTTAGTGCCGGCCCACGCCACCCCCTAACTGTGCTTGTGCCCTAGTGCCCGGGACTCCCCCTTAAGCACGTGTTTCACCGCTTGGGCAGACGCAAAAAGGTGCGTGAGTGTCGAACTGTTGTAGGTGGTGGTGATATAGGGAGACACGTAGTTTTAAGCATTAAAGCATCGAAGATATAGTTTTTTTATAAACATGAAAGTTTTTATTTTTTTTTGAAAGCTTAGATTGCTAGTTAGATGGTATTGCAGGCGATGACCCGATCAACTTGAAAGTGTTTTTTTGTTTCTTTCCTTTTCCGCACGCCTTTTTCCGTCCAGCGGCAAATAGGCCCAGGGAACGCTCAACTCCCCCCCACCCGAAACGGCCGCCGAGAAAGGCGAACGAAGCGCGCGCCGACGTGGCGACTAGCCGCGCAAAGCCAGAAGGCTGGGCCCGGACGGGCCAGCCAAAGCAAGGACATCGGCGAGGTCGGGCTCGCCTTGCGCAGCCGGCCGCGCGCGGGAAAGCCAACGCCCTCCGGAAGCGAGGGGGGCCAACAGTCCGCTGCGCGGGCACGCTGCCGCATGGTCGCCCAAGACATCGAGCGCGGCGCCACACCCCGGGAACCCATCGCCTCCGCAATACCGGTGCGTGAGGGGCGAGGCGCAGGCGCCTGCGCAAGGCGACGTGCATGTGCGCCGCGGGGGCAGCGTGGTGCCCGGGTCAGTCGGCACAGCCGCAAGCCAAGCCCCCGCATGCGGGCCAGACTGCGAGCGGAGACAAGCGCTCTCGCTCGGCCGCATGTGTGGCAAAAGCTCGGTCTCGCGACAAAGGGAGTTGAGAGCGCGAGACGCGAGAAGCTGCCAACCAGGCGGCCAATCGCCTGGTTCACTGTCATCCGCTACAGCGGGAGGGGCCGCGTGCGCAAGGATGTCCTGCCAGGACGGACGCTCGGGCCAGTGGCGCCGGAGCGGCCGCCTCGCGAAGGCAAGGGGCGGCAGCTTCGTCGTCTACGAGGAGCTCCCGCACACATCGCTCCGCCGCATCAGGGCGACGCTGGAGCATGACCGGCAAGGAATCGGCCCAGGCCGCCCAGCAGGCGGCAGGCGCAGCGCGTGTGGCACACAAGAAACCAAGGCCGCCCTCGCGCGCTGGAAGAAAAGCAGGGCGGCGGGCATCCGGCCAAACGGCGCCGCGCTCGCCGAGGAGCGCTTGCAGTGTGCCCCAGACCGCATGGTCATGTGCTTCCGCATATGCCGCCGATTGGGAAGGCGGCACGGTGCGGAGGAAGTGTTGCGCCCGAGGCGTGGCGCAAAAGAGGAGCAGCAGCCAGGCACACTGCAAGTCAAGCAGCTGCGGCAGCTCCGCCAGCAAGCCCTGCTCCTGCTCCAGGCGCTGCAAAGAAAATAGACGCTAAACGCAAAAAGGCACGCCTGCACGGGGCGGCCAACATTCAAAAGCGTCGGAGCGTGCGCGAGGAAAATACAGAGAGAAATGCATAGCGGCGTGCCCAACAATTTACCGCGAAATGCATAGAGGCACGCACGGAGTAGACAGTGAAGTGCATAGAGGCATGCACGGAGTAGACAATGAAATGCATAGAGGCATGCGGAACGCAAGTACAACGTGAAACACATAGATGCGTGCACTGGGAAAGAAAAACAACGAAACATTTCTAGCACGCCTCTTTCCATCGCTTGGCTTTGCCCCCCTCCAGGAAAAACCTTTGGGATGCCCCCGGGCACAAGTGGTTGTGGCGGCTGTTTTTTCGGAGGCCGGCTCCTCACGTGCACAAAGCTGGCTTATAGCCCGGCGGCCCCCGGCCCAAGATTCCGTCACCGAGGCAGACGGCTGCCAGCAAGCGGCGTGCCAGTGGAGCAGCGGCCCGCCCTGCCAGCAAGGAGCGCGAAGGAGAGGGACCGAGCAAGGAGGAGGATGAAGCATGCAGCCTCCTCACTCCAACGGCCGCCGACCTCGAGCGCGAGGACGACCAACCGGCAACGGGTGGACCACAACACCTCGGCATATATAGAGGTATGCACAGAGTAGACAGTGCAATGCATAGTTGATAGAAATGGACCGATTCAGCTGCGTGTCATGGAGCCAGCCGTCTCCCAGTATTTCTGAAAGGATAGTGTGAGAGAAATGGAATATGATTAGTGAACGCATAGCATACAGTATGAAGGAAAACTATTTGGAGAGCCATCCCATTCGCAACTCTCACTCATATCTTTCCCTTTCGCGTTTCCTAGAATTTATATTGGCTGAAAAACGGTTCGGAAAGGAAAGATATGTGTGCCACCATTCTGGCACTTTGAGGTGGCTGGTAAAAAGGAAGTGTTCAGAGATGACTGCCCCCCTTCCTCTCACCCAAGCCTATCTCTCATCAGCAATCTCTCTCTTCTTGGCTGGTAAGGGTTGGGCCATAGAGAAACAAGATGAGGAACGAGAATGGATTGGCGCACCTCCAGACGTAGGAATGGAGAGGTGAGAAGAATGGAAGGAAAGGGATGTAGGAAGGTGAAATGAGGCGAGGCAATTCATTTTTTAACTAATCCTTGCCCACCTTCCTCTTCTCACCCATTGTTATCTCATCCTTATTTTCGTATTTTTGTATTGTTGGACGAGATATAAGTGAATCATGAGCCAGCCAATGGATTCATTATGAGGGCTGGCATGGGGTGATGGATGGGCGAGCTTTAGAAAGAGATGTAACTCGCTCGTGAGATGAAGAAGATAGAGGGATGAATGAGAGCGGCGCCGAATAGTAAAGATATTTGGGTTCTTATGGCCACTCCCTCTCTCTTCATCCTCTATCTCATCCTCGCCGCTCACGACCAGCGGATGAATGAGGCTGTAGAGAGAAAAGGTGAAGAGATTCCTTCCTTTCCTATCCCACCTATCAACCCATCCAAATATTTCATGGGTGACGGTGGGAAGGAATGAGAGAACGCATCTCCTTTACAATTATGTTATCATCTTATGCCTTCGTGGCCGTGATTTCGACAACTGCGCTGTGTACTCGCAAGTGAGCCCCAAAGCTTCATCTCCCATCTCTTGGCGCCCTGTCTGTGTCTTGGTGGCGCTGTTCCCCGCTCAGCTCCGCTGGGGAAGGCGCTAAAGGTGTTCGGCTTAAGTGCTTGCCCCCTGACCACTGGCCATCACAGTGTGCTGCACAGAAGGGCATTCAAGCCCAGGAAGGACAGCCTGTCCTGAAACGGGAGCGAATTAGGTGTATTCTGAGAAGTCAAAAGCTTGCATACTTGAACTTCTCTGTATACCTTGGTGTCGCCTTTGTCCAGCGCCGGCGCGCCGGATCATGGTGCTGCGGGATCCGTGCTCCGCCAGCGCAAGTGGGGCCAGCGTCGATTGCCTCCTCAGCCCGCCCAGCATGGCGCTCTCGGCACGCCGCGTGACGCCGAGCAGGCCACGCCGAGCAGGCAGTGCCGTGGCATTCGTCGACCCAGGATACGAGCTTCATTGCGCCGCCCAAGGATCCGAGGGAAGCGCGGCGATCCGAGCAAACCGCAGTCGCTGCCCTTACAGCGTTTTGGACGCGCGATGGCCACCTGCTTTTTTGCCTGTTGCAGCGCAGCTTGGGGTCCTCTGTGACAGCCACCGCCTGCTCGGGCTGGCTCGAGGAGTCTTTGCTGCTGCTTTCCCCGTTGCAACCATGTGTTGTGCCCGTTACGCCCCCCCTGGCTCGTTTAAGACGTCCTAACCCAAGCACTGTTTTTACAATTCTTCACTGGGTTTGCCCCCGAGCTACACAGAAGAAACACACACACACACCAAAAGGACCAGATGCAACCCCAACGAGAAACATCAGAAGAACAAAAGGGGGGAATGGGACCCAGCAGCTCCTTCCCGCGCGCCCGACCAAACAAAGGCCGGAAGAGAAACAACATGATTCAGCGACAGATCCCAATAGTTCCCCGGACTATGCCAAACCATGGAGGATGCCACGCGAGCCATCAGCGTTCTGCACGACTTCAACAGACTGGTAGTTGATTACATCATGCGCCCATCAAATTCACAACCTCGTAAGTGAAAGACAAGCATTGTGGTAGTGCGTCGTGATGTTTGCAACAACTTTGCCATGCTGCGATTCTACTGCAGGAAAACACGGCAAACCATCAAGCCGAGTTGCTCATTAATCATTATGCCGCTGCCGGCAGTTCGTGGCGTGGCGGAAGCAGTCTTGCTCATGGTCGCAACGCGGCGACACTGAACGCGAAACCCGGTGGCCGGTGGCCGGTGGCCGGTGTGATTTGCTTTGCGTCAAGGAGGAGCGGCGCAAATGCTGGAAAAAACATCGCCCGTCGTGTTGAAGGACTTTGCACGGCTAAACCCTCGCTTCAATGGCGCCCTTCGGTCGCAAAGCGTTTGAGCATGCTGCATGCAACTGCCGAAACTAAAGCCTCTTTCTGTTGCGCGCAAGCTGTTCTGGTCGGCTCACTGTGCCGTGTGATTCACCCGGAGGGCCTGAGGGCATGGCCTGTTGGTGGTGACTGTGTCAAAGCCCCCCCCATCTTGCCAAGCTGAGGCTACTGCCTTTGTATCCTCCTGCACGTCGAGTCGATGTGCCTTCAACCTGCACGCTGGTTTCAACATGCATTGCTTCTGCCCAAACTCTTCAATGCACTTTCTTTACTCTCACTCAAGCATGGGAAACAACGTGAAAGCCGGAATGAGAAGGGAGGGCTTGCAGTCTTGGGACATGCTGTCCATGAGTCTCCCAGGCAAAATCGCCGCACGAAGCAAAGCATCGAAAATTTGCCAAAGGTGCCATTAGCCCTGGAGTCAAGAGAGCAACATGTCTTTCCTGGCATCCCTTCCCAAAACGCGAAAGGACCCAACGCTCTCGACTCCCCACCCAACTCACCCCGATTTCAACGACCGAGGCACTTTGTCAGGACCATCTTGGTCGGGGCCACCACAAACTTCACCTGTATGAGCTGGACTGAAGAACAAGCGGCGGTATGTGACGGTCAGAGCTGACATGAGCCATGGTCAAAATTACATCCTTGAGGACATGGGAAGTTGTGAGGTTTGATGTCCCGCACAAATGACTGCAGCACTTGTTGACCAAACCTCAGATGTTCCTGCCGAAGTTGAATGAGCCCTTACTGCGGCGCCTGAACAGCCTGCGACATGGTCAAATCTGCTTGTCCCATTGTGTTTTCAGCCACTCAAGCCAAAGGGCACCTGCGCCAAGGTAACGCCTAAGAACGATATTGAACACCGGCAATCTCATGGGTCCAATGGACCTGAGTGGCAGGATATGGTCGTTTCTCTAGAAAGGCATCAGCATTCTTCTTTTGGCCTTGCTGAGTTGCGACATCCGATCTTCCAGCTTGCCCGAAATCAAGGGCTCTGCTCCTCCTTGTTTGACTGGACGTTTGCTTTCAAGCTGCCTCAACCTTTGCATCAGGAACACACAAATACAATGAACGTGATGCATTCTGGTCCTTTTCCTTTGAACCAACCCAAAATATCCTGCAAACCACACGCCCCGGCTTCGGCTGGCCCCCACCTGCCGATCCCCACCCTCGGGCGGGATGCCCAGAAGCACGGTCTGGCGAGCACCATCGGAGCACACGCTGTCCCAGGCTTTTGTGAGAGGTTTGGCGAGACCGCTGTCTCCATAGGTGTCCTTTTAGGGGAAATAGATGGGGTAGATGATTAAACCACCAGGTAAACCAGGGCCATCTATTTTTCGACCAAGCCAACCAAAAAGGACACCTATGGTCGTCTCATGCCCCCAACTTGCCAACTTGACTACCGTCGATTGTGACTGAACGCCCATGAGCGGCCGGGGATGAGGCTGACAGCACTTCAACCTGGCTGCTACCTAGGGATCAAAAGCTTTGCGACTGGCAATGAGCTGAAACAAAAAGACATTCAGCATCCCAGCGAGGGGTTCAGCTCTCCAAAGCTGCCTCCTGTTTAGGGCTTGGCTCAGAATTCAGAGGCCAACCGCTGGCACTCTCCCCGACAAACCGCTGTCTCATTGCGCGCCTTGCCCTCACCAATCTCGCTGGCTTGCTGGAAGCCTGGCGGCCGGGCCAAAGCTTCGCCTTCTGAATGGATTTCTAAACCTGGTGCATGGCTTTGTTGGTTCTTTTTTTGGTGGTGGCGGGGGTCCCCACAAAAGATTCCCTTGAGACACGCCCGCCCAACGAAAAGGCGTTTTCGCCCGTCGTACTGCTTCTGAGACCCTGCTGTTGACAATCCAGGTGACTCATGCACCCCTGTTTGCCCTGCGGTGGGAGCCCAAATACGCGGGGCCTCCACGATGCAGCCCCCCACTAGCAACTTCTTTTACATTGGAGGCCTGTCCTCTGTCCAACCATCCCTATGCTCGAGAAAGGTCTACAAACCAAAAGTGGCCCCTTAGCAGGCGCAGACAAACGCTCAGACCGAGTCCCTTGCCCCCACGATTGCTCCAGAAATAGCTCTGTCGGATGTCATAGACATCTGCCTCGTTTCCCACGCGTGCGAAGACACTGCTCGCTCCGGCTCGGAACACCAAGGCATCCCCCAAAAAAAAGGCATGCAAGTGCAGGAACAAGAGGCTTGGGACTCCCTTGATCCTCACAAGCTCGTGCTCCAAGTTTCGCACGTCTCCTTCTCGCGGTGCGAAAAGGCCTGGTTGGTTGGCGCAATATGTCCGTGGCACAACCAAACACACACCTCAGCCCATCAAGTTGCTCAAGAAAAACCCAAAACGGCAACCAAAACACTTTAAAAAGTCATCTGGCGGTGGGTCAAAATCCCGTACCCTTGAACATCAAAATAGGTGGCAAACGAATATTCATGCACCCGAAAATGGAGCCATAGGTTATGCCCTATGGCCATCTGGGACTCCGGCTGAAGCAGGTCGTCCTCGGATCCGGCGATGACCTGCCAGGCCGAACGAGCACTTGACACACTGGAGTTCAGCCGGGCTCGCCTGGCGAGCACTCTCTGACCCAAGCACTTGCTGGTCACGTGCTGGGCGCTGATGGAAAAACGGGGAAAGGGATCCCCCAAGATGCCCTTGCGCAAGTGTTCTCCCAGCGAATCTCTGCCACTCCAGCAGAACCATGTTTCGGGCATGGGCATCCTAGCATCCATCAAAAGCAAACTGTAAATGCGAAAAGAGCTTTTGGATATCTGCTTGTCTCTTGACAAAGATTGTCTGTACTTTCTGACAAAGATTGTCGGTGCCTTTCCGGGGAGAATCATACACTGGATGCGAGGAACAGCTGGGTGAATGCAATGCAAACGGAGGAAACACCACCCGCATCGCGCCACCAGAGCGCGTTGCGATCCCGCGCGCATCCCGCGCATCCCGCGCCTCAGCAGGATGTCCTTTGGCAGCACCGCACGGCCCCGGGGCACTTCGTCGAAGGCCACCTGGACGTACCTTCGACGAGTCCGGGCGCTTCGGCTCGCCACGAATGGCGCCACGCTGGGCAGTTCGTCTCGACCACTCGAAGACTCGGACGCCCAGGCGCCTGTTCTCCCAGATGTTCATGTCGGGAACCACTTGCATGACCTCGGTGCAAGTGGCCGGCCGAGAGGAACCCGCGACTGGAGCGCCAATTCAGAAAAAGCTTACACTGAGCACACGACCCGTTTGGGTCTCAAGTGTGGCTTTGTAGGGTGCACCGGCACCTGCGCAGTGCACGGTGAATTGTGGCCAGGCATTCCACGAGCAGTATTTTCCGCTGGGCAAAGCAGGCATCTCGAAATGGCGGATGACTCATTTGCGCGCTTAAATGTCAAAGCAACATTATGATAAGCCAACCATCTAAAAATTCCCCGAGTTGACATTCAGATCGGACCCTCAAGTCACGCCTCCTTCGCAGCCTGGAAGGTCTTGCCAATCTTTTGGGCAAGCTCCTGGCAAGTCATGAAAGAAGGATAAACAACAACTCCCCAAAACTCCCCAAGACTCCCCACGGGCCTCCTTGCTTTTGAAACCAGGAGGATTGCGGAAGATCTTCTTCTCCGCCGCGTTTCGTCCTGGCGTTTCACGCAACGCAAATCAAGCCTTCGGTGGCTGGATCCTGCAGGAAGGTCAGCAAAAAAAAACTGCTGACCTTGAAGCCCGAAAATTCCCCCGCCCCCCCCCCCCCCCCCCAGCGCCCCCCAGGCCCTCCCCAAATAGGGTGTCATATTTACGTTCTAGACACATATTTGTCAGTCGCTCAGTGCATTCGCTCCAAGAATGCGGAACTCACTCGTCCTGTAGTGTAGCGCTGCCTCTCTGTGAACACGTCCTGAGCGCAATCGCTACTCAATCAGCAGAGCTCGGAGAGAAAATCCCGCTGCCATGGAGCCGAGCCAGTGGTGTGTTCGTGAAGTCAGCAACTCAAAGGCTGAGTCATTTCTCCCACACATATCTGTTGGTGAATTGCTTGATTGCTTGTGTGTTGCTATTTATCTATTGATTGACGTGAGCACTTAGCTTGCTTGATTCATTTATTTCTTCCTTATTCATTTAGGTGTGTATATATATATATACAGGTCAACGTACACATCATAAGAGAGAGAAAGAGAGAGATCGAGAGATCGAGAGAGATGTCAGCCATTTAGAAACACCCTCTGGCACATGTACTTCAAGCACCATCGTTTTTGTCGGATCCGAGCAGCGTTGGTGATGAGCTGCGTCATCTGGAGGCCGAACGCCTGGCACGTGCCACTTGGTGCATATGATCGGACGCTCAATGCTAAAAGCTTAAGCAACCTCCTGGATGTTTTTTGAGGTACCCTTTTTGGGGTTAGTACAAAAAACAGGAAGCCAAAAGGAAAACCGCCACTTTGGGGCTCCCTGAACACACACACACACACACACACACGCGCGCGCGCACACACACACACACACACACACGCACTTAGATACACACTCTCTGCCTTGCGGTCTCCAGATATGGAAATGCTTGCTCTGCAACAAAAAACAATTGCTTTGCGGATGCGAAGTGCCTGCCGGTGGTATGCCTCCGTCTGCTCAGTGAGCTTGGCACGCCTCAAAGGCGGGCGCCCGAGTAGACGTGCGACAAACGAAGCCGAAATGTGACCCTTTGGTCCTTCCTTCAATGTCCTTTGGGCAAACTCACCTGAACCCAATACTTTGAGCCCCTTAACCTTCCAGGACTAACTGGTTTGCGAAGATTTCCAGGCATCTTGCTTCCCCTTCCGGCACCAAACGGCACCCAACTTCGAAGCATGGGATCCATGGCCAGAGGTCGAGTTCGAATCTTGGCGCGGTGCTTCTTGGCCTTCTCCCTCTCTTCAGCTGGAAGCTGGCAGTCACAACGGCCAGTGAGAGCAGCAGGGCCGGGGAAAATGACTACCCGGACTTCCACGTTTTTGCACGAGTTCGGAGATCACCGGAAAATCGTGTTCACAAAGGGATGTACAAAGAGATGCGGACGCGGAAAGGCTCCTTTGCAAACGGACCCAAACCCCCCAAGCGCGGAAGCGTCACGTCATCGTCCTTCAGCAGCTGCCCGTCAATGGGCGGGGCTGGCGGAGCCATAGAGCCTCGGGCAACACGTCACATCCGAAAGAATCCGCGCTCGACATGGTACCGGCCATCAGCTCCGAGGCAACAAAACGTAGCTGAGGTAGGCGCTGGGATCGGCAGCCTGCTTGACAAGCGTGCCAGCTCAAAAAACACAGAAGCTTGACGCCTGAAGAATTCAGGGCTTGAGTTTGGGGCTCTGGGATGAACCATCCCTTGCTTTGAGCCTTGTACGTTTTATAGGATGGCCCAAACTCTGAGCCCCTCACCCAATCTGCAATGCCCTGTGTGCCAGTGACCAGTGACAAACCCACGTGTCCAATTTGATGAGGCCTCCCCATACACCTCGTCGGAATCGATTTCCACCCGCGACCTCAGTAGAGTTACATTGAGTATCTGCTCATGTTTGAGCTCAGACCTTGATTGACTAGACCCCGCTGGCAGAGGGAGAGATATGTGGCAGAGTGCTAAGCAACAATGCCTAACCTCAGACATTGATGGCTCAGCCTCATTCAAAAGGCCCAAACGATTTGCAAAATTTGGGGCATGCTGAGTCAGGAGCAGCAGTCCCTGGTTGGAGAACAGGAACGGCCTCCATAGCACGAGTCATGGTCCAACGGCTCCAGGCCGCAACATCCAAAACAAGTCGGGGCTCTTTGGGTAAGTTTGCGCGAGCTCTGCACCGCGCCTGAGCTTCAGCTCCAGCGAGTTTGGCTGATATGCGCACAGCCTTCGCGCGAGGCAGGCGCGCGGGGCCAAATCGCCTCGCCCGAGGCTTGACTCTACCTCCCTGCCGAGACCCCGAGCCTCAAACCCAGTCTGCGATCAGATCGACTGAGGCGTGGCGACCCAACTGGGCCAAGCCGCTCGTCCAAGTTCGGGAGCGCGGAGACGACCTTCGGCACCTGCGGGAGCGGGAGCTCGTTCTTGTACTGGCAGTCCTCAGCAGGAGAACAGCCGCCCCCCAACAAAACCAGTTGTCCGGTTTGGGCACGCGAACTTCATGTGGCCCCTAGTGACACGTTGGTGTGAGTCCTGCAAACAGCCGGTAGGTTGCTTTTGACATCGACAAATGTGCGGTTTGCCAAGTCTCCAAACGGCTTTTTGCTTCCTACATTGGGTTGGTTCCAATGGTGTTTGTTGTCCATACGAATCCTCTTAGAATCGCGGTCCCTCACGTGCGTTTCTGGTCTGATTTTCAGGGTGTATAACGGCAAAGGGCTGGAAACCAACTGTTGGTTGCATGTTTGGAGCGAGACAATCTGCATCGTCCCTGCCTTTGTTTTGGGTTCCTTCTCATGCCTCTGTCGATTCCACTTCAATTTGCATTTGGATGATTTGAGCTGCCTTTGGGTGCTTGGTGCCAACCCCTATCTTGTGGGGTTGTCTCTCGTCTGATATATAGGCCCGCCTCACACGTCCCAGATGGAGCACCCGCCCCAGATAATCCAGGCGAACCAGTTCGAGACGCCCCATGTTTGAACGCACGCCTTAGCCAAATTTATATCCCAAAGGTGTGCTGCGAATCGACTTGTGAACCTGGGGTCCGTGCGACAAAGAACGAACCCGCAGCGTCCTCCGCATCTTTCTGCGCCTTCCACTCTGGAGTCGGGCAGTCAGAATCCCCTGTGTAGGGAAAAACATGTACACTCCAAGTGTTGTGGCAATATGTACCTCAACAAGCAAACCTATGCTGGCCGCCAAGATCATATCTGCTTCAGACTAACCTGCCCTTGCAGCACACTGCATGTGATGATGGCATGTGTTCCTGTCCCCCCCCCCCCCCCGCTGTGTGTACGAAGGTTCGATGTACAACGCAAACCTCACGGATGCGACCCGATCCGGGGCCACTGGTCGCCACTTTTGCAGCGAACAAGCCTCTCCACCGAGCAACTCAAAGTTGCTCTGTGTGATGCAACTTCCTCCCCCCTGGAAATAAGCAAGAGAAAGGCAAGTTCAGCAGAGCTGCTCCAGCCTTTTATGCGGACAAGCGCATCACCAGCGTTGCAATGCACAGCAGTACATGTTATGACATGGCATGAGACACTTCATTCAACGCAACAAAAAAACTCATCACATCAGGCGCTACAATGTATCTTGCGCGGCACAGTGCATGACATTGCACCCTGGAGGCACATCACAGTGCAGTGACTGACATTGCACCTTTCACGGTGCCTTACATCAGAGTAACATCGCACCCATCACATCAGAGTACAGCCCAGTCCAATACATTAGCGTTAACATCATATCAACATTACGTTGAGATTGCATGAACATTACAATCATGTTACATTGCACATCACGGCAAATTAACATGCAAACACACCACAAACGCGGTACACTTGTCAGTCTCATCCACACAAATCTGACAGGCTCGCTGGCGCCTCGCCGCGCTTGCGCTTCAGGTCGCCTCATGGCGGGGGCAAGCCGATTTGACAGAAGGCATTGGCCGACCCAGGCGACCGCAGAGTTTGTTGCTGTTCTACAAAGTAGAGGTTGGAGGGCACCGCATTCTTGAGCCATGGCCTAGATGTCTGGTACAGTACATGTGCCATGCTCAAAATTTATTTTGTGGGTCCCAATCATACTTCCCTTAGCAGGAACTTTGCACTTGTCCACAGCCTTTTGAAAGGTCAGGTTGATGACCAGCTTTTGTGGAATCCTGATTGGATGTTCAAGGGAAACCAGAAAGGAAGTTTATCCATGAGTAAGCTTGTCTCTAGGGCAGGCCCGAGCGTAGCCGAGATGGGCTGAGGAGCAATGTTCCCTTTGAGCATACAATCACCCTACGCAACCAGAGACTTCGTCAAAAGCTCTTTTTAGTGCCTTGGCAGTCCGGTCAATCTGGCGGCGTGTTTTTCTTTGAGGGAAACCAAGCAGAAAACCACCATTTGTTGGGTCCTGCTTGAGACATACCCATCTAGTTGCAAAGCATGTCTGATGTCAAAATCGCAAAGGGAGCTCAACATGACTCGCATGGTTCAGTTGCGACACCTTCTTTGCAACTCAGCGCTGCACGTTTCACCATGCCATTGCAAGTTTGCCAAAAAGGACCACCTAAAAGGCCTGTCTAAATGAAGCAGCCGTAGTCTATAGGCCTTCTGAGCTGCAACTGGTGGTCTGCAAAATGTGAAGTCTAGTGCATTGGCTTGCTGAGTCATCAATCAAAATGTTCGAGCTTGCTTGAGGCTGCTGGAGCCTGTGAGGTGCCGTTCTGTACGGCAGGAGCTGCGGGGGAGCATTATCTCAAACATCAAGCATCCACACCGTGTTCGAACTTGCCTAAAAGATGGCTGGACATGTTCCTGCCTTGCGTTGAAATGACACCAAGCTGGATTCCTGGCAAGGTCAAAGCCCAAGTCAAGCCAACTGCCCAAAAAGAGAGCCGGAACATCAGAGATGGCAAGCTTTGCATCCTTGACCATCCCGACATCCGACCGCGTCGCATCGACCCATGCTTTTGTCGCGCTGCCGGCTCGACTCAGCTATGCTGGACCAAAGCCTTGCTCCTGCGCAAGCGGCGGCACCTTCCTTTGCCCCTCCCACTCCTTCCCCCGGAACACAGGGATCCTTACATTATACACCTGAACATTGCCTTGTAAATGGTGGTTTCCCTTTTTGGTGGAAAAAGCCATGTTTCGAATGGGCAAAATGCATCTTTTCAGGAGCCCCGAAACAGCATCATGCTGTCGCGCCCCCCAAAAACCAACGGGGGGCAGTACCCTTGTGCTGGTTTTCCGACTCGGTGTCTACGTCCGCCCGCGGGATGTTTAGGGCGTGGAGGTACCAACTTGAGGAACTCCCAGCGTCCGACCGGGTCGCGCCTACACTTCTGGGCTGCATCTTTGGCTCGAAGGCGTCAACTGGACCTTCGCGCGACTCAAACCCGACAAGCCCCTCCCATGCGGTAAGTTTGACTCATGCATACACCCTTGGATGATTTTGATTGGGGGGTGTCCCTCTTAGGGAATCTCGAGATCACCTGTGGGACATCCAATTCACAATCCAATTGATACGTTTGCGGGGGTCGACATTAGTGTCAGGAGCCAATTGCAACTTGCAGTCCCTGAGCTTTGTCCCCGGTGAAAATCGGACGGAAAATCCATCTGCCTGACCCACTGAACCGATTAGCAAGCTCCAAGCAGTTTCTAAGCAGTTTCTAAGCAGTTTCTAAGCAGTTTCTAAGCAGTTTCTGAAACGATTGGCCCTGGAGTCGTCAAGGGCTCGGGCACTGGGGCACTGAGGCAATCAGCCGCTTGTGGTCATCTGCAGAGATGCTGTTCTGGCCTGCGAGGCAGTGAACGCGCTTGAGCCTCATACTTAGATCTCGATCTTGTCCGACCCATGGCAGCAAGTGCTACACACTGGATTCTCTGACCGTGCTCCCATTGCCCCGCCCACTACGTTGCCCGGGAGCTGGTCTCCGCAATCAAGTGAGACCAATCATGCTGATTCAAGCGATGACACCAATTCGCGCACGCATGCTTCCACACGCCCAACATTTCAAACACGACCCTACCACAACAAAAAGGGTACAAGTCGTACAAGTACCATGCCGTTCTTCAGAATGCCCTCACCCCTCGCAACCTCGCCAGGTTCCCGGCGTCGGTACGTGGCAACGCCATCCGCAACGCCAGGCTGGCGCGCCTGAGAGAAGTTGCGAAACTTTGGGCTCCGACGTCCTGGTTCTTATCAGGTCCTGTTGATCCTAGGACTTGGCATTCTCAAGGGACTTCCTCAAGTGGACTCTGGTTCAGGTTTCCTTGTAGCTCTGGGTGCATGTGAGAGACACGGAACTGATACACAACCAACCAAACAATGCTTTGAAAATCATGGGTACAGGTCGATCAATGGGCTGCCTGCTCCAGGCGGCACTTGCTTTGCTTCTCAGGGCCGGGCCATGGGACATGCCACTTCCAGCACTGCCTGGCGGTCAGGGTTTGGCGGTACAGAAAGGGCCAAACATCCAAGCATTGAAAACCCTCGCAAAGTTTTGCTTCAGAGGTTCTGACGACAAACACCCTGGTGTTCTGCTGCTCTGTCCTGAGGGTAAAGTGAAAATGACAGTAGCTCACGATGTCTGCACTTGCCTTCAACCTGATTGGAAGAATGTCGGCTACGCATGTCTGGACCCAGAACACCAGAGCAGCGGAGACCAGTGGAAGGAAAACAACAAAAGCCTGAGAAGCGAATGAAAGACCGCATCGACGGCATCTCTCACCTCTGTGAGAAGCTGCACAACAACGCGTGTCGCGTCTTGAGCCAGAGGATAGCTCTACTTAACCCCAAACTTAAGTTTCTGGAAGGATCAGAAAACAAGACGATGGCGTTGACGAGTCGTGGCTTTGGGTATGCGAAATCACAAATGAGGCCCTGCCTTGTACCGTCGGTCCTCCAAAGCCTCCAAGTGCGCACATAGCGCATGCATCCGTGGCCAGCTCATGCGCCCGGGACATGTTGGGGTTGCCCACATCCTCCCCACATCATTGCGCCCCCCGGAGCGTCGGCTGGTTTTCTGGACGAGTCCAACATTTGCTCAAAAGCAAGTCTCTGCAAGCGCTTCTTTTCAGCCTCGTTGAGCAAGCAAAGTCTTGGCATGATGCTGAATGCATTGTCAGGGCCATTGGATTTTGACTCATCCAGAAAGCGCAGTCGAGCACATGCAAGCCCCCTTTGCCCAGTAACGCCGCAGTCCTGGTCGCTCACTGCGGCCTCCTGAGCCAGGACATGGAGGGAAGCTTCAGCTGTATTATCATTGAGTGTGTCCGCACCGGTTTGCACAAGAACCTTCAACAAGCGACCTTGATTGAAAGGTGTCCAAGAGGCAGGTTCACGCCACCGTCAGTTTCGGGCTTTGACCGAAGCATCCCGCCACTGAAGAAAGCCGGGAAACCACGCATGTTTGGAAAACACACATGGTTGGGAGAAGAAACGCAGAACACATCTCCAAAAAGAGGAGCTCTTGACGCGCGGTCACTGCTTTCGGCAAGTCGAAAGCCGCGAGGGGCGCGAGCCTTGGTGAGGAGGTCCCTGGCCAAGAGCCGCACGAAGGGCTGCTGCAGGTCCGAGCGGCGCTGAAGCAGCTGCCGCACCTAGGCGTCAGCGGCGTCAGCGGCTTCGGGCGGTAAGCCCAACTGCACCAGGAGAATCCAGGGAAGGTCCTCAGAAAAACAGACATGCCCAAAAAGAAGGGAAAAGGGAGAGTGCACGGAGAAATGGTGGAATTCGGGAACTCGTTTTGGCGCCTGAAGGGGTTGGTGCAAGCCGGTACTCAATCCCAAACATAGGACGTTGATAATACATTGCTGGATTCCATGAAACTGCCAGGTCCAAGGAGAAATTCACCGCCAAAACCACAGGGGTCAAACATGGTATGGCCGGCTGGAAATCCACGGTGAATACATCGAGTCATCCAATCCCCCGGCCTCGTGCAGGGGGATCGCCAAGCAGTGGACCTCCTCCCTAGCTGTGACCTCGATGAGTGAAATTCCAGCCCACTCAGACCACTCGGCCCCCTCGGCCCACTCGGCCTTAGTTGGACCACTTGGACCACTTGGACCACTTGGACCACTTGGACCACTTGGACCACTTGGACCACTTGGACCACTTGGACCACTTTGACCACTCGGCCCACTCACCCTTGGATTCCTGGCCGTGCCCCGACCAATGTGGGAACTCAAGACCCAAGTTCATGACCCCCCCGGAAACTGTTTGGCAACTCTCGTTTGAGACTGCGTTGGATTTTGGGTTCCCAGCCCTCCGATGGGCTCTCCGCCCTCCGGCCCTCCCTCGCTCTCAGGTCAACTGGGCGCCGCAGCCGTGGCAGAGGAGGAGTGCTCCATGTTCTGCTGGAGGAGGTAGCTCACCTGTCAAAAAGGGAGCAACGAGCGGATCTGGGAAAGAAGCGGAGTTCATACCCCAACCCAATGAAAATGGTGCAGGGCAGGTGCAAAAGGTATTTTGCAGGGTTGGATGGAGGCCAACTGGAATTCAAGTGAATCTCAAGCTGTACGGCATCCACGCGGGGCGTGTGTTGTGAATGTGGGCTGCCCCACCTTCTGCTTAGGGAAAGTGTTTAAACAAAAAAGAAGCGGAGGATTGGCTCTATTCGGTTGGCAGCAGCCCCGATTCCAGCCACAGAGCCTGACGTTCCTGAAAGGCCTACTTGTACGTTTCACCCGAAAATTCGACGGGTTTTATCACCGCGCCTCCCCCACCAAGCTTCCGGGATGCAGCGTGGCCACAGTCCGGCCTGCGATGGAGACCTTGCCAGCTGGGCGGATATCCCCAGTAAGCATCTTCAATCCCAACTGGTGCGAAGTGGATCTTGTCCATCCAGAATTACCGTCCCAAAACGATAGAGACCCACCCAAAATCCGTGGTCATATCAAAGAGCTGTCATGAGGAAAGTTCAGCGTTTGGCCATCATTTCCACCACAACCAGTAACCACCAAACATTGGGAGCGATCACTGATCTTGACACATTCTCCATCCCCACATCGACCAAGTTGGTCCAACCTGCGTCAATCGCCAGCCCCCGTTTGTCCCACTCAATGTTTGTCGAAAGCCATATGTTCTAAGCTAGTCACAGTCAGTTTCAGTAGACTTCGGTACCCCACTTTCGAACCTTGGTGTGCATGCAATGCCGATCTGCTCTGCTTGGCAGTGGGTTTCCAGGACAGGGCAGACGAATTAGGACATGCATATGCATGGTCACCCCAGGGATTCTTACTAGCATTGCCGAGGGTCAAGGCAGCGCATATTCGCTGCCCCTATGGAACCTCCTGGCTCTGCACCTACTGCGTATCAACGCGATTTCTACGGGAGAGCCATGGTCTTGAGCCCAGGCTCTCCTCCTGCAGAGCGCAGCCGCAAAAGGTCCTCTCGGCTGATCTCAGAGGATGCGCTATCCTCGCTTGCAGATGTCTGCGTCGCAATTGTGACCGTGTTCTTGGGCGTTGCCATTGGGGTTGCCACGGAGGGTGAGGTGGCAAGGAGAGCCCTCATGCCAACGGGAGCAAGAGCCATGCTCAGTGGGGCCAAAACCTGAGGGGTGGTGGAAAGCAGACGCGACCCCAGAGCAGAGCTGATCTCCTTGTGGCATGTCAAGCTGAGGCCTGGTGGAGGAGCAAGCCCTGGTGGAGGAGGCAGGCTCAGGCAGTCCTCCTCGTCGTTTGAGCTGTCCTGCTCAGCCAACCAAGCTTCCTCGCGGTCCCACTTCGCTGCGCGGGTAGGCTTGCGCTTCGGGTGAGGGAGGTGGCAGAAGGTGCAGTTCTTGCCATTCTGGCAGCGGCCCTTGGGGAAGAAGTTACAGCGCTTGCAGTTGCCACTTGCGTGCTCGATCGAACCCTTCGATGGAAGATCGGCAATGTCAAACTTGACATCGGGCATGTCATCCTCAAAATCCGAAGGTGGCTCGACGCCGAGCTTCTTGGGCTCATCACTCACCGGCGCTGTCCAGTCAGCTTCGATCTTGATCGGGTCCATGCTGTCTTCATCGATGAAGATCTGCAGGCCCTTCCTCTGCTCAGACTTGCGCTCCCTGACAAATGCAGGGTTCTCAGAGTCCAGAGCCGGGGCGGAGGTGTCAACCGGGCCGGCTTTGAGCGGCTTGGCGTTGGAGCCATCCTGGAGATTGATGACATTCGTGATGTTCCCGAGCGCGGGGCGTGACTTGCCCTTCTCCTGGCTTGGGACGAAGACAGAACTGTTGGCGGAGAGCGGGCCTGGGGCAGCAGGCGTCGCCTTCGGCGTCGCCTTTGGCGTCGCCGTGAGCCCGAGCAAGTCGAGGCAGTCGGCTTGAGCCCATGGCCAGCTGCCCATCGGGCTGAAGTCGAAGCCCAATGCCATAGAAACCGGCGAAGGAATCGAGTCCCTCACTTTGCCCTTGCCCGGGTGCAGTCGCGCGGTCGGCATCTCTCCAGCTCCCTCGGGCACCGCATGCTTCATGTCGAGCTGGCGGCCGTCCACGTACTGCGGCTCTGCGAGGCATCGATCTGCAGCGCCTGGGGAGTCCAGCGTGACATAGCCGAAGCCCCGGGGCCTGCCATCTGGCTGCCGCATGGCCACGCAGTCGAGGATGCGGCCGTAACGAGAGAAGTGGTCACGGAGGTGCTTGGTCGTAGTGTTGCGAGACCTTGGTATGTGCAACACACAGAAATCTGACTGAGCTTCGACCCTGCTGAAGAGACCCTAACAAGACCCTAAGAAGACAGTTCCTGAAACTCGCCCTCAAAAGACCCCTCATATTTTCGCATGTCCCTGCTGAAACTCTGTGAATCTTGTGCAAGAGCACTTGTTTCTGCGGTTCTCGAATTTCATGTCTGAATCGTTGCGCTGAAATTCTGGAGGGTTACGCGTTCTAAGTGCGAGACAAACCTCCGATGAAGAGCTTGGCGGGCCTCACCGTCCCCCGCTGCTCCCGCTGCTCCCGTGGAGCTGGCATCTGTACGCTGGTCATCGCGCTGGAATGGCCCGGGCTCTCTCCCCGAAAATCGGTCACACTTGCATCAATCCTAAGCAAAATGCTTGATCTGGAGGCCGGCGAGACAAGCTCGACGTGATGACAGTCATGCAGCACACTCAGAGGGTATATTATGTACACATTGACATATATATATATATATATGTATATATATATATATGTATATATATATATATTATTTATACCTTTTTCCCCTGAGGGTAGTGGTTCGGTAGCGAAAATCGTCTTAGTCCGACTCAGATCCTCTCAGCTCTCGCGATGCCTCGCAGCAGCCTTCAGCGATGAGATACAATCTTGCCTGGCCAGGGCTGCACCAGCTCCCCATATTTCCCCTAGGTGAGTGAACTCCCTTGAAATCGGAGACGTGACAGGAAGCTCCGCCAAACCCGCCTGCGCATCATCCGGAGTGACTTCGTTTCCCTGCTTTGAGAGCCTCAAGTCGGAGCCAACGCACGACCGAGAATGCTGCCCCGGCTGTCCCCCACTCTCTGTCCTTTGCAGACTTTGTGAATTCCCGTGTCGGGTGTTTACGCGGCATTTGCTGGAAGCGCAAAACACAAAACTGAGCTCTGCGCAAGTCCCCGGGAGCAAGCGAGATCCACTCACCGAAGCCAGCCAGGTCTGCAAACCTGAGCCGTGCCAGACGTGAAGCTCACATGCTACAAGCCCCTGCAAGTGTTGCGAAAGCCCAGGCTCACGCTACTCTTGCAAGCAAAGCGCAAAGCCTGCGACCATCCAATTCCGAGCCCATTTCACCATCCAATTCCGAGCCGCAGCCAGCTCTAAGGAACCCTTCACCGTGACGATTAGTTCTCCATAAGGGGCGGGTCTTTTTGTAGTCCCCAAAGTGGTTGTCCTTGGGGGTTTCCCGTCAAAAACAAAGGGGGGTTCCTTCAAAAAAGACACGCCCAGGCTGCATTTGATTCTTATCCCATGTCTACCTTGCGTCTCCTTGCGCCGAGCTTCTCCCTGACGGAAACGATGTCCCCAAGAAGATCGAACAGCTTCCTGGGCACGGCTCAAAACCACCCTGAAGCCCTCCCTCTCCTGAAGCTGCCGGATTGGAAAAGCATCCGCCCCCTCACTGAGAAGTAAGAAGATGTTCTTTAGGCTTTGCAATCTGCAAGTACAGGATCATACCGACAATCAAGTAGGTGGATGTGCCTTTGATTGTGATGAGCATCAGAACATGGACCAAATGATAAGCCTGGTGTTACTTTAAGACTATCTTGGCCAACAAGGATATGACTCTTTTCTCAGATTGAAAAGCCGGCTCAACACAGTCACTGGTTGCTGCTGCGGCGTGTCAATATTGATCGCAATATTGACTCTAGATGCCCGGGACCTCCATGACAACAGAGCCGTCGACATTTGTGCTTCTGATCCATGAGAAATCCCTGATCCTTTGAACCGTTGTGTGGGGTTTTTCAGATGATTCAACGCACCTACAAGGACTACAAACCTTTGACAGAGGGCTCCATGCGAAATCCGCGGCCAAATCCCCTGTGTCAACCCATCTCGAGGCTGCGGCTGCTCCTCATCCGAGAGGGTCGGCTCCTGCGATGACAAGACGCTCGGAGCCCCCTCGCCAGAAATGAGTGTTTCTCAAAACTGGCCTATTTCCTTGTGGCATAAGGGAAACGAAAAGAAAATGAAACCCACATTCCAGGTCGTTTCCCTTGAGACACTCCGATGACTTGCAGAGTTGAGGCCCCAGCCATCAGACTCAGAGAGAACCAATGCAGCTGGAAGAGATTCACCAGCACGTAGACAGAGCACCAACCTGCCTGGCCAGTGCAAAAAAAACACAAGAAAACACGGAGCCCTTCGCAGACCGTCGATAATGCGCGACAAAACAGGCAGGGCGGACGGACAACCATTGGCATCGCGGCTGAAGCCTGATCCGCGGTGTCGGCGGATCAATTTGTTTGAACTTGGTATCGCGTGATACTGAGGGAGGCGCACTTGGAAGCTCACCACCAGGCCACAGCCCAACACGGCCCACACACGCAGCCACCAGATCTCGGTGACCACGTACCTTACAGTCAGGCCGTAGAGTGTGGCTCGTGGGCTGAGTCAAGCTCTGAGTGATTGGGACCTGGGCCGTCTCTTGCACTACGGTAGCTCAAGGGGCTGAACTAATTGTTTGACCGACACACGCGTTGAGGCCACTGCTCAAGCAGCCCGATGATGTAGCCGGCATGCCCTCGCAAGTGAGTACTTCAAGCTCAAACTTGCATCCACTGAGAACAAACACGAGCGTCGAGACATCCTGACTTTGCTCGACAAAGTCGAGTCTGGACCCATTGCATGGATTCAACAAAGGAGCACGGTGGTTTTGGGGGGCACGAGATCGAACAAAACAAACACACGAGGACTGTTGAATGACTCAAAGAGCCTGAAGCTCCAGCCAGGATCCTTTCCCACTTGCCCTGAATCAGAAATTAAACAAATGCTGCTTCAAACAAACATGGGCTTTCCTATGCTTTGTTGAGGCGTTACCACCTCTCAAGCAGTCTTGCAAGGTGCGAGCGGTGTGACGGGTGTGAGCATCATGGGCCAGGGGACCAACAACCACAGTGTTGAGTCGTGCACCAATTTCCGCCTAAGGCAGTGCTGATCGGGGAGATGACCGCATGGTGGCGCTGAACGAACCTGGCCATGGCACCCAAAGCCACAATTTTGTCACAAAGCATCGGGTAGACGCTAGCGACTTCGCCTTTGCCACTTGAGGGCTCTGAGAACAAACACGAGACCAAGTTCAAAGGGCCCTCAACTCTGTCAGATTCCAGAAGTTGGTGGCACACACAGCCCCAGGAGGCTGAGACAAACAAAAGACTCCAGGTTGCAGGGCTTCAGTGTCAGCAACCCCTGGCCCTTCCCAGGCCCAGGTGAGCCCGTCACCACAAACACATCTTACAGTCCCTTGACATCTGTAAGCTTCCCACCGATCGGTGGTGTGGATTGGTGGCTATGGCGATTTGTTGTAGAGGGCACATGGGAAACCACCCAACCACCAAACCGCCGGGCTCCAAGCCACCAATTCGAGGCATGGCTTGACCGAGCCTAAGCCTAGCGCCGGAGAAGCGCCACCGGCGGTCAGGGCCCTCCAGCGAGCAGTGCCTGCTCAAGTACCCTTTTCGGGCCCTGGTTTATGTGGGGCCCGCATTTTAAAAAGAAACGGGGTCCAAAAAGGGTCCATATGTTTGACCACCCAACCAGCAGGCAGGGCTCCCAAAATGTCTCCAAAAGAACATCACCGCACTGAAACAAAACAGATTCACTTTAAATTGATCCTGGTGATGGGAATGTTTAAAAATGCATATTAAGGGGAAACATGTTATAAAGAGAGAGGGAGCCCTGCACGGAACCAACAACGTCGGTTTTGCGGAGGCATGTCGTGGATGAAAGCGGAAGGCTCCGTAAACGTGCGATCTGTTCAGCTCTCTTGATGGAAGGATTCCCACGCAGGGTTCCACGTTTGACTGGCCCGTAGACCCAAGCCCAGGGCTTTCCCTTTTGGGGAAATCAACCACCCTGGGTTTAAGTCTACCTTGGGGTAGTCAAAAAATGGAACCCTGCGCGTGTCAACTGGCGCGCTTCAAGACCAAACAAACCATCCAGGTCGCGAGCGCGGAACCTTGATGATTGTGCCGGGGATGCTGGACGAAAGCAGCCAACTCTCGAGTTATGGAAGTAATCACACTCGCCTCAGCTCAAGCGTTGCAGTGAAGCCGATCTTCTGTCTGTGTTTGTGCGGCACATGTTTGGCAGAACAAAGAGGCACAAGACAAAGCAGCCCCCGGCTCGGGCAACTGCAGTGGGAAAAGCACGGGGTTCTGCTGCTGCAGTGTCCCCCCAACTGTTGCCTTCACTAGGATTGTTGAAGGGTCCAGCATAGATCCTTCCGTAAGAAATATTGAGTAGCCTGCCCAGACATACCAGCATCTACCAGTTGTTACCTTCCCTGCACATGGCACTGCTGCAGCCTGCACCCTCAATGCTAGCTAGCAGGTTTTAGCACTTGGAGGTGTATCCAAGGTAAACAAGTTGAGTGCTCCTCCGGCTGAAGGCGCATAAAATTACTTCAGGGCATTCGCCCTGCCTGAGCTGCTGCGCGAAGGGATTGCGGCGCCGCCGCAAATGGCGAATGCACCTGCACCCTTCCCCGCCCACCCCCGCCTCGTGCTAGCCTTTGGTGTGCCATTTTATCCAAGCCTCCCCTGTGGGACACGGCTTCAGAAGCCAACCCACTTGCTGTCTTTGACTACTTCAAAAGCAACAGCCACACATATGGCCATGGTTCAAAACCAATGGTACCATTTTGGGATAGGTGCAGCACCCATTTTGGTCTATTTTATGTGGGGATTGGGATGTTCATACGGGGGTTTGACCCATGGCCATATCACTCCGCCCAAGGATTCAGGAGTTCAGGATGGTTTCATAGCAAGCTCCTGCCACTCGCCAGGGGCCCCGGCAAGTGCATGGCCCATGCCGAGAAGACGGCCCTTGAAGGATGTTACGGAAGTGTTCTCCAAATGTGGCGCCATAAGACTCCTGACGTGTCTCTGAAGCTAGGTCAGGTCAGCTAAGTGAGTCCTGGCTCAGAGGGTTCTTGGCTTCTGATGGGCCAACTTAGCCTGTCCATTGAAACATGTTGCTGGCGTCGTCAATGCCGCGCGTGGATTTGGCCCTTGGGCATTCCCACGCCGCAATGTGGATATACAGCCAGTCAAACAGGCAATCCTGCCAATGCTAGTCAAGTCTCACGCATGGGATACGCCTCACACAAACAGCCAAAGCTTTACATAGCATGAGCCACGAGTCACGATCAAAGGAACCTCGACGGTCTTTTTGTCATAAAATCAATGCACGGAACAGTCGGGTCCCTGAGGGATCCAGGCACGGCCAAACACCTGCAAAGAACCTGGAAACTGATTACGTGTGGCTGCCGATGGCTGCCGATTGGCTGGCTTCGCCACCCAGCTCAAAAACGCCGGCTAGGAAGAAACGTAAGCGCATCTAGCCCCAAACGTCGAAGATCACCCGGCCCTTCTCTTGCAGGCCGTCGAGCCGAGCAAAGCCAACGGTGGCGTCCCCATGTTGGCCTCAGCTCTGGTCGCACAGGGACCCTACATTTCCCCTCAAGACATTGCGCTGGGAAACTCCACTTAACCGAGCGAAGCGAGACACGCGATGCTTAAACCACCCAAAAAAAATGGAAAACTGTGCGACCACGCTGCTCAGCAAGTCCACCAGTACGTTGGTCACGTCTTTGGCCAGCGTGGACGCGGAGCCGCAGACGTACAAACACCCCAGCCCATCCTCCGAAAGCAGCTCCAGGACGGCCTCCGCATCGCGGCGCAGAGCATGATAGACATACTCCTGGCGCAACAGGGATCCGGATGCATTATACACCTGAACATTGCAACTTGTAAATGGTGGTTCCCCTTTATTTCGGTGGAAAAAGCAACATGTTTCAAATGGGCAACATGTATCTTTTAAGGAGCCCTGCGCAACCACCTGCTTTCAGCAAATCCCTGGAAGGCAAGCATTTGGTTGCTTGTCTTTCCCGAAGGAATGAACATGATGCGTTGCCAAACCTCATTTGAAATGTGTCACGATTGCGGGGAGGCAAATTTTGGGCATCCTCAAACCGCAAAATAGAGTTGCCAAACAGCATTGCCCGAGAAGCTTGCGTGGCAAACCCGGCCCTAGACTGACCTTTGCGATCCTACCGGCTTATTTGGTCATGTTGGCTTGGATCGAATTTTTCCAAACCAGGGCGGCGATCTTCAACCGCCAATCTCCAAGGTGAAATCCCACCCTCCCCCTCCCTCACCCCCCAGCGTTTTCTCCGGTGGCCGATTTGGCCATGGGTCAAAGTCCCTTCCCCCAGTGAACATCCCAGTCCCCACTAAAATAGGTTCCAAAATGGGTGGTGCACCTACCAACCAAAATGGTACCAAAACGGCTGTGACAACCACAGCCATTTCGCCGTGTCCTTCAAGGCCGGGTCTCTGGGCCGAGAGAAGGACACCTTCAGAGACAGAAGACCCTCCGCGTGCCACCGCTGCAGCTGCGCTTGGTGCAGGAAGTCCTCCTCGTTGCGGCAACCAAAGTAGAGCTGCACCAGGCCACTCGCGGTGCCCTGGGAAATGGCGGACGGTCTGCTTTCAAGGGTTCCCCAGCTTTGGTGGGCTTTCAAGGGAAACCCAAAGGAGAACCACGAGATTGGGGTGGAGGGTCCCTCAAAAACGACACACCCAAATGCGAGGTGGAAAAGCCGGAACTGGATTTTGTGCGCCTATCGCAAGTTCACCAAATCCCCCCGCCTGCTTCCTGCACTGCTCCCGCTCCTGCAGGAATCCATAGAAGGGCGCCAAACCTGTACCTCCGCAAACGCAGGCGATGGGCGTGCTGGGATCCTTCGGCAAGCGCATGTGCGGGGCCTCCTGAAGCGGGCGGTAACGAGGCGGGCGGCAAGAGACAGAGTGCCTGATGCGATGATCTAAGGGTGCCAGCGTGAGCAAAGAAGAAAACAGAACTAGAAACACCAACAAATAGTTCTCCGCGCCACACAACAAGAAAACAAGAAAAAAAGAAAAAAACAACTTCCATGCCACTGAGGTCCTTGATCTTGCAAATCACCTCTGTGGCCGAGGCCAGCATGGAAGAGCACAAGCCGCTCCGCACCTCTGGAAGGGCCGATGCGCAGGCCTCCGCGAATGCAGGCAATTCGGTTCGCTTCTTTGGCGCCCTCAAATCCAGTGGGAACCGAGGGGAAACCAATGGGAAGCCAAGCAGGCGCTGTCCAAACATGATGTTATGGTGACTCCTCGACCGCTTGAACTGGCCACCGGAAAGGAGCAGCACAAATAGATCCAACACCAAACCACCGTCGCTGGAATTGACCTGAACCAGGGTCAACATTTGTGGTTTAAACCGACATCGAGAGCGTGGGGCGTGCAACACCGCCTGTGGTGGGAAGCTTGCCATGCCACTTTGACAACAAGTTGATGCTGCTATACCGATATTGGCGCTCTAGTCAAAGCATCAGCATGACCTCAGGTGCACACGGATAGCCTTCAAGCTATTTAGCAAGCAGCCGAAACCAGCGGTGATCAAAATAGCGGCCTGGTTGGACAGCAGAGTGAGAAAAACAACGTTCCTCGTTCATGTTTTTTTTGCAACAGCAGGCGGTTTCCACCGGTGGTCAATGACGAAGGGTTCCAATTTTTGACTGCTCCCGAGGCAGGCTTAAACCGGTTCAATTCTACTTCGGGTTAATCCGAAATGGAACCCTGGTTTGCCGACATCATTCAACCCCCTCCCCAAACCTTGGCCAGTTGTTGGCGGACAGGACAGGCTCCCAAGAAACTGAATCAAGTTTGAAGCGAAACTAAAAGGAACACCGCCCAGAATGGGGGCATCCGAATCTCGATTCCGGCTGTTTCCGATTCGGTCAAAGGTCGACTAAGCCCATGAGGTTCCCGTCCGACTTCAAGATTCAACGCCTTTCGGGTGCCGAAAAACAACTGTGAAGACCCAACTGGGATACCCCAACTGTGATACATGATGGAACCTCGGCACTACCTCCACGCCTGGTATTTCGCGACTCGGCAGCACAGCTCCGCATCCGTGCCCCGCGCCAGCGGGGAGGAAGCGATGGAGTACAGACGCGGCTTGATCTTGGGAGCAACCTGGAGCCGAAAAGGCAACTGGCTAAGTCTAGTTTTGAGGGGACCCCAAGGGAGGGAGGGAAGGGGAGGGGAGGGGAGGGGAGGAGGGGAGGAGGAGGGGAGGGGAGGGGAGGGGAGGGGAGGGGAGGGGAGGGGAGGGGAGGGGAGGGGAGGGGAGAGAGAAGAGAGAGGAGAAAGAGAGGAGGAGAGACAGAGAGAGAGAGAGACATTGTCGCTGCGGTTTTCGCTTTCAACCCACAAAGAGGCAGGCGGTATCCCCAACAGCCAGGAATCCTCTAGACCCTTCTGGAACCAGAGCAGCAAGCTCTCCGGAGCCTATCTGGGCGGAGACCCCATAGCTTTCAGCTGTTTAGGGAAAAAAAAGTACCAAATGGAGGGTTCTCAATGGAACAGGTCCCCTGAATGATTGGTTTCTCTTTCTGTCCCGTTATATAAGTCCCAACTGAAAGGGACCATATCTCAAAATGGTGGCTTGCTTGCTTGCTTGCTTGCTTGCTTGCTTGCTTGCTTGCTTGCTTCGCTCGCTCGCTCGCTCGCTCGCTGGCTGGCTGGCTGGCTGGCTGGCTGGCTGGCTGGCTGGCTGGCTGGCTGGCTGGCTGGCTGGCTGGCTGGCTGGCTGGCTGGCTGGCTGGCTGGCTGGCTGGCTGGCTGGCTGGCTGGCTGGCTGGCTGGCTGGCTGGCTGGCTGGCTGGCTGGCTGGCTGGCTGGCTGGCTGGCTGGCTGGCTGGCTGGCTGGCTGGCTGGCTGGCTGGCTGGCGCGCTCGCTCGCTGGCGTGCTGGCTCGCTGGCGTGCTGGCTCGCTGGCGTGCTGGCTCGCTGGCTCGCTGGCTCGCTGGCTGGCTGGCTGGCTGGCTGGCTGGCTCGCTCGCTCGCTCGCTCGCTCGCTCGCTTGCTTGCTTGCTTTTGATTGTTTGTTTGTTTGTTTGTTTGTTTGTTTGTTTGTTTGTTTGTTTGTTTGTTTGTTTGTTTGTTTGTTTGTTTGTTTTTTTTTGTTTGTTTGTTTGTTTGTTTGTTTGTTTGTTTGTTTGTTTGTTTGTTTGTTTGTTTGTTTGTTTGTTTGTTTGTTTGTTTGTTTGTTTGTTTGTTTGTTTGTTTGTTTGTTTGTTTGTTTGTTTGTTTGTTTGTTTGTTTGTTTGTTTGTTTGTTTGTTTGTTTGTTTGTGTGTTGTTTGTTGTTTGTTGTTTGTTGTTTGTTGTTGTTTGTTGTTTGTTGTTTGTTGTTTGTTGTTTGTTGTTGTTTGTTGTTTGTTTGTTTGTTTGTTTGTTTGTTTGTTTGTTTGTTTGTTTGTTTGTTTGTTTGTTTGTTTGTTTGTTTGTTTATTTGTTTGTTTGTTTGTTTGTTTGTTTGTTTGTTTGTTTGTTTGTTTGTTTGTTTGTTTGTTTGTTTGTTTGTTTGTTTGTTTGTTTGTTTGTTTGTTTGTTTGTTTGTTTGTTTGTTTGTTTGTTTGTTTGTGTGTTTGTTTGTTTGTTTGTTTGTTTGTTTGTTTGTTTGTTTGTTTGTTTGTTTGTTTGTTTGCGTTTGTTTGTTTGTTTGAATGTTTCTTTGTGCTCGTGTTTGTTTGTTGTTTGGTTGTTTGTTTGTTGGTTGGTTTGTTGGTTTGGCCGTCCGTCTGTCTGTCTGTTTGTTTCTGTTGTTTGTCCCTTGTTTATGTTGTTTGTTTGTTTGTTTGTTTGTTTGTTTGTTTGTGTGTGTGTGTTTGTTTGTTTGTTTGTTTGTTTGTTTGTTTGTTTGTTTGTTTGTTTGGTTGGTTGGTTGGTTGGTTGTTTGTTTGTTTGTTTGTTTGTTTGTTTGTTTGTTTGTTTGTTTGTTTGTTTGTTTGTTTGTTTTTCGAAGTACCTTTTCAGGGAAACCACTCATGTTGGGGGCCCACGAATTTTGGGTCTTGGGATCTTTATTCCTACAGACTGATGTAACCAACTTCAGAGAGGTGCTGTGTGGGGGAGGGTCTTCTGGGCATTGAGGAAGACCGGAGGAAACCACGCCAAAAGAGAACTGCCATCATGAGTCGCGGGAAATGGTTCAGCAAATGCTTAGAAAAATTGGCTCATAGGGACGCTAAATCGGATATGCATAGCGAAAAAGCACAAAGGATAAGTTAGTTGATTCACAGCGCCATGGCCCGGTTCTTGGCATTACGGCGCTGTGAATATCGACAAGTTCCTATCTGTGTTCATGTAAACATCAAGGTGAGCCTGGAAAATTACAATATGAATGAGATAATGTTTTAAGTTGATCATTCAGTCGGATACATGTAACACTGACAAAAAAACATGAACCAGCAACCAACTGGCAAGAGATGAAGCAAACAGTCTGCAGACTGACTGATTGCCTGCCTGACTCACTGACTGACCGACTATCTGTTGGACTAATCTACTAGCCAAGTATGTGATGTGCTCTGAAAAGTGTCCCGCCATAGCAACTCGAAATCATTAAGCCCAGTCCCCCGTCTGCGCCCGCCTCCACAAATCTGGAGAAGCCAATGCTGACAGACCGAAACTCGTCTAAAACGTCCAGCAGTGACAGGCATCGCTCGCACCACTCATCATACGCTGAGTCTTCTTTGATCGTGGCCAGCTGGCGCAAGCTTGTTGCCTGCAGGGGCAAAGAAGCATGTTACGTGCGCATGTCAACCTGTCGCACATATCTCAGATTCGTTTGCTGCAAGGGTGAGTAGCAGTATTCGTCACTTGGATTCACAAAGGCCAGCGTTAACATGTTTCTCGCCTGAGCCTCCGACCACAAAATGATTGATCTGTTGCGGTTTGATTCCAACTCTCGCCTCTTGGCTCTTGGTAGCATACTGCGCCAGTGAGGCCAGCGTCTCTTGCGACGGCAAAGCTGAAAGGTCCACGTGATACGCCAAGATGTCACCCATGGACAGTGGGTCACCTCAAGGCTCAAAGCCTCCCCTCCCCACCAATTTAGGGGTCCCCTGGATGTGGTTTTCAGATGTTTTTTGACTTGCTGCACGTGCAAGGAGAACCCCCGCCAATAACTGTCTTTAGCCTAGAAAGATAAAACCAAGCCCAAGTTCGCCCTCAACAAATTATGTGAAACTAGGGGAACCCCCCCCTTCCCCCCCCCGGCCCCAAGTACACGAGTTTCATCTTCGTCCTCTTCGTTCCCCAAGCCAAACAGAACGAAACCTCGTCGTCCGAGTGGCTAGGCAGCTCCTCGCTGTCAGACGCCACCACCACACTCTCCGCTTGGCAGGCGAGGCGCCGGCAGGCGCGCTCCACCTGCGGAGGCGAGTCGATCGTTCCCCTCGGCTCCAAAGAGCCTCAAACAAAAACACATGGCTGTGGGTCAAAAGCCCGCACCCCCTGTGAACATCCCAATTCCCACTAATAAAGACTAAAATGGGTGGTGCACCTACCCGTTCATGGTACCATCGGTTTTGACCCACATCCACATTGCAGGGGTTGGGCCCCAGGGCACCTTCCAATACAAATACACACCCGCAAGAGGTGTGTCTCTTCTTGACTGTGGGGACCTTCATCTTTCTTAGTTGAGAGGATCAAAAGGAAGCCCGCCCCTGTTGCTGCCTCCCCCGACGTTGAGACCAACCCTGCACAGAAAGGGAACAGACATGCGACACCAGAGACTCGGCCCGCACATCCCTTCCCAGGGGTCGAGGCTTACGCAACTCGCCTGAGCCGCGGAGTTCCTGGGCCTCACCTCCAAATGATCCCCGCAGCAGTAGGCGCCGGCAGATGCCACGCGGATCTGCCGCACCGACGGGGCCTCCGCGTCCTCCGCGCGCTGGCAGAGCTCCTGGAGCAGGTTCCTTGAGGTGTCCAATTGGCTTTGAAAGTTTGATCCTCCTGATATTCATGACTTTCAAGTTTCTTTCCATGGGCGTTCTCAAGGGGCCCTGCAGATACAAGAGCAAGCAAAAGCGAACGATTTCCAACATTGGACTGCTGTCTGAAAAGGGTCTTCGCGCGATTCCCTGCCCTTTGGTTGCAGGGACTGCCATAGTGACCCTCAGGCAAACCGGACAGGTGATCGAGAAAGTCCAGGTCCTCATTCGAGGAGATCTTGCAGGACTCGTACCCGAGACTCGTCACAAAGTGCTCTGACATTGAGGTTGGCGGCTTGCTTGAAGGCGCCAGCTCCAACGTCTCGGGAATCACCTTCGGAGGCAATGGCTAAAACCAGCTACCCCTGGCAGTTGCCAAAAGCATCCAGCAATTGCGCATGCTCAAGCTAAAATGTACGTTGCGGGTGGGGTGGGAATACGTCGGTCCAGAACACAATGCGTTGCGTCTCTGATTCAAGATTGTACGACACAAGTGCAGCATATTCGTTTCCGTGTGTGTGTGTGGCGAACAACCGGGCGGGCGGGCGGCGTCCGTGGGTGGGTGGGTGGCTGGCGTGGCTGGGGTGGATGGGTGGGGTGGGCGGGGTGGGGTCGGGTGGGTGGGTGCGGGTCGGTGGATGTGTGTGTGTGTGTTGTCCATGCCAGCGCGCTCTTGCCTGTGCGTGCCTGCGTGTGAGGGTGACTTGACCATGTCTCATTTCATGTCATTTCCAGGAAGAGGAGCGAACCACCAGGATCGCAACGGACCCGCCAATCACATTCGATCATAGCTCGTGATGCGATGCCCTGCTGCCTCTGCAATCTGCTCCGCTGCTGCCGCAATCTGCTCCTGGACAAAATCCTCCGGTGAGTTCGCGAAAGTGGAGAGGACAGCCTGTCAAGAGCTCTTCAGAAAAAATCGAGGGGGAAACAAAAAGAAAGAAACCAAAATGTTCAGATGCGCCCCCTGATGTCCGCGATATGCTTGAAATGCATTGAATACCCACCATGTGCTGAGTGGAACCCGTAGGATCATTTTTCGAACTAATCCACAAGGAAATGTGGTTCTTCCTGCTTGCTTTGCAAGCCTGGCGCCAGGACCGCACGGACTTCTCGAAGCAGTCGTTCTTGTCAGCCACCTCAGTCAGTGAGGCTACCCTTTTTGGGGGGTGGTTTGAAGGGAACCCAACAGCAGTCCTTTATTTTTGTGAGCTCATTTTTGATACACACACACACACCAAAGGTGGAAGGGCGACGGCTTCTTGGTGCCTCCAAGGGGAGGAATCGGCGCGCACCAGCGCGAGCCATGTGCTTGTCGACCTCCTTGGCCACCTGCACAGGCTTTCTGCGTGAGCTACGTCTATCCCTAAATCCCGAAAATTGCAAGTGAGTAAACCACACGTGTTTCTTTTTGCAATTCACCGTACTTGGGTATCTGTCAAGTCAACCTGCACAGATTATTGCCACAGTCGGTATGTCACCCCCGTAGCTCTCCCACATCTCACCCATTGATACGAATCTTGAAATCTAGGGGGCTCTCGTTGGGATGATGTTTTTTCAAGAAATCAAACAGAACCTGCAATGTGAGAATACGCGGTTCTCGTAAAGGACATGGCAAAATGAGCGTCCACAGAGAGCAAACTGCACCTTGATGTAGGTGGAAATCCAGTTGGAGTTGCCAACCTCAGCTCAGATGTCAACGGAGCGGCCCACATCCACCCGATACTTTCGTGTCAACCAGTTGCTTCTCGCCCCAAACTGATTTCAAGTGGGATCCTTTCCCCAGCTCAGAAAGGTTTGATGGCAGAGCGAGTCCCTTCTCCAGCCAGGCACGCCGAGCACCGCAAAGTTGATGTCGGCACCTACGGATACATGTTTTCAAGCACCAAGCCGAATGAACCAGAACCAAAGTCAAGATGCGATCAACGCTAATCAGCCTCGCATTTTCGAACCAGGTTGCTTGTTTTTTGGCACGAAATCCCATGGTCCTTTTGCAACTTGCCCAGGTAGAAACCCAGTTGTGCTGTCGAGAGGACCTGACCTACGAATCTGCTACCATGATAAGCCTGAACAAGAGTTGAACCCGTGCACTGACCGTCACTGCCCCGCCGAAGCGCTTTTGTCAGAAGGGGGCACTTCTTCCAGCGCTTTGCAGAATGCCGCAGCGTTCCTTAGGTAGTTGTTCACACCAAATCAAGCAGCAGGCTAATCTCCCACAACTCGATCTTCCTGTGAGTTCCTGTGAGTCTGTGATTGGTGGCGGCCCACTTGCACTTAGAAACGGAAACAATGATGACAACCAGCGATTTCGTGCCCCAAGGGCAACGGGATCTGTGCAGCCAAGTCGCTCTGGCGGGTGGCCGTTGTATCTGGGCGATCCCAAGAATTCATGAAGCAAAGCAGTATGGGGGCTCAGGGGTGAGCACTGGCATGAAGAAAGCCCGACTCCCCTCTGCAGCAACTGCAGGATTGTCTCGAACAAGCAACCCAGAATTCCCTCAAGTTGGCCCTCAAGTCTCCAAAGTCCTTGTCAGCAAATGCCAAATTGAGAAGGAATGGGAATATTTAACCTGAGGCCAATCAGAATCATGGCCTCCCTCTGCGATTCCTGATACAGGATGGTGTTTGGTGTGGGCTCCCGGAAAGCGACAGTCTGCCCGGTGACTCACAGGTGTTCAAAGCATTCATATATCCCCCAAGAGAGGTGCTACACTTCACCAACATACCCTTCACCTCTTTTGGGTCCGCATCCCATGAGGAGACATACGGATATTTGTGTGTGTGTGTGTGACAAAAGAGTGTCCTTTCAAATTGCTGTTCCTTTGGTTTCCCTTCAAGAACCACAAGGGGGGCTTGTGATAGGTGTCCTTTCGGTACTATAGAAGGCCCTGGTAAATGGAATAAAACCCATCTAAGCCAGTGCTATTTCTCAAGCTGTCCAAAGAAGGACACCTACGGGGCTTATTCGCCATTTTGAGGAACAGTCCGAGTATGTTCCAAGTCCAGCGCTTCCAAGGCACGTGGCGATCAAAATCAGCACCACCGGCTGTTCATCCTTAACCTTCAGGCCAGCCAGCAGCTCTGACGGCTTCACCTGGCGAAGCAGACAAGCTACAGCCAGCTTTGGTCTTCCTTTTGGGCTTCCAACGTGAAAACAGTTGGTGGAAGGCTGGGAACACCCAGAACCAGCAATGTAAAATGATGTCCAAGGCCCCCCACTTGCAAATTAGATTCTGAAAGAGGTAAACCGAAGCGACACCGAACCTTTTGTGACAGGTGGAAAATTGAGTCTTGACTCCTGGTCTTTGCGAACCAACTCCTCTCGTCCAAGACCACCAATAATTGCATCACTTGCCCGTGGGCTTGTGTTTGTTGGAGGGTACCCTTTTCAGGTTGGTTGAAAGGAGAACCACCAGGAAGACCGAAGCCTCTTTCGGGGTCGCCCATTTGAGCTTGTATTTATTTTTGTTGAGGGTACCCTTTCTGGGAGCGTTTTTGGGGGAAGCCAAAAGAGAAACCCACCCCCGGAAGGGGGCCCCGTTTTTGACGCATGTCACGCGGCCTCGTCCATGGCCTTGACCTCCACCTCGAAGTTTCGCTGCTGGGCCGATTTGGCCAGGTCTTGGGCAGCGCTCTGAGTGGTGCCGAATTGGCCGCCCCACCTCAGGCCAAGGGCGAGATCGATCCCAAGGCCTTGTGGCAAGGAACCCTTTGCCCAATTTTCCGGCAAATTGAAAAAGAATCTCGGATATAAATACCTAAAAGTGTGTGGCGGCTGGGCCGAGTACGTTCGACAGGTTCTCTGGCAATAAGACTTCCAGCTCGGAGTGGAACGATCGAATGCACAAGCTGCCAACCCAACTCTCACTCCAAGTGGCAGAATGAGCAGCGGAGGTTTGGGGCCGCTGAAATTCCAACATCCCGACGAACCTCAGTCGTTGGGGGCCTGTGATCTCAAGGATGCAAGCGGCAGATTCAGTGCTCAGCTTCTGCTTGGGGAGAGATGGGTTGCCTTCGTGGTACTCCGCCACAGACGACCATCGCAAATCTCTTTCGAGTGCAACCAGGCTGCGGCGTGGGTAAACAGAGCCTCTGTCTGCTCCTCCCTCGTCCAGAAAGGACTTTGCCATGTTGCCTTGCCACGGATGCCAGGCGAGATGGCAGGAGCAGTCGCGCACTGCCGCTGCTCACAATGAAAGGCGGTTGCCACTGGAAAACAGAAGAGAGGAAGAAAAGCCGTGACAGGGGTTCACTGAACATATGGTCACGACAACCAAACATGAAGAACATGCCCAGCCAAAGCGGCCATGCCATTGAACCCAACCCCCCCCCCCCCTCCCCGATTCATTTGGCAGAGGCGCCCAAGGTGGGAGGCTCGGCCACTTCCTCTGGCTCCAATCCATCGTCCCGGCCGGTGAACTGCAGCCAAACCCCGCCGCCCCTGGGAACGGAATCGGCCGAGATGGACATCTCTTGGTCGACCATCGCCGATTTCTTGCTGGAATTCTAGGTAAAATGTGTTCTTGTCTCCCTCAATGGTGTCAAATATACGGTACATCCAAGTGAAAGCTGAAGTTCTGCTTGACGTGGCTATCTAGCAAACCTCATGCAAAAGGCGAAGACCGACTTCCCTGTGCAAGTCAGTTGCAGTAGGGAGCTGAACCGGCCTGCTGGCCGGCAATGGGGTAGCAATGTCCTTGGGATCAATCTGGACCTCAGCGCTGCAACTTGCACAGCATTCGCGACGCCAGAACTGGGAGAATACTCGGCGCTCGGCGGGCTTCTCCGGGATGGTTCGAACGTAGAACTTCCTGAGATGGACGGGAAGAAAGGCAAAACAAAAACAAAAAAACGCGGCCGTAGCAAGGAGGTTCATCATGCAACGGAACGAAGATGCCTCGCACTCCTGCTGGTTCCTGTTGCACAGCTTACTGAGATCCAAAAAAAATGCTTCCCGGTGTGTGTCACATGCCCACATGTCTTGGTTTAGCTCTTCGTGCTCCATCCGTGGAGCCCGCTCACGCGAGGAAGGCAGGACAACTGCCCACGAAAGCCAGTAAGGTAGGGCCTCCCCCCAAAGGTGCTTGGCGAAGTGCTTGGTCTGCACAACAACGGGATGCTGAGAGGAAAGCAAAAGAAGAAGCAGCAACACCAACACCAGCAGCACCAATGCCACCACCGCTTCTCACCGAAAAGACAAAAGAAACAAATCCCACGCGAGGACACGCGAAAACCGGCCCCGCCGTCAGATTAATGCGCCGAGAGGCCTCAGTATCAAGCATAGCAGAGTCTTTGCCTGCGTGATGGCGAAGAGGTTGCCTGGTGCTCCAGCAAGCTCCGAGGCTCTAGTCTTTGGACCCGGGGTGCTCTTTTACATCCACAACAAAGGGGCCATCGTTGTGAGAAACTCCCTGGCCATGGTGATGGCTCCTTTTCCGGGGATCAGTGTGGTGGTTTCAATTCCCTCTTAAGGGGTCGATGACCACCCCTGTCCAACCCAAGCGATTCTTTGACCATGGCACATGAGAATCCCCACTCGAAAAGAGTCTGGAGGCCCCAAACGCCCCAAAAGATCTTCAAAGGTGACCGTGCTGCATGTGCCGACGGCCGACCCCTGCCTATGCAAAGCCTCCTGCCACCGCCAAACGGTATGAACTGAAACGGATGGAACTTTGCCATCTTTGCCTCAGGGAGCACTGCATACGAATTCTTCTGAGTAATAATCAAAAGCCAAAAGCTAGTATTTGGGGAGACACAAAACCATGTAAAGAATCAAGAGAGCGGATTTCCACACCCATGTTTGGTTTGGACTGTCCGTTCTTCACAAACGCCTGGGTGACTCACCTCTCTGTCTGCTGCTGCAATTCAACCTCCAAGCACACTCTCCACTTGTTCATGTTGCAAAGCTAAGGGGCAATCCCATTTGTTGCTTTGTGGCATTTCCCATGCACAAATGGCTTATTTGTGTTTCTGTTTGGAGGTAGCAATCAATGACAAAAAATATGTGTATATACATATAATATATATATATATACACAATACCCAGTATACCTGCTGCGCCTGCTTCCTCTTTGACAAGTGGCTGGCTCGAAGCGCTCTGGAATAAACTCCAAAGCATCCTCGCCCCAGTACTTCTTGCCTCAGGCGCAAGAGCACGAGCAGCAAAGCACAAGTCCTATTCAAGCTCAAGCTTCTACTGTCTTGCTAGGGAAACCTCCCCCAAAAGCTGGGTAGACAAATCCCAAAACATTCCGGGATGAGCCCTTGGGAAAATTATGTGCCATGGCTGTCGCACCGCGACAGGACACCCATCCATCGCAAGCGTGTTCGCATGGGCACACAATCACTGAGGCCTCCGCTTCGGGAGATACCCATAATGTGAATGGCCTCAGATGTCGCAACAAACCACGCATTCCCTGTACATGTGTATATATATATATAATAACAATAATACTAATAATAATAATAATAATAATAAGAAACAAACACACACACACACAAAAAAAACAAAAAACAATAATAATGATGATAATAAATAATAACAGTAATAAAATGATAATAAAAAAGTAATGATAATACATAATAACAATAATAATAAAAATAGTAATAATAAAGTAATGATAATAAATAATAACAATACTACAAATAATAATAATAATGATAATAATAACAATCATAAAAGGAAAATAAACAAATAATAATAACAATAATAATAGTAATAAAAATATAAATAAAACAAAAAGTTCCTCACACTATTTTTACGCACGTTAGCGTTCCATTCCCTTTACATCCCCTTTACCTTCCGATTACATTTGTTTTACAGTCCCTTCACATTGCCTCTACATTCCCTTTACAATCCATCACCTCACCCAGAAACGAGCTGTTGGCTGTTGGGTAGAGCCACAAAACGGCTTTCACCCCTGATCCAAACCATCCTGTCCTCGAACTCCACCCTCAAAACCCGGTACAAAAATGGTGAACCCAGAACCATGTAAAGGATTACGAAGGCGGCCGCACCCATTTCTGGCTGGGATCGTCCCTTACTAACCTTCATCTACCCGGGTTTTGATTGTGACTCTTTTGACTTTGGAGTCGGCCATGTCACAAGCCAACCGACGGTTGACTTAGGCCCCGGCCACCCAGGAATTGCCTCGGGCTGAGCCGTTTGGCCTGGTGTTTGTTCTGTGTGCAAACATGGCCATGGGACCGCCAGTGAACATCCCAATCCCCACCAAAATAGGTTCTAAAATGGGTGGTGCACCTACCCCCAAAATGGTACCATTGGTTTTGACCCACAGCCACATCCTTTCGTAACACTCTCACTTTGGGAAGAGCCTCTGCTTTGCGGGTTGTTCGAAAGCCCTGTCCAAAAGCAGGTCACTTCCGGGTTGGACAAAAGGTTGACATGATGGAGGATTGGCCCCCCTGGAGTCACCCAACGACCCGGGCGAACAAATCAAATGGCCATGGGTCAAAATCCCGTACCCCCGGTGAACATCCCAATCCCCAGTAAAATAGATTCTAAAATGAAGTGGTGCACCTACCCCAAAATGGGATCCTATTGGTTTTGACCCACAGCCAAATTGTGCTTGGTGAATCCTCGCCTTGCCCCGACCCCGCGCCTCGTCCGCTGTGGCCTCCAGGCAGCAGCGTGTACTCCCCACATTGCACGGGCTGGGTCAGCCCGCGCTGGGCCACCTGGCGAACGGCAAAAAAAAGGAACATAAATGGCTCAAGAGGACATGAGAGACTTGCGGACTGGGTGGGAATTTTGGGTGCCCAGCCCCCCCCCCCCCCCCCGCCCGACTGGGGATGAGCCCAGGCTTGTTGTGGGAATTTGGGGTACCCCCGTCCCCCCTCCAAGTCGTCCCCAAACTGACAATAGACTACCTGCGATTCTCTTACAGTTGCTCTGTGAGGGAAGGTATCGTGCTTGGGGTTGCCCGCCGAGATTGTGCAGAATTGGTGGATGCTGGGCTTTCAAAGACCAACTTTCCCATAAATGGGCCACACCAAAGGGAGGTGACTGTCACCCATTTGAGACATGCATCGCGTTCGTGATTGAACTTCCAAACAAAAGGATGTCCCCGTGTGTTGTTGATTGCGGACCGCTTCCACATTGCTGGGTGGGGGCCATACAGCTCTTACACATACAGTATGCTGTTGACATTATTCAAAAACAAGACTCTGTCTTACCACACTCTGACGTGTTGCTTTCCGCGTGCTGGCTCCAATCATGCGCCACAGCATCGATTGCGGTGGCAGCAAGCAATTCCAGTGGAGCAGGAATTGTCTCCAAGCCTCTGCAAGTAGAATGGTTGGGCCAAGCGACTATGTACTTTAGTCATGCAAAGGCCGCACGCACCAACCAGCGCCTGCACTGGAGCGCACAAGCGCAACGTCTCGCGCACCACCATGTCCATGTACTTCAAACGCCTGTGCCGCGGCTATGAGCTTGCGCACTGCTAAAGCGGGCTTATTCCATTGAATCTCTGGTGTCTTCATTGTCTACTGACCTGTGTCGACTCTGTGTCGACTTTTGTTTAACTACTTCAATCTCACTGCAGTCCTTTATCTGCGTTGTCGGGCGCCGTTTCCAAAAGAAGCGCCAACCAAAAAGCTGAATGAATCCTCGACCTGATTCCAAGTCCCCTCTGCTCCCTCAGAGATACGAACCTCCAGGTCCCCCAAACAAGTGACACTTCCAACGTCATCTTGACCACTCCTTCCTGATGCACTCCCGCCTCAGGTCCTCCCCGGTGGGTGGCCGGGTCAGATCACCCTCGAAGACCTGGCGCAGCTCTGCAAAGAGCTTCCTGGGCGCAGAAGAACCCACACGCCGCCGGGTCAACTGGCTGCGGGTTTGAGACGATTGGGTGAAAGTAGATGGCACAACTCCGACCCGCGAAGAAGGGTTGGGCCATCTACTGCCACCCCAATGTAGCCTGGTTGGGATTCTAAAGGAAAAATCAAAACAGAAACCACCCGTCTTGGGGAAGAAGGTTCCCTCAAGAAAGGCAAACCCAAATGCGGAAGCAAAAGCCCTCATGCTTGCATGCCCATATTTGCACCTCATGCTTCTGCATGTTTGTGAGTGTTTGAGGCGGCGTTGTGCCTTTGCCAGAATCCCATGCTACCCATGCTACCTGCTTGCCAGGTTTTTTCCAGGAATCCCATGCTACGAGTTCTTCAAAAGATCTTTGCATGTAGCTAAATGATGATCATGCTACGATTATGATGATCATGCTATGATTAGGATGATGATGATGGTGATAATAATAATGATTATAATGATGATGATAATGATCATGATCGTGATGATAATGATGGTCATGATGATGCTGATGATGATGGTGGTGATCATTATGATGGTGGTGATCGTGATGATGAGGATGATGGTGATGTTGATGGATGATGCTGGTGATGGTGGTGGTGATGATAATGATGATGGTATGATGATGATAATAATGATGATGATGATGATCATGATGGTGCTGATGATGGATGATGCTGGTGATGATGATGATAATGATGATGATGATCATAATAGTGGTGGTGATAGATGATGCTGGTGGTGATGATGATGATGGTGTGATGATGATAATGATGATGATGATGATAAGGATGATGATGAATATGATGGTCATGATGATGCTGATGATGATGGTGGTGATCGTGATGATGAGGATGATGGTGATGTTGATGGATGATGCTGGTGATGGTGGTGGTGATGATAAAGATGATGGTATGATGATGATAATCATGATGATGATGATCATGACGGTGATGATGATGACATTGTTGATGGTGATAATGATGAAGATGATGATGATGGTGATGGTGGTGATGGTGATGGAGATGATGATGATGATGGTTATGGTGATGGTGATGGTGATGGTGATGATGGTGATGGTGATGATGGTGATGGTGATGGTGATGGTGATGATGATGATGGTGGTGATCGTGATGATGAGGATGATGGTGATGTTGATGGATGATGCCGGTCATGATGATGATGATGATGGTGGTGATGATGATGATGGTGTGATGATGATAACGATGATGATGATCATGATGGTGATGATGATGGATGATGCTGGTGATGATGATGATGATGATCATGATGGTGATGATGATGGATGATGCTGGTGATGATGATGATAATGATGATGATGATGATGGTGGTGATGATGTGATGCTGGTAATGATAATGATAATGATGGTGATGATGATGATGGGGATAGTGATAATGATGATGGTGGTGATGATGCTGGTGATGGTTATGATGCTGATGACGGTGATGGAGATGATGATGATGGTGCTGGTGATAGTGATGATGACAATGATGATGATGATGATCCGCATCATCATCAGCATCGTCATCGGCGTCGTCATCATCAGCAGCAGCATATCAACCAACATCCAGCCACATTTTTGGCCGACCCTAATGGGTTTGTATCGGAAAATACGGGAACCCCAAAGTATTCAGTTTTCCTCTGGCTTCCCTGAAACCAACCAAACATAGGCTACCAACTCCAAAAACCTCACCCACACCAATCTTCCAACAGAGTCGAGGTGCTTCTCCACCCGAGCACTTCTGGCGATGTGGTACAGGCCCCACGTCAGCAACAGTGTCGTGGTCTTGTGCCCCGCAACCAACCTCGGACCACTCACACAGACCCAGCGGCATGAAACCGTTCAACTTCGCCGGCTCTATCTGTCATGCTGTCGGCTATTCTTTGGTCTTCTCCAAGTCCCCCTTCCCTCCTCCGAGTTAGGAGCTGACAAAATCAAAAACACCTCCACCACTCCCTGACAATCATAGGTGTCTATTTTTCTCTCTCTCTCTCTCTCTCCAAATGGGTAATTTCGCGCCAAAGTGGGCCTGATTTTCTTTTGGCTTCCCCTCTAAAAAGCATATTTTTTGGGCACCTTCCAAAGGCTTCCCTGTGGGCTCCCATTCAAAACCCCCAACAAGACTGCTCAACTCTCCAGGCCGCATGGTCAGCAGCTGGTCTCGAAGCTCGCTCTGGGTGAAGCCTCGCGCGGTCAGCGGGCACTTGGCTGCGCAGAGGTGGTGGAGCCTCGCAGCGCTTCGCGCCATGCGCGCGCCGGCGGACATGCGCGGCAGCTACGGAAGCCGAGCAACTGGGCTCCAAACTTCAGACTTTTGGTTTATCGGAAAAGTAACGAAGCGAGGGGCGAAAGGGTATCGGATGCTGACTTCCGCATGGAATCTGTCCGTCTGGGTTGAGCGCTCCCTACAAATGGAGGGAAAGGGAAGGTGTGCAGTGTCCACACCTTCCAGCCTGAGCAGCAAGAACACGCATGCTAAGCCCCCCCGCAGACTGTTGGAAGAGCCAGTGTGCTTTCCTTCCCTGGCTGGCAAAGTGCAAAGGCAACGGCACAAGCGAGGCAATTGAGGACAATTTGACAACAACCTGCCTTGCACTGAGTCAAGTCACTTGTTTGGCAAATGTATGCTGTCAAATCAGAGCATCCAGAACAGCGTTGCCATCAAGCTCAATCTAATCATCCGAATCTGACTATGACCTCCCCATGTCTAAGGGATTTACACAGCTGCAAAGCACACTGCCTCACCGCTTCGATGATCTCGTCCAACATGCCGTCCAACTTCGACAGCTGACTGGCACGGTGAGCATGGCGACATGTGCCACGGACAGAAGAGAACGGAATCTTCTGACCGCAGACTCTGACGGCTCGACACAAAAAGCAAAAACCACTGATCACGTCTCCAGTGACTGTGCATGTCAAAAAATCGGGGGATTTTGGTATTCCTTTGGGCTCCAACTTGACACCAACACGGATGCCACAAGGGAGGCTCAGGCCGGCACCCCTCAAACCATCGCTTCCTCGTGCCCAGAACATCCTCAGGCAAACATGACACCCCAAGTGGACTTCACCTTGGGGAGTTTCGCCTGGGTAGAAACAAAACTGACACCCTGATTGCACATGTGTGCGCCAACTTTATGTGGAGGCACTCTCACGCAAGTCAGCCGAGCGTCGAATGCGCCGTACAAGCTCGTATTGATGCCTCAGTCAAACAAGCCAATCTGAGTGCCGGCAGTACTGTGGCTGAACAAAATCCTGCACCCACCAAGGATCCCGAGGTGATAAATGAGGTGCGCAGCTAAAAACGAATTCACACCTGCCCATCAATCAAACTGGGGTCCCACAGTTCCACAGTTCGCACAAAGGTCCAAATGGCTCTCAGGCAGGTGCTTGCTTCGATCACTTCATCGAAAAGAGGTAGGAGTTCAGGCATCTCCTTAGCTACCGAGGCCATCCAAGTCATGGTGGTCCCCTACAACCAGCACCAAAATATGGAAAGTCTTCTTTTGAGGGTACTTGGAAAGGGAACACCTTTGGATGGCTCACGCTGAGATTTCCCTTTTCCTTTGCTTAATATCGCTCTCTGCTTTTTTCGGGTCTCCGGGGACTCCATGCACTTCAGGTTGTGTCCGAAGCCCACGTCGCAGATCACGTCCATGGTCACCTTCTCCACCCAGGCCTCGAAGCGCTGGCTAGTGCAGCCGTATGGGTATCTTTTTTCGGGGTGGGTTTAAAGGAAAGCCGAAAGGAAGCCAACGATTTTAGGGAGGCCTCTCTTGAGAACACCCATAATATGGATCAAACAAATCAATGTCACACATTGTGAAAGGGACGAACCTACCAGCTTGTGCGAAGTGGACTTTGTCCATCCACGGTGCGCCCAAAAGCCGAAATTGCGGCCAAGGTGCAAACATATCGATGTTGTCAGCGTTTGCAGCTATGATTTCCTGGCAGGGCCATTTGCTGAGTGGTCGACGTGTGCATGCACATGGCTTGGGAAAGAATGGTAGTGCTGACAAAAGCCTGAGAGAGCGCGACAACGGAAAGTCCTTACGAACACAAGTGATTCAAACAAGAGGAAATGCCCGTTTGATTGCCGCGTGATACCCAAGCAACCCCCCGCCAAACTCAAAACTCCGGCCTGCAGCTTGAGGCACTTCCCCGCGAAAATGGGCACCAGGGAGTCAATGGCCTCTGGCGTCAGCTGCGCCTGCGCGGGGCGCCAAGCTTCAGAAGGGAATTCGCAGCTGTGACCAGACTTCCAGTGGTTTTCCTGTGTGGGAAATCAACAGGCTTGACTTTGAGGTCAAGTCAATCCTGCTGTCAGTCCTGCAGCGCATGTCGCCCGAACCTGGGATGCATCGGTCTATCGGAGCCTCTCTGGGAAGCTGTGAATGTTCAAACATCTTAGGCGTGGCTGCTTGGCGCAGGGTCAGCTGGCTGAAGATGGCGGTCTGCGTGAATTGACCGCGGCAAGCATCACTTGCGAGGACCAACTTCCTAGAAAAACTTGAAGACTCCGTCAACTATCATGTTGGGCAAGTGAAAAACTGAGCATCGCCCGCCTCAACACGAAACCAAGATGAGGGAGCGTCAACGGAATGCGATGAATCTTTCACATGTGCGATCTGACATTTGCCCCCAGCAGCCAGCAAGAAAAAGAGGACCAAACAAAAAATGTGGGTATGTGTTGACCCACAGACTTGTAGCTTTGTTCGTTGCAAACTCAAGAAGGGTACTCGATTACAAACAAAAAAACACCCAGTTGATCCATCCACCGGATCGAGCGGCTCCCAGCGCTGGCCGTCTGCAATGAAGACCCCTTGGCCGGCAACAGCCTTGCACCCGAACACCTCGCAGGACGCCGGTTGATTCACCAAATCTTGCTCCCCGGAAGCACTGTGTGAAGACAATGTCACCTTATGCAAATGGATCTATCTTTGAAGGGGCCCAACATGGTTGTTGTCCTGTTGGTTTTCCGAAAAATCAACAGGAAAAGACTCAAATTGGGTACCCTTCTTGCATTGTTTCTGGGCGAACGAGGTTCTCGCTGGCATCTACCTTCCTCGGGGCCCCCGCATGTATGCTTGTCATGTTCCAATACTTCGACGAATTATCCTGCCCTTAATTCTGCCGTCCGTTTCACAGCGTCAGAACGTTATGAAAATTGAGCGGACCCGACAAATCCAACTCGAAACACCTGCCCTGAAGCCGCCCACCAACGAGTCTGCTTGAGCTTAAATTCATTGGGTCCGAATCGTACCTTCACACATCACATATAGAAAAATGGGTTATGTCCACATTTGTAACAAAGTGCTGCAAGACGGTGTTGTTCAAACAGCTGCAATGCTGTCAATCGGATTGGCTTCCCCAAACGCAGAGTTGCATTTAAAGTCATGTTGGTGGTTTCCACCCCCTCCAATGCGCTAAGGACATCGGGAGTATATACCCTTTATCTAGTAGCTATAGTGGCTACAAATTGGAAGTATATCCCAGGAAAACACTCGGGCTAGTGGCTCAACCATCACAATCGCAACAAAGCGCCTCTTTTGGCAAGCGCTTGTCCGGGATCTGATTCACAATGTCCACCACCTCTGGGTCAGCACAAACCTCGGAACGAGATAGTGGCTCTTCTTGTTCGAAGGCCAATCTTTGTGGTTGAGTAATCCCTTCAAACTTGGACTTGTGGTGGGATATGTCATAAACCCCTCTAAGTTACAAAAAGTCAGAAAGTGAAAAGGTATGGCTGGGAACCAATGTGCGCAACCAGCGTACAAATGTCACCCCATGCCATCTAGAAATCACACCCATGCCGGCACGGCCCTAAGCAACTGAGGACTTTGTAGGCGCCCCGCATAGACCACGTCATCAAATATGCGAAGCTTCACCAGAGGCCCATACCTGCCAAGACTCTTCAATTCTCCAGCTTCGATCTCAGCTCGTGCCAGGTGCAAACGTTGCGGATGCTGTTGTGGTGCGAACAAACCACGCCTCCAGCACTTGTTTTAGCTGTGGGTCAAAAATAGGTAGCCAAAATGGAACCCTGGCAAATGGAAAATGGGCTGAAACCTGAGGTCCCGTGGTTTCATGTTGACCCACACCCTTTGGACACTCACGGTAACTCTCTCACCCTGCGCACCTCTCCACCAGGCCGAAGCACTGGACCCAAAGATCCGGCAAACCTCGGCGGTTCGGCAGCTCTCAGTCTTGTGCCGAATCAGTTCGTTCATTCATGCGAGCCATCAAAAGGCAAGGAGCGTATGGCATACATCACCAAGGAAACTACACAGTCTTTGTTGTGTCAAGCCCGTCAACAAGAAACAGAAGCTGCCAACTCATCTTGGGTCTCACACACCACATCTCAGCTGCTGGTGCGGTCGAGACACAGTCCTTCAAGTTTCCAGTGGTCGGTAAAACTGGCCTCGGCCAAATTCGAGCACTAATTATCAGCAGACAAGCGCGTCTCCCACCCTTCACGGACCAACATGATCGATCTCAAACCAGGCAAAACGTTTTCAGATTGCACCACTCAGGTTGCAAGCCCGCTTCCGAGATTCGCAAAGGGGGCTGCGTCGCAGTGTATCATGCCACATGCCGCTGTCTCAAGCCGATCGCTGGTCCATCCCCGAGAGAACTTTGGGCTCACCAACGAAGCCAACATCGCCAAGCTGCGGCTGTGGAGGGTGGCGCGCGCTCCTGACTAATCGGCGGACAAAACCGGTCCGCCGATTTGGCCAACGGCTCGGCCAAAATCGAAATCCCATGAAGTCGCCCGTGCATTTCAACCGCCCCGAATGCGTCATTCGTGAGGCCCTGGAATGTAACCTGCGCCGTTGGCTACGTCTGGCCCACAGCATCTGCCTGGCTTGTCTGGAGCCAGTCAGACTGCGCCACAGCGGACCTTGGCTTTAGGCTTTCAGAAGCCCAGGTCACGTTTCAGTCAAGCCATTGCCAATAGAACGCAGTCTCTCTGTGTGCTTCCCCAAATGATGTTCCCCCTACTGTTTTATGAAGGGAAACCAAAACGCCCCATCTGACGATTTGTTTCTGCTAAACCGTGACAAGTGCTCTCTGCATGCCGAGGCGCGAATGAGGAGATCACCAAAACTGTAATGCGCATGGTCGCTTCCCCACCTCATCAAACAGGGACTCCTCTGCTCACTTTCAGGGCATTCTCAACGAGCTCGCGACAAACAGGTGGCCAAAGCTTCTGCTTGGCAAGGCGCTTCCATTTGAAGTTCGAGCCATCTGTACTCACTACCTCCAGATCGATCTTCATCCCTTGATCCGTCGCCCGGCGCACCTGAAGCAACACCCACTGCGAATAGTCCAATGGGCCGCTCAGATCGAGAAAGCCGTTGCCGCACAACCCCAGTGGGAGGGTCCCCAAAGAACCTTCTCTTGGAGCCCCGATTTCTATCAGTTTCTCTGGGCACGCATTCCCAGTCAAGCCTCAGAGCCAACTCGCACCTGGCAAAGCCCGAAATGGCTATGGGTCAAAATTCAACCTCCAAAAAACCACAGATAGTACCCTTGGTTCCATTTACCAGGGTTTCATTTTGTGTACCTATTTTTCACCCACGCCCCAATGTGCGATGCGCCGGTTGGCCTGGCTGCCGCTCTCCTCGCGGTTCTCGTAGATCCGCTTCAGGTCCTGCAGGCTGAAGATCTCTGTCTTGCCGTCCTGCGCTAAAACATGGACTTGTCTCCATTTCCTGGAGACCCTTCTTAAAGGAAACCACAAGGGATACCGTTTATAGGGGCCACGGTGCTCACTAGGGCAAGTCTTGGGGGGTTGGTTCAAAGGGAGACCGAAAAGAGATGAATCCTTTTCATGTCTGGGAGTAAAGATGGTGTCGCCTTCCTCAGCCTGAAACAAGCAACAACAAAAAACTTCTCAAGGGATCCCCAAGGATGAGCTTGATCTCTTCCCCAATCTTGGGCGACCCTAGAAGGGTAGTAACATATAGGTTCTAGGATGCCCATTGGAACCCGTTTAGGGGCTGACAACCTCTGCTGAAGGTAGAAAAATCCACGATCACTCTCGAACCCACTGGGCCCCGTCAACCTGCAACCCGTTCCTCCGAGAAGAGCCGCCGCACCGCGGTGCCAGTGCTGTTCTCGGAAACTCCGAAGACTTCCATAGCATCTCGAAGGGCCCTCGAAATTACTTTTCAGCAATGCTCCTGAAGAATTTGAAACCACCATGAGGGGTCACTTTAGCGGACCCGCTGTGCAAACATCCGTCCCCAACTGTGTGTGTGTGTGGGTTTGCGGCTTACATATCCTTGGTATGCCTTGTGAGGCCAGGGTTGACTTCAACTCTGAACAAAATGCAAACCATCCCCTTGACGACTGGCATTCGGATACGAGGGCCATGCATGAGACAGTTGCAGTACGAAAAGAGGCCGAGGCCAAGGCTGTACTTTGGAGCTACAAGGGAGATTGAACGGCTGTATATCATCGGAACTTGCCAAACACGCATGGTGTATTCTCACCGGATTTTCGATCGAACCTAATAACATTGACCGTGCCGAGCCACGCAAAAAGACCACTCCCTGACCTCTCGTGCATTGCTTTGTGGTGTGGCCAGTACTGCCCAGGCCGCCCCTTGACTTCACTTAAGTGTATGCTGTCAAGTTCGGAACAATCCGCTCATGGAAACGTCTTCAGTTACAACTAACACATGCAACCGATCGCAGGTTGCTTCGCTCCGGTACCAATGGATCCGCCAAGCAAAATCGGCAAAACCAACCACAAACCGTCGAGAAATACCGCATTTCCCCTGCATCTGGTGGGCACACCGCTTTGAACCAAGAAGCTGCACATCTGGCCAGAAGCTCTGCAAAGGACATCGCCTGCGCGATGTGGAGTGCCCGGGCTACACTGCAAGTAGGGGTCCGCCTTGTAGGCGGAACCACCCCTATGATTGCTTGTGCATGTCCAAACGGACTATACAGGACACTTTGGCAACGGACCCTTTTGGTATTCAAAGGGAACCGAAAAGGGAACCAAACATTTTGGGGGACCTCTATGTCAAAATCAATGCGTCTATAATGCACACCGTTGCTGACCTGAGCGGAAGCTGACTTCAGCGCCTTGTCCAGGTGCAATATCGTTGTCCCCGCCTTGCCTCGGCTTCACAAGACTGATAGGGTGTGTCTGAGGTTGCTTTCAAGGGAAACTGAAGAGGAACCACCCGCTGTGGCCTTCCCACATGGGTTTGTCTCACTCAAAATAGGAGAGTTTGCAGAAAGGAATCCGGGAAGCCCTCAAACTCCTCTGCATCTCAGCGCGTGCTTCTCTGACAAACAGGCTGGGAGCCGCACCATCCACCTGGTCAATGATGCCCAGCATCATTGTGTTGGGCGAGGTGATGGTTGCGCGACTCGGTCGACTTGCTGAGCTGGCGTGCGTGGCGGCACTTGCTGCAGTGTTGCCTCGGATGCACAGGCAACAAATGGGTGTCTCAAAGGCAAGCAAAAAAAACGCGGGGGATGCCTTTTGCTTCCCTTGTAAATTACCTAGAAAATTACACAAAATACCCCAATGGACTTTTAGAAATCGTGCCCGAAGCGAAGGACCCTTCCAGAGAGTCAGCTTCCTTGTGATGCCCTTTCACAATCCCGGAAACGCTGCAACTTATTTTCACACATACATGAAAACCACCATATTGCGGAGTCCCCTAAAAAAAGACACCCACATCTCCGAACAAACTGCGTACTAGCCACCGTGGGTTAATGTTGGCCGATGCGTCATGTTTTTTTGTTTTTTTGTGTTTGTGTTCCTTTCTCTTTTTTCCGGCATCATGCGAGGGGGCGTCTTGCCCCGATGACAAACCAATCGTCCTGCCTCCAGGCGACGTCAACATCTGTGAAACCGGCTTGTTCCAAGAGCTTGCAATGCTGATACACTCCGGGATGTCCATGCCCAACACGGTCACCAATGAACACATGACCCCCAGGCGTCAAGCTTGAAAAAAGACCTGCAAACATCTTCGCGTAGCCAGCAGCGACGTCGGCTCCTGGCGAACATGCCTACCAACAGTGTCTGTGCGAAAGCTCGGCTCTAATCTAAGCGTCAGCAGTTCAGACATCTTGTATGACTCTATATGGTAAGCTTCAACGCTTCTACTACAAAGCTACATCATGACTGTGGCAGAATGATGACACCAGCAGTTTGTTGGTGTTTCTGCTGCCGTCCATTTCCCAAGACAGACACGCCTCCAATCAATAAATGTCAGCACATATCATTTTCTCCATGCCCACATGCATGTCTTGCAAATGCGCTCTTTGCGAAAAGCCTGTGCAATCCGTTCCTAGATCTTCTGGTCCGGCTTCCCTCTCTCGCTCTCTCGCTCTCTCTCGCTTTCTCACTGGGTTGCACCAGCAAATCAAAACGCCGCACTCCAGGCCTGACACCGCTGCGAGTCCCAGCTTCGCTGCATAGTGCGGAGGAGGGGCAACGATGTGGCGCACGGCTTGCAGCCCAAGCACGCAATCGTACGGCGAGCCTGCAAGGGTCTCCATGGGCCGTGTTACAACCAGACTCTCTTGGAAGGGGAAACCAGAAGAGGTTTACAAGCTGCGCTGGTCAGCAAACGTCGGGCCGTAAAGGTTCGCTAGCCCCCTCACCTGGAAGTGGCTTTCCATCAGCAGCCAGCGCAGCTGCAATGTAGCGAGAAGGCGTCTCCTCATGCCAAACGGCCAAGAGCAACCATCTTTTGCTTTGTTTGTGTTTCTGGATTGTTGGAGAGAATGCTAAGCTTTGCGGAGCATCTGTTCAAGCCTCTAACAAATTGAGCGCTTGTTGGCCGAAGAGCTGGCTAGAAGCTGGTAAGCCTCTTGCAGCTTACATGACGTTCAAATAGTCTCAGCAAAGTAAACCTGTCTCTCCATCCTGTTCTTGCTCTGCGGGACAAGGAAGAATACTGGGATGGACAAAGTCGTGAACGTGGAGCAAGAAACTGCAACTCGCACCAAGGCACAGAAAAACGCTCGTTCAGCTTCGGCGCTCGTGGGAGCTTGCCACGTGCCATCTCCAAGCGACCCTGACGGGGATTGCTGGAGCTTTCGCCGGCGGCGGCAAGAACAAGGACTTCTGCTTGGAGCTGCTTGTTCAAGGAGCCCCCCCAAAGAACACATCCGTTGCAGTGGTCTGGGATTGAAGTCCTTCTTGTGGGTGCGCATTTCGAGTATATCGAAACAACACAGGGATACCCCTCCCTGATCAACAGGACAAATGGATTTGGTGACATCAGCACCCAGGAAAGGCCGCATCCGAGAGAAGCCGCTGACTTGTAGGGGACTCCACGTTTCCGAATTCATCGCGTGTTTTGTGTGCTCTCTTGATCCACTTGAGTGCATCGTGGTTGCAGGACCTGATAGTCTAGGCTTACTTTCAAAGACTGGAAGCAACTCAAAGCAAGTGACAGTTGATGACTAGTCCCTTCACCCTATGAAATACATCCTGTTTGATACAACATCATTGAAGTCAGACCCCCAATCTCCCCAACCTAAGTTATTGGGGGTGAGGGGTGATTAACTCTGCTGGCCCGGGCCTCATCAGGATCGATGAGCGTCAGCCGAGCCTTTGGATAGGCCGCTGCGACCGCCGCAGCTGACCGGCCAGTTCCCGCGCCAATGTCCACCACACTCTTTCCAGACAGCGGTGGCAGGGCGTAAACAAACTCGCCTCAGCTGCAAGCAACATCCAGCAATCACATACAGCGGTTGTGAACTCGAGCACCCGAGGGAGGGCCTTGGGCCTCGTGGCGAAAAAGACAGCCGCTTTCGCAGCCATGCCACGCAAGACATTGCTGGTTAAGGGAAGACGGCGCTCCATCTGCAGGTCATACCAGTCATTATCGCTCCAAAAGCCCGAGGGCGGCAGGAAAATCAGATTTTGAGTCCTTACAAGGCAGGAAGATCTATGAGAAGATCTGACTTTTTCTTTTTTTCCCCAGGACAGCAAACGGCACAAACTCACCCGCAAGACCCCTGCTAATTGCAGAAAAGACTCCAGGAGTCCTTGTCAGTCGAGCAGGAAAGCCCGCAAGAGCTGCTTTTCCGCCTGGCTAATGCAGCCAACACAAGCCTCGGCATTGGTTCCATCACTGGCAGAACTCTCATGGCAGTGACATCATCGCTCATCCAAACTTGAAACGCCGCCACGATCCACAATTTGTCGCTTTCCCATCTGGTGGTGTTTATCCCCTCGCCATTCGTCTATGAAATGGAATGCCATGTCCCGCCAGCTGCCACGGCGCAAAATAAGATATAAAGCAACCTGCGGATCTGCAAACGCTGTTGCTTGCTTCTTTCCTAGGTGAGTACCAGTACCTTCTGTTGGGAAGAGGTGTGCGGGCCAGGGTTCCCCGGCTAACCTTCTGCAAAACTTCAAAAAGCTTTGTGCTTGTTCAGCTTAGCTGCCATTGGACATGACAAACATGTTGACATTACAACCGTCCCTACAGTTCCTGCTCTCCTTGGATCTCGGTTCGGACATGCCGAGTTTCGACGTGTACTACTTCTGCGCCACTCTATAAAAGTATGTATGTATATATGTACATATACAATATATATATATATATATATATATATGTATATATAATACAAATACTTTTCTGCCTGAGCGTCGAAACCCAACGCCCGCCTTCCTTTGGCCGCCCCACGCTCCGGGCCTCGCGACGAGGCCCAAAAGGCCAGACGCCACCAGAGGCCGCCAGGCCATGGCGATCCAATGTTTTGGGCGCAGCGAGGGGTCCTCCAAACAGAACTTTCTCAGACCTTACCGTGGCATTTCGACCTCTCTGGACCCAACTGAAAAGAAGTCCAATCCAGTTTGGGAAGCACAAGTCTCACTTGATTGGCAAATCAGGGAAAGCTTGGATGTTCTCTCTGAGCGTTGTGGGTAGCCAGGTATTGCATAGGTCCAGGAACCTCTGCCATGGAGTCAACATTGAGCATTGAAGCCATGCGCCTCTCCCCCTGCGAACCACGCTGTGAGCCCTGCGGCGCGGGGTCCCCTCCAGGCTGATAGCCCGGAGAGCCCGGGGTCCCATGCTTTGGTCTCAGAGGTTGGACCGGTTGCCAGTTGCGCCAATTCGCCAAGTGCAAGCGGGGGGCTTCGTGATCGAACGTCGACGCTCAGCTCCTGCTGGATAGTCCTGCAGTTGGACTGCTGGAACCAAGCAAAATGGCAAAGGCTTACGTTGTTTGGGCATCAAACCAAATTCCAAGCCACGTTGCCCTTTCAAATTCCTATTGGATTGCTTGCAACTTCAAGGAGGCCACATCTGCATCGATTGTTCAGTGTCCAAAGAGTCCCAACTATTGGCAAACGGAATCACAAGCCAAGCCCCGCCACAAGGCGTTAAGCCCAGGAACCCGCTCAGTGAGACCGTTGTACTGAGTTCCATCCCGGAGCACCGTGATGTCTCACTAGGGCTCTGAGCATCCATTCGCCGATTCCTTTTCCCCGGGTTCCCACAAAACGAACCCCCGCCCCTGACTCCGGCCAAGTCGCTCGGAGGATCTTGAAGCGGCCTGCCGCCCGATGGCTTTCGCTTCAACACATGTTCCTTTCATGTTTATCGTAAAACAGTTATCGGCAGTCGTCTCGCCACCCGAACACAGCTGTAACCATGCGAGGTTGTCCTCCCGATTCTTTGTGCGTGAACAGATTCTCCCCTGAACCCTCCATGGACCTTGAGCAAAACCTCCCCTGCCTTGTTCAGGTAGGCCAGGGCAAGCGCCAGCGCTGCAAATCCCACTGCCGGACCTCGCCGTGAACCCCCGGCTGCTGCGCATGCGCGTTTCAGGAATTCGCAGCTACCATCACGCTGCACCCTGCTGCAAAGCAGGGTAACGTTCACAGATGTGGAGCATTTGGAGTATTGGAGAACCAAAGAGGCTGGAGAACAAGGAGGAGAGGACGAGCCATGGAGAAGTGGACAAAAGGAGGTGGAGCAACGGAGCTGTCAGTCGGAAAACGCAAGCGCAATCTTTTGGTGAGGGGGAGCTGTCAGTTGACACCAATATCTTTACCAAACTCGCGATTCTGCTGTCTCTCGTGCCGAAGCGACCTTGAATCGTGTCTGTTCTATCAGCCCCCCCGCTGCCACTAGCCCCCAACAACTGCATGCATCCCAAGCTGCGCTAGCCTTCATCAAGCAAGTATGGCCCCATGTCACCCTCACAAGCACCGAGGCTGCCACCAAACAACAAGGATCTCAGGCCAACTGCGTAGTTGCAGCCTGCCCACATTCCGCTCAGAAAGTGCTCCCATCTGCTCCCAAATTGCAAGAATCCTCGAACACACAAGAAGATGCAACAACCGCAAGCCTGAACTACATGCTTCCCCTGCGTCTGGCTGGCATCCAGCCATCCAGCCAGGAATAAATGCTCCTGAGCGCCAGGCGGGCGGCTACGATTCTGCTCTCAACAAACTAGCAATAGCCTGTAGTCAATGGCGGAAAATGATGACTCCCAAAGAACGGCTACAACCACTGAAAACCCTTTCAACAAAGAGGATCGCAAATCAAAACAGACTCCAAACAAACTAAAACCTTCAAATGAAAAAATCAATTCAAAGCAAATCAATTCAATGCAAATGTGGTGGCAATCGTCGCCTCCCGGGGACGATAAAAAGGGAGAAAATGTATGAAGATATGCTGCCGGGCAACCCCCTGCCATGCCCAGCAGGTTGATGGGCACCTGGGGTTCGGACGATGTATTCTCACAGCACCAGCCTTACACTTGGTCCAAAAAGTGATGTTCACAGAAACCAGCGACTGGAATGCATAATAAATACTAATACTATCATATATATAATACTACCTATATAACATACATGAGTTCAATACATACATATACATATATATATATATATATATATCCGCCGACATTTGTTTGGCGTGTCGGACACCTAAGAAGGTTGAGGTTAACCCGCCCAACCCCCTCCCCCACCGGGAGTCCAGGAAACGTCTGATACGTGCTGATGAGCAAACGCGCGGTCAATGCCTGCTCTATGCGCGCGGCCTGAACAAGTAGCTCTTTCGCGAAGCTTTCGCGGACTGAGTTTCGCAAACTCTTTCGAGCTTTCGCGATGCAGGGTTTTCTATTCGTGGAAGCTACTTGGGAAACCGTTTAGATAATCGTGGGGGCTTTGGGCGCTGCTCGTTGAGCCGAATCAATCCTGAAAGCTCGCTCTGACTTGATTCTGCGGCGCGTGCTTTGGGGCCACTGTTGCTTCGTCGGTCCTGCTTTTGCGCGGGCGCTTCCGAGAAAGAGGCTGCGGGCATCGTTAGGTTCCCAAATCCGAGCCCTTTTGCTTGGCGTAGACGCGGCCGCGTGCTGTGTTGGAGCTGTTTGTTGACACAACTCTGTCTGACGCTGCTTTAAAACTTCTTTACACTAGCATGGTCTCGTGTGGCAAAGTAGCCAAATTGCGGGCCTTGTCGCAGACGAACTCGGAGCATGTAGGCAAGACCCCGCGGACGAATTGCTTCTCGCAGCTAGTCAAAAGGAAAAGACACCGCAGCTTGCGCCGGCTCACTCTGAAAAGAAGCCCCGCTCGACCACAACTTGTGCCTCGAGGCGGGGTCGAGCCTTTGCGCAAGAGAGAAGAACGCTAGGCTGGGCCGACCTCTCAACCAACGAGAAGGAGTTCAGCCCAGACTGGTGCTGGAGCGGAGGCTCAGGCCCAACGACAGATGCCGGAGCAGGGCCTAGGAGCATCTGGTCCAGCAGGGGCGCCGCATCGGGTCACGTGTCTTGCGGTGGCAGGCCTTGAGTTGCTGTCCACGGCGGAGCTCGTGGCAGGCAAGCCCTACAAGCACTGAAGCAGCAACGGCCGAAGCCACACAGCGAATTTCCAGAAGCAAGATCTTCGACAGCTGTCAAGCGGAGAGACCGCAAAGGGCTCGAAGCCGTTTTGGAGCCCCAGGCCTCTATCGTTCTTTCTTTATTTCTCTCTTTCCTTCTTTCTTTCTTTCTTTATTTCTTTGTTTCCTTCCTTCCTCCTTCTTTCCTTCCTCCCTCCCTCCCTCCCTCCCTCCCTCCCTCCCTCCCTCCCTTCCTTCCTTCCTTCCTTCCTTCCTTCCTTTATTTCTCTCTTTCCTTCTTTCTTTCTTTCTTTCTTTCTTGCTTGCTTGCTTGCTTTCCTTTCTTTCTTTCCTTCTTTCCTTCCTTCCTTTCTTCCTTCCTTTCTTTCTTCCTTCGATCGTTCGTTCGTTCTTTGCTTCTTTGTTTCTTTGTTTTTTTGTTTCTTTGTTTCTTTGTTTCTTTGTTTCTTTGTTTCTTTGTTTCTTTGTTTCTTTGTTTCTTGCTTTCTTGCTTTCTTGCTTTCTTGCTTTCTTGCTTTCTTGCTTTCTCCCTTTCTTGCTTTCTTGCTTTCTCCCTTTCTTGCTTTCTTGCTTTCTTGCTTTCTTGCTTTCTTGCTTTCTTGCTTTCTTGCTTTCTTGCTTTCTTGCTGTCTTTCTTTCTGTCTTTCTTTCTTTCTTTCTTTCTTTCTTTCTTTCTTTCTTTCTTTCTTTCTTTCTTTCTTCTTTCCTTCCTTCCTTCCTTCCTTCCTTCCTTCTTTCTTTCTTTCTTTCTTTCTTTCTTTCTTTCTTTCTTTCTTTCTTTCTGTCCTTCTTTCCTTCCTTTCTTGATTTCTTTCTTCCCTTCTTTCTTTCCTTCCTTTCCGTCTTTCTTTCCTTCTTTCTTCCTTCCTTCCTCCCTTTCTTTCTTTCTCTCTTTCTTTCTTTCAAATCCTTCCTTCTTTCTTTTTGTATTTATTTCTTTTCCTTCCTTCCTTCCTTCCGTTCTTTCTTGCTTGCTTTCTTTCTTTCCTTCCTTCCTTCCGTCCTTTTTTGTTTCCTTTCCTTTCTTTCTGTTGTTCTGTCCTTCTATACCTCTGTCCCTCTGTCTTTTTGTGTGTCTTTCTTTCTTTCTTTCTTTTTTTCTTTCTTTCTTTCTTTCTTTCTTTTCTTTCTTTCTTTCTTTTCTTTCTTTCTTTCTTACTTACTTTCTTTTATTTCTTTCTTTATTTATTTCTGTATTTTATTTTCTTTCATTCCTTCCTTCCTTCCTTCCTTCCTTCCTTCCTTCCTTCCTTCCTTCCTTCCTTCCTTTTTTCCCTTTCCTTTCTTTCTCTGCCCCTCTGTATTTCTGTCTTTCTGTCTGTCTGTCTTTCTGTCTTTCTCAGGGTTTGGGGGGCGACGTACTGCGCGGCAACCTGATGACACTCCACTAAAAATAGTCTTCCAGGAGCCGGTGTGGAAAAACAGAGGCCTCAGGGTGACGGAAAAGTCGGGGGAAATGAAGAAGTACAGGGGAGATGCAAGGGAAATGCAGGGGAAATAACGGGGACATGAACGGTGAAGTGCGGGGATACGCAAGGACATGCAGGGAACAGGAAGCGGAAACGACAGGACCGTAAGGGAGATTCGAGGGAAACGAAGAGGAACTGAAAGAGTGAGGGAGAAACGAAGGGAAATGAAACAGTGAAGGGAAATGAATGGCAAGGAACGGAGATGTAGGAGGGAGATGACTGGAACGGATGGGTAAATGCATGGGAATCGAAGAGGAAAAGGACGGGGAAGCAAAGAGGAACTGCAAGGAAATGAAGGGCCACGACTCTGAAGCACATGCTATTATTTTGTATATACATATACATATACATGAAGCACTTATACATATACACACACGTACACATACACATATACATACACATCCCGCCGGACCGATAACCGGCGGGCGGCAAAATTGGACATCACCGCGCTCATGGCGCAGCCAAGCCTGCGCGGCGCTTGGGTTTTTGCACTTACCACAACGCGCCCCCGTCAAAACGCGTGCGATGCTCCAGTGTGATTCACAAAAACGTGTATTTAAACAAGAGAAACCAAGAAAGAGCAAAAAACCCGTCATGAAAATTTCCTGGCTTTAGCACAAGCATGTGCATCTTGCCTCAACGACACACACACACACACAAACCTGCACACGCGCTCTTTGGGGGGCTGCGGTCATCTCCGGGCGCCGTGGCCGCTGTTGACCTGACATGCTCAAGCTACGGTGATCTTGCGCGGGCGCCATTAAACACACACAAACAGCCATAGCCGAGACAAGAGGCCGTCAACGTATTCCAGGCGTGCAGTCAGGCGTGCGACGGAGAGCGATGGCGTGTGTGCTTACTATGTGCCAGGCATGTGCTCAGGCGTACAACGGAGAGCGTGAGCGGGTAGGCATGTACGCAGGCGTACGACGGAGAACATAGGCGGGTGTGCCTGTCGTGCGCTTTGGCGCGCGACGGAGAGCAGGAAGGGCGCGCTTACCGCGCGGCAGCATGCGCTCGGGCGTACGACGGAGAGCCTGGGCGGGTGTGCTTGCCATGCGTCATGTGTCAGGCACGTAACACAGGCGCACAACGAAGAGCGTGGGCGGACGCGCTTACCGTCTGCCAGGATGTATGCAGGCGTGCGACGGAGAGCGTGGGCGGGTCAGCGTGTGCAAAACCCACGTTTTGTAGCTCGAATCCGCTTGCTTAAACATCGCGGCTGTAAGTTAACCAGGTCTATGGAGTTGACCAGGTTTCATCCAGAGCCATCGAGAGACGCAAATCCATGCGCTTGGCGGGCAAACAAAAAACCATGAAACGCCACGCCGGTTTCCGGGGCGTAGGCATACACATGTACATCTACATATACACTATACAAATCTATCTACACATTTCTACATCGGGCGCCGTACCAAACACATCCCCCACATCGAGCCCGCCTGCGCCCCCGCGGAGGCGGCGGAGCGGCGGTCCGGGCGCACCGCCGCCAGCATCAGCCCGAAGGCGCCGGGCATCAGCGCGGCGCCTTAAAACGAAGTCGTCTGAAGCGAAACGGAACGAGGTTGGTTCGGCGAATCCTGCGCCAACCCAAACATGGCAAGCACCTTCTTCATAAAAAGCCACCGGGGTTTTGCGGTGTGGGCGGCTGCTGACATCGCGACGAAATGAAGAAAAACATGAGGGTGAAACCATGGATTGTAAGGGGGTTGGCTTAAAGCACAAGGGAAAGCCGAAGCCATTTTGGGGGTGCCTCCGAATCCATCCAACACCCTCCCTCCAATGGAACTTGTCAGGGAGGGAGGGAGGGAGGGAGGGAGGGAGGGAGGGAGGGAGGGAGGGAGGGAGGGGAGGGAGGGAGGGAGGGAGGGAGGGAGGGAGGGGAGGAGGAGGGAGGGAGGGAGGGAGGGAGGGGGAGTGGGGGGGAGGGGAGGGGAGGGGAGGGAGGGGAGGGATGGGAGGGGAGGGGAGGGAGGGGAGGGAGGGAGGGAGGGAGGGAGGGAGGGAGGGAGGGGGGGGGAGGAGGGAGGGAGGGAGGGAGGGAGGGAGGGAGGGAGGGAGGGAGGGAGGGAGGGAGGGAGGGAGGGAGGGAGGGAGGGAGGGAGGGAGGGAGGGAGGGAGGGAGGGAGGGAGGGAGGGAGGGAGGGAGGAGGGAGGGAGGGAGGGAGGGAGGGAGGGAGGAGGGAGGGAGGGAGGGAGGGAGGGAGGGAGGGAGGGAGGGAGGGAGGGGGGGCGGGCTCCAATAATAGTCTTTTCCATTCCCCGGTTTTTCTTTTGGTTGCTCCCTCACAGCTGGTCACGAATCATTAATCCCCGCAATAGGAATCCACTTTCCTCAAAAAAAGAGCATGGGCTCCGAAACTGGCTGGTTTCCTGTTGGGGTGACTTTAAACCAAAGAACATTGATGACATTCTTCTCTTGTTGGTGCGGCGATCCACCACGCACACAAAAAACAGACGCAGACACAGACATAGACACCACAGCACACACACACAGACACACAGACACACGCACACACACAGGGACACACACAGACACACACGGGCGCGCACACGCACAGGGGCCCCCGGCCGAGCATGTTGAACACCCAGAAGGAGGCAACCGCCACCCAGAATTGCTTGCAGAAGCAGGCCAGGACGCCAAAAAGCATGGCCAAGGCGGCGCCTGGCTTGGGAGGCGCCAAACTCAATAGACCTGTAAACATGCTCATTTACTTCACTTGATTTCAGAGGCACTGTTCAGTTTCCAGATTCATCCGAGGTAACGTGAGCCACTAACGACACGCAGCGTTCCCGGATTGCCGGCTTTTTGATGCTAATGGTTGTTCCTCTGTCTGGCAGCCGACTTCATCAGCCTCCTGCCAACAGCTGCACACAGCGTCGCGCAGCGGCGCCCTTGTAGCCCCCGGCCCGATCCACCGCGCTCCCGCCCAGGAACACGCCAAAGGTCCTCAGCAAAGCGCTGCCTGGGTGTGGATCTCAAATTTACAGAGCTAGGGTTGCGGCTTTCTTGCAATTGTGAGTGTTGTTGCTTCGAAATGGAAGTCGACCCAGAAGCCGCTCCAAGCATATGTCAATGGCTGTGGAGACGGAGAAGTCTTCTCCTTCCCTGGCGTTTTGTAGGGTCAACATTGCTCCTTCGCGCCAGAGACGCAACAAGTCTTTGCCCCTTGCAAACTTCGCCAGCATCCCCGGCATTCCTGCAACACCAGCGTCTGGGCGTTCCAGCATCCCTTACATCCCCTACATCCCCTGCATCGCTCAAACCCTTCAAAAAATGGTCGGTAGACGGACATGGCGGGCAAGTCTGCAATCGAGTGAGCGGCTTTTCTTGCGCAAGTGCGGTCGCCGCCGCTGCGCGGGAAACATCGCACATACCGTGTTTTCTTCATTTCTCCACGGGTTTCTGTGGAGCTGCGATGGGCTGCCGGGGATGATATTTTGGTTGGATTGGCGTTCGGTGTGAGACCCGCGCAGCGCGCGCGCGCCGGACGCAAGCGCCGGACGCAAGCAGGCACACATGCACTCAAGCCAGGGTGGGTGAGCGCATGCTCAGTGACAGGGGGGTTGGACAAGCAACCTTGCAGCCTCTTGCGCGCGTGGGTTCGCGCCTAAACAGAGTTCTTCTTAGTGCTCCCCATCTCACCTGTCCGACCGGCCAGCGCAGCTGGTGATGGCGAAGCCGTAGGATTGACCAAGCATCTCGCCAGCAAATCTCCACTTTGACAAAATCAGCTAGAAATCACCGCACTGGGGGTCCAAGCAGTCCATCTTCATAGACAAACCAAGTAATCATCTTTGCTGTGTCCTCGTCGCCTGAAAGTAGATGGTTCAATATTGGCCAAACGCCATGTATGCAGAGAAAAGTCGACATGCCAAAACGAGAGGGGATGGATCGAAACTGCGGATTGTTCGGTCTCAAATTATTCGGGGAACAACGGAGTTCAAACCGGAAGAATCTTTCTTTTAGCGTGCTATCAGCCGACAGCCGCCAAGTACAGGACTGGACCAAGATATGCCCGTTCACCAAATCGCCGTCGAGACTCGGGGCCGTCAACGTGGTGGAGGCGACCAAGGTGACCACAAGATGTTGCGCTGACTCCAACATCTCGGGAGAGCACTTGGCGTCGCCCAACCAGAGCTGCTGCATGTAAGGCGTCGCCCAGAATTGCCTGTGGATTCGGCCCAAACTCACCTTCCAAAATGCACGGGTGGGGGCATTGGGCATTTTCTGACTCAAACCCTTCGCCAAATCAGCTTCGCGGCAACCCGCCGGACACAAAGAAGAGCGAGGACACGCAAGTGGCCATAAGGAAATACAGCGGCAGGTGCTCCTCCGCTTCCGCCGATGCCCTCCGCACCTGTGCCCAAAAACCATCAAAAACCCGGATCCTTCCAAGAAAGGATGGTTCTCCCAAGAAGACTTTGGGTTTTCCTTTGGTCTCCCTTGAAACCAAACCCAAAGTCCCCAAAACGGAAAGCTCGGCCAACCTGGCGCGACTGGAAGGATGGCTGTACTGACATCTGCGCGAACTCGCCGCTGGGCGAGGCCAAAGGCTGTTCCTCCAGGGATCTTTCTTTACACCCAGACATCCTCCCAAAAGCAAACTCATTGGAGAATGGCCACAAAGGTGACGCTTTGCTTGGTGGAATGTGTGAGCCACCGCCAACCTGATGTTTTAGATGTCCACGAGGACTTCTGCGGTACTTGCTTTTCATCGCTTGCCTCCGCTTCCTTCCGCAGCTTGCGCTTTGCATCTGCGAGTCTTCGTTTTCGCAGAAAGTAATGTATGAGCGAAGTAGCAAGGCTACCACAAGCACAAACCTTCCGCAATCCGCTAAAAAATCCCCTTCCACAAAACCTCCCGCAAAACCGTCCGTGCATGTGGCACCGTGCACATGTTCAAGACACAAAAAATGTTACTTTCACCAAATTGAATCAAGTATTGTTGACCCCCAACCCCAGTTTATTGATATGGGGGTGTCGCTAGGTTTAGCGGGGAATCATCCTCCAAATTGAATCAGGTACTGTTGACCCCCAACCCCAGTTTATTGATATGGGGGTGTCGTCGCTGGGTGTAGCGGGGAATCATCCCTTTTAAGAAGGGGCCCCACCCCCATGGCTGTAGCTCAACATTCAAGAGCTAGGGTTACGCGGTTTTAGTCTTTTGTTTCTTTTACCAAGGTGCCATTTTGGTACATTCATTTGAGCCACTGCCATATTAACACACCGGGGTGGATTACGGGGTCAACATTCTCGGTGCCCATGTCAGTCCTCCTCCAGGCTCTCCATGGGGGCAGCCACAAAGCTGCCCGAGGGCACCGACACAAAGGAGAGCCGCACCTCGCCGCTGCGAGCGCGCCTCGGCGACAGCTCGGTTGAGCCATGCCGGTGGAAACGCGGAATATGCGCTGCGAAACTCTTAAACCAGTTGAAGGAACCTAGACGTTTAGAAAAAAAAGAACGTGTAATGAAGATGTGCCCTGAAACAAAAACAAACACCCCGTAAAACATAACTGTTCAACAGCCTCCTGTTTCAACCGCTGAGGCGTCTGGTCCATTTCTTTCGCTTCTTTTTTCCCCCGGCGCCTCCTGGAAGCGCTCGCCAAGAAGTCCCCCGGAGTGATGAAGAGAGCGAGGAAAACCCCGGCGAACCACAAGAGGTTGAGGTAGAAGACTCGCTCCCACTGCCCCCAGTAGCCTGCAGTCTCGAGCTACACAGAGAACCCACGCCACATCCCGGATGAGTCAGTTTGCCCAGAAAGCAAACTGAATCTTTGCAATTGCTGCTCTTAGCTGCCCCCCCAAGACAACAAGGGACCCGAAACCAGGGCGAGAAAGCCTAGTAAAAAGATGAAACCTGATTACATCGGACTGGCTGCGATCCTTCTGGTTGACAGGCCTTTGAAACTGTCCCTCGCCTGCGATGCTGTAGCCAACGACGAGGCCGACCAGTGAGCTTGCCTCGCGAGCCCCGAATCATCCTCCCCTTCCACAGACCACCTGTTCAAGCGCGTGTTTAGAATAATTGCCTCAATAATATGATGTCAGCCAGTTCCAAACTCACTTCTGGTGGCCACTACAATTACAAACAGCATGACCCGTCAAGCCTACACCAAAACTCTTAAAGAAAAAGAAGCCAACTCAGATCAACTGAAACCATCGGCTAAAACACCTAAGGAGGAAAAACCTTTGATATCCCATCGGGTTTGTCAACCCAGAACAAAAGGTGCCCCACTTTGGTGCTGGTTTTCCTGCGGCTTTCCCTTTTCAACCCCCAAGAAAACGGTGGAGCCAGAAAATGTGTCGCACTCGCCTGCATGGCCCCCAGCCAGGAGGTCGCAGATTCCTTCGGCGCATAGAGATCCACCCACACGCTGCCGTAGACCGCGATGCCCGCGTGGCACATCCCCGACAAAGTCCTGACCGAAGGCAAAGGCTTCGGGACTTGGGAGAGCATCCAGTGATTTGGGCTTGTCGTTTTTGAACCAACATGATGGGTTCCCTTTGGTTTCCCTTTACCAACCCAAAAACGGGGTAGCTTTTGGATCAACATGATGCGTTCCCTTTGTGGTACCCTCAAAAAACAAGAGTGACACACCCATTTAGGCGTCGAAAAACTTACCCACATCCACATCCAGCCGGGCCCCGAAAAACCCCAAGGCAAGCCCATGTCCTGGAGACAACGAGGAATGGCAGCAGTTGCGCCTCCTCGATGACGGGCGCAAAGGCTAGGCCCAAGACGCCCACCATGTTGCCCACCTCTGGCAGCCGTCAGAGGTGGTGGACAATTTTTGGGATCAGTAAACAAACCGGAGACAACACCATACGGGAGGGATTCCTATTGGGAGAAACCCCATGAAAGCTGCGGAGGGGGACTGTAGCAAATGTTTCGATCGAGGCTGCAGACACCAGCTATTGCCAAACCTACCCCCCCCTGCAATGGGAAATTCCCTTCATCCCTTCATGTTCCTTCGCCCCAACCTTTGTGCTGCCCAAAATGGTGGCTTTGGTGCGAACTGCCTAAAGCAGTTTTGAGGTGGAGCTGGCTGAGCTCCCTGCCACACATACGAGGAGCACTGCCTTCACGTGCCAGCAGCGCAGCAGGAGAGGGATCAAAGGAGACGCAAGGGGCAGCATGATGTACTCCTGCCCAGGTTTGTGCCAACCCGAGAAAGCTCCAAAACCTTGACATCGGGAAAAGAAAAACGGAAACGCGTGGAATCGCGGCCGAATGGCCATGGCATTGATGAAGCCCACATGAGAAGTGCTGAGTCCCAGCTCAGTCGTCAAGTACTTCTCGAAGGCTGCCAGTGCGCCTCACGCGGCCCGAAAGGCAACGCAGGCGGAGGTCCATCACACGTTCCATGTCCCACACCTGGCACACTCGGGGGATCCTTACCTTATCTGAAATTGAAGAGTCCGATGCTCGCATTTCTCTGCGCTTCGGATTGCGTTCCAAGCCGCCGGAGTCAAACTGAGCACAGGCTGAGAAGCCGGTGAAGAGCAACAAGTACTTGAAGGGAGTAGCCATGGCTTTTTCTTTTGACTCTTCAGCCAGGTTTGTGTATGTGTCCAAACTTGAAAAAAGGTACCCCAAAGTAACTGTCTCTGGGTTTTCGCTTTAAGCCAATCTGAAAAAACTACCCTCTCAAACGCACAACCATGTCTCGACAAAGGCCAAAGAGACTTGTCAGTGCATCTTCGCAGTTTGCAGTCGTCGCGATACTGCTGACAAAGCATCTGAGAATCCCAACATATTCGGCCTTCCGCTGCCCGGACGATACTCCTCGGCCCCAATGGCCTTTCGCAGGGTCTGAGATCTGTGGCACTTCTCTCAAGACACATTCAGCTTGAAACCAAAAATCTGCGGTGGAGATCAATGAGTTATCAACTGTTCAAAAAGAACAGCACAAACAATAAACTGGGAAAAAAACTAAGAAGAAATGACAAACTCTAAATAATAAAAAGTGCAAATAGGACTGTGAAAAGTGCAAAATAGGACTGTGAATTGAAAATGGCATCTTCCTAATATTCTGTGCTGATCCTTCAAGCTCTCAAGAACCAGAATTTAAGAAATGCACAGAATGATGATACGAGAGGAACATCTACATTCAACGACAATTCTTGCAGAGACAATAATTAATGTGTGAAGACAAAAAGAATGACAAAAAAAGCCGCTTCTCTTTCCCCAGCTTGCGCCAAACAGGCGGCAAAGGTACCCTCTGTGGTCGTTTCTCGATCGGCCATTTCTCGCAGGCTGAAGTCGGCAGCGCCGGCTCACGATGCATGCACCAAATGGGAAACTACTTGTGCGCGGCCCTGGCAATGTCATCGAGCTTCCTTAGCATTGCAGTGTGGATTCCTTCCCACAAAACATGGCCCTCAATTCACCGCAATTCACCACACTCATTAACTCGCTCACTTCACTTTACTTTCCCCCTCTCTCTCTCTCTCTCTCTCTCTCTTTCTCGTTCTCTCTTGGTGACCTGCTATGCGCTTGCGCTTAGGTCTCCAAAGCACCGCTTTCCCCAAGCCCGCCGCGGCTCTTCTCGAGAGAGCTTCGGCGCGCGGGCCAACAAAAAAGGCAGCAAGCCTCGAGAAATCCTGCACTGGCCGAGCGTCTGTTGGATGTTATCCAATTTGGCCGCCAGCACCTGCATCGCGGCTTCTGGTCTACTTGGGTCCGGAAGTCGCTTGCAGTTGCTTTGGAAAGGAAATCGCAGTTGCTGCGCTCCACTCAAGGCAAGAACACGTGATTCAATTGATGGTGCTGTCTAAAAAACCTTCAAGGCCGAGACTTGCTTTGACAAGTACATGGCAAGCTCTGCCTTGTCTGGACCTGAAAGAGGACAATCTTCCGCGCACTTGCCCCAGCTGGATGTGTCCTGCGACAGGGAAAGACATCAAAGGGAGGGTGATGGCAGGGAAGGTATGGGTGGAAAGCCTCACCAAGCTCCAAGATTGTGCCCGTCGCCTTGAACCATCAGCACCAAGCAACAACGCATTCTTGGCTCTGCCCAACAGCATGCTTGATGTTGGCCAACAAGAAAGTCCCACATTCCCAAGGACTGGCCCCCCTCATCTTCGGGTGCACGTCAGCTGCAAGGCCAAACTCGTGCATCTCCATTGGCCACTTTGGTGGACATGATTCCCAAATAAGGGTATTCCCACCTTTGCCCATTGGTCCACGACTGAGGGATGAATCCTCTCCGTTGGATACCCTTCCACCAACTAAGGAGGGTCTTCACCTGGCCTTGCTCGTCCAGCACCACCCGTTGGGCCCGTAAGCCCCACCCTGGCCAGCCGGAAAACTGATCCCTGGAGCCGCCAACGCCAGCTCCGAACAGCATGGAGGGTTTAGCTTGCAAGATGCGAAAGCATGGTCTAACACAAGCATCTGGGTGTGCCTGTCTTCAAGGGGACCCAACAAAATGGCTGGTGTCCATGTTATGGCTTCCATTTGGAATGCCCTCAACCAAAGGCAGACCCATTGGCAAGGCTCTCCTGAGTGCCACCTGATTTATTGAGCGCCTGGTCTATGCAGTGGCTGCCTTCATCACGGCTGTCCACCTTGCGCATCAATCGGTGTGGGCATCACCCGCGAACCCAGCATCTTGTCATCTCTCTAGGTCTTACTAGCTTTTCAAATCGGTGGTTTGTCGTTGGTGCTGCGGGTGCCATCATATTGTCCAAACTGTTTGGTTGTTGCGGTTTGATGGCTTTGGGCGCTTATATGCGCTGAGTTGACAAGTGGGGAAACCACAGCTGCAACGGGAACATTGATTTCAAGGCACGTAGGCCACAAGCAATCTGCGCGAGTACCCCAAGATCGACTGCAGCCAGGAGACTCCGAAGACACATCGAGTTCCCGCTGGCGCAACGTGTGACAGCCTGAGTAAAGCCACGGTCAATGTCCGAGCAGCTGATCATGCTTTGTCAACAGGTCGACTGCCTTCGAACCTTAATGTTTGAATGGTTCGTGGGCCGCGTGGCTTCCGACCCGAATCGACACGTAGCCGAGGTCAACGCCACGCATCTGCCTCGGAGCTTTGCTTGGATTGAGAAAGAACGTCTGCACGGCATCGTCCCATCACTTCCTAGGAGCCATGGCGGTTTGCTGCGTCAGGCAAGTACTGCTCGTTGTCCGACCTGTGGCTGCCAGTCACTCTTGTCACTCTTGTCACTCTTGTCACTCTTGTCACTCTTGTCACTCTTGTAACTCTTGTCACCTGGCTGTGGCTCAAAAAGCCGGCACCAAAATGGAACCCTGGTAAGTGGAAACATAGACCAAAATCTGCGTAACCCCTCCTGTTTAATTTTGAGCCACACCCACCTTGGTGCTGGGAATCATGGGGCATCAAAAAGAGTCGAATCAAAACACGGACAAATACCATGTCTCAAAATGAGGACACTCTTGTGGCCCATTCAAATTCATGCCGCAGCGCCTATGCTTCCGGCAAAACTGAGCCAAGCCCAACCCTGAACGCATGCGAGGCATTTGAGCACCAGACTCTTGGACCTAAGTCTGGATCGCATAAATACAGCTTCATGGGTGCCATGCTCAAGAACTCCTTTTATAGGCCATGGTCATCCCTGAAAAGGAATCTGTAAAAAGGGTTGGGAAAAGTCCATACTACGTGATTCTCCATCACCACCCTTCGTAGCCCCAAGTAGAGGTATGTTTTGACCATGGCACACAGGTTCTTGGCTCACGCAGCCATTTCAGCCAAGATGCTGGTTGGACGCATTCCCTGCCTAAGTCCATACAGAGGCTGACCATTTCGATATGGTCAGTGGATATCATGGCATTGATTCCGAGGAAGCCTCCACTAGCCAACAACCCCAACGAGGACAACACGTGTGCTTTTTTGGGGCAACCCCCCAAATCGTGGCTTCCCTCTTGGCTTCCCTTCAAAACCAACCCAAAAACGGCTTCCAAAAAAAAGAAAAGAGCCGAACCTGTGCAAACTGCTCGAGCCCCGGCTCTCCAGCTGGACAGCTCGTCCGAGATCTGATGCGCCACCCCTGCGGCCAGAGGTTCACTCGACGCGATGAAACGATTTTTGGGGGGGACTTGAATGAAAACCTGCAGTTTTGCGATCCCATGTTGACACATTCCTGCTCTGGAAAACTGTGTCTGAGATTCTCACAGTGCGCGAGAATGCGTGCGTGTCCTTCAACTTTGCCTTCTGGTCATAGCCCACACGGGTTGTCTTTCAGGCATTTGTGGGATCCCAGGAAGCCCTCACCAAGTGTTCGGCCCCAGCAATGGGGACTAATTAAACATGGGAGACACGAAGCTGTCATTCGCAGGATCAGTCGCTGAGTACCAAGAATCTTGGTCACAATGATTTCATAGTACAAAAGCTGTGTTCAATTTCCGATAAACATTTCACAATGGATACCGACATGGCCTTGTGTCGTGTTCCAGGCACTGCGGCTGGCCTGAGGCGGAACCAGTTCAGCTCCAAGACACTTGACCGATCCCCTACCAGTGGTGGTGAGCCTAGATAGTTTAAATCAAATGGGTGCTGGTGTGCTACACACCCTAAACAATCAAGTATTTGAATTTGTTTATAGCTTGCCCTGCGAATTGCGGCCATGATCTACTGTATCAAACAAATCCGCAGAAGAGTTTGGGCCCTTCCGATCTATGAGATCTAATGTTTCCCTGATCAACTAAATAGTTGCTCTTCTGCAAGGCCCTATATTGATTCAATGCACATTTGAGTCGCAGGCTCGAGAGACTGCATGTGCAACCTAAGCTGAAAGAGGCACAGTGAACACTTCTTTTGGTCAATTCGTCCGAGGCGCGGTGGAGGAAGCATTCCTGAGGCTACGGGAAGCTGCGCCATGACTCCTATCCCAATGAATACATGCGCAAAAAAAATGGACACGTTCCCTGCAGTCAAGTCTCTCCACCTTTGCCCATGCCTTTTCTGCCCATGTCGAATTGCCTGAGTCTTCTACCACGCAGATTTCACTACAAGGCCAACCACCAGCTCCGCAAGTTGCAGCTGCTTTAAGGGAAGCTTGAGGCATCTTTGGGCAAGCAGCATGTAGGCTTGTGATCTGTTTGAGGGCACCCTTTCCAGGTTGGTTTCAAGAGAAACCAAAATGATTCGGGGGTCGCCCAATTTCGACACGTTGCCCATGGCATCAACGGTCGAAAGGAATAAGTTCAAAGGAATGTGTCTAGCTCAAGGTGCATGCCGAGCAGCTATGGTTAGCAGTTTTGCTCTCCATGTGCTCCTTGCGGAGAGTGAAGCTCAAGCCGCGAATCAGCAGCCCTGTGAGCTAAGCCAGAAAAAGACCGGAAGTGGCTACCTCAAGCACGAGTGTCCTAACACAATGAGCTGTACACAAACCCTTACAACACTTGACCTGTGGATTCACAACATGCCCTGTGGAGCCGCTGTCAACTGTACTATACAATAGATATATATATATATATATGTATATATATGTACAGTATATCATCATCCGATGCACAAACCGTCTTAAAAAGTTCTCATAAACAACTGTGATCGATTCGAGCATGCCACACCAGGTCTCTCTTGCTTGCACAGTTCCTGCTTGGCATGAGACCTTAGCTCGGTGCACTATTGGATTCTCGTCCCCACGGAAGGAAGCATGCACCCAGTGAAAGTACTCGTTGCTGCACCTGACAGCCCACAACTTAGATACAGTTCTGTCTGAGTTTCTGTTTCTGGCTAGCCCAAGGTAGACTTGTAGACTGGTTAGCCCCAAAAAGGAAACCCGGGATTTTAGCGTGCCTTGAAGTAAAAACCAAATGCAACCCTGGATGCTTACATATTCACGTCTGAGGTCGGCTCTCGGAGACATTCAGCTGCTGCCGCGTCTGCATCAGCGCCAGGCTCCTGCACGAGAGGTCAGCCGCAAAGCACCTGGGTTTGCCTCCGGCGGGAACCCCCAAACTAGGGTAAGCCCCAAACAACTCTCAAAACCCTATCCTCAACAATAGACATGCCCAAATTCTTCGAAGATCTGACCATTTGATGCAAGGTCCATTCACATTCGCTGCACAAGCAACCAAGGCATCTCCTGGACGCGGGGATGCCATCGCCACATTCCTGCCCATGGGTGTCCTTTTAGGGGAAATAGATGGCCCTGGTAGATGATTAAACCACCAGGTAAACCAGGGCCATCTGTTTTTCTACCAAAACAACCAAAAAGGACACCTATGTTCCTGCCACGCAGCACAACCCGTCGAAGGCCCTGTCCCCGCCCGCCTGCGCCGCGGAAGGTACGGTAAGCAAAACCAACGCCTCAATTCGATCAGCAGGCAGCTCGGGTTCACGGACGCCCACAGCGTGCTGGGTCCAGCACGCGCAACACTGATACCTGCGTCGTAGGATATGCAGGCCAGAGAAAAGAGTCTCAATCCCGGCCTGTCGCATGCAGGAAAACCAGCGTGTTGGCCAATCAGCTGCCAACAAGAAAGGAAGAGTAAGCGTTTGCAAAGGTGTTTGTGCGCTTGTAGGTGTCTCATTGGTGTGTTGGATTTCCTGCTGGTTTCGCTTCAGTTTCCTTTTGATTCCTGATCTCTGCTGGCTTGTGATGCCTTTTGTTGATGATTTTTGACTGTTGGTCATGCTTGGTTCACATGTGTTCTTTTTGTTGTGCGGAGTGTCTTAGATTTACGGAAGAAAGATCAACCAACTGACGTTGGCCGCTGCCGTTGTAAGGTGAAACGTGCTTGGGCACTTGATGTACATATTGACGTACATGTCCAGTGTACGGCAAACATCCCTCAGCCGGGAAACCTCTCTTGAAAATCTGTGCACCCAGAAACTCACGTCCTGTCTTTGACTGGCTGTCCCGCCCTTCGGAGTAAACTCCGGCCATTCGAAAAAACTCCCAGAAAGGTGATCATGTGACAGGCCCTCGGTCTGGCAAGTTCTTTTCGGATCTTTGCGGAATGCATCTTTTCACCTTCGCTTTCAGCGTGGTGCCGAAGACCTGCGGCAGCCTTTTTGCTGTGCTGGCATCTTTGAAGCTGCGGTGGAAGCCACAAATATGATTCGCAAGCAAACGGCCTCGGTCAAATACAGTATTCCTCATAAAGATCACACGGCTTCCATGTGCAACGGTCGGCAGACCTGCTTTTCCCATGTGCAAAATGCAAACTATGTCAGGTTGCTGCGCCCAGCAGGGTCGTCATTTGTCAACAGAATCAAAGCTCACTCATTGAGACAATGCATAACAAGGAGGGCTTGAAGCATCACGGACGGGAAAGCTAGAATGGAGAAGTGGGTGCGATACACACACACAATTTTGAAAAGGGTGAAACTTGGATAGCAACTTCCACTTCGGATGAATGATCCAGGCAAGATGAATCGGGGGGTTCCGTTCCCGCCTAAAGAATTGATTCGTACAATCATCGAAAGATTGATCCGCAGTGGACCTTCAAAATGGAGATTCTTACACGTGGGAAGCCACGCGGTCGAAACAAACGCCCTTTCCTTGAGGTCGAAGCATCAAGCCGCCGCGTGTCCCGCCACATCCGCCGCGCCCGAAGCTGTGCAGCTAGAGAAACTGCGCTCTCTGGGGTTTCAAATGGCCACATGGGTCTCTCTCTTTTTTGACCGAACCCTGGTGAGCGCGGCTTTTTTTTACGGGAACCCAAAAGGAAACCGCCGGTTGTCCACTCCGAGACAAACCCAAACAAAATTTATGCGGGATTAGAATGACAGCAACTGCCAGCTCCGAGGCCTCACACAGAATCCAGATCGCTTCTGCCCTGGCGACGCCATCCATTGGTGGACGTGCTGACGCCAAGAAGCAATAACGACGTATGAATCAAATCCGGAAAGCCCGTCCAAACGATGAAGTCCTTTGTGTTTACTTCCTCGATTCTGTACTTTCCACGGAGGCATCACGCGCTTGGGCTTATCCCCAACGGATTCATCTGCACTGCTGTACTGAAAGCTTGTCGAACTTCCCATTGCCAGCCCAACCCCTGGCTTTGCCTTCAGCCCGCAAGATCCGCCTCCGGCGGGATGTGCAGCTCCCGCAGGATACCATCCACACCTCACCCAGCTGCTCTCTGAACAATCTGCAGTCAGTGATTCCCTCACCCACTTTCTAAACAGCACTGCGTGCGAAGGGCAGACCGAACAAAATCTGCTGCAAGCCCACTTGCATGAAAGAACCGGAATGACCCAACGGACAGCCTGAACACAAGCAATCAGCCTTAAATTCCAAAGACTCCTTCGGCAAGAGGCACCTGGCCTCCCCAAAGTGCACTAGATGGCGTTTTGTGGATGGCTCTCTTGGCACCCCTGGCCACCCCTTGGCATTGCTTGGGACCTTTGGACGCGTCACCTCAAACCGAACCGTCGCCACGGGTCCCGCGCAGTCGGAGTTCACGGTGCGCTCCGTGTCCAGCGCAGGCCTCGAGGCGGGCTCAATCCAGCGGATTGAAGGCGGCGATATCTGGGATAGTCTCGAAATAGGGTCCATCAAAACAAAACACCCCCATTTGGCACTTTAAATCTGAAACCTCTGTATGTGTGTGTGTATTTGTGTGTGTGGGGGGGGGGGGGGGGGGGGGGGGGTGCATGCGCGCATGTGCGCGTGGAGGCGTGCGGGCGGGCGGGCCGCGCTGTGGCGTGCCGTGTCGTGTGTGTTCTGCGTTTGTGTGGCTGCGTCTGTTTTTTTGTGTTGTTTTCGCGGTTGTTGGTTTGTGTGTCCGTGCCCGTGTTCGTGTGTCCGCGGGTCTGCGTGTCCGCAGACCCGTGTCCGTGCGCGGGTACGTGCACTTGTACGTGTACGTACGTGTGCTTGGGTCTGCACCTGCTGGTACAAGCTGTGCGTTCGTCCGTGCAACTTTCCCCTCAGCTGCACCGGGCAAGGAACGTCAGATCTGGCCCCCCGCAAACAACCAAAAATATGGCCAGGTTTGATGAATGTGGGTTTGTGGACCCCAAAATGGTTGGTGTCCTTTGATGTTGCCTTTACAGACAACTTCCAGGGGGGTTCCCAAAAGACGAGGGCGTGCAACAAGCATTCAACAAATGTCCGCCGATGCATCCCGAGGTCCCAGCGCTGCGCCCGCCTTTGCTCAACCGAACGGCTTCCAAATGTCAAGAGCTTCAGCTTGGGTGACCCAAGTTCGGTTTTTGGGCCACCTGACCCATGTATCGACCCCCAGATTGGATACATCAATCCCTCGTCATCCCGCACAGCTCGAATGAGGCATGAGCCCCATCTGGAAGCGGAAGCAGTGGAAGCTTGACCTCGCAGCACAAAAACATTGTTCCGAATCATCAAGCCCTTTTCTCGCTACCCAGAAATCCCAGACCTCACTGACACCTCCAAAACATGTCAGAAATCGTCAGCAAATCCAAACGCTGACTTCAACCCAAATGCAGGTGCCGGCTGAGGCTGCCACAACGTGCCCCAGTCCTGACTCAAGGGAAGAAATGGAAAACCGGCCGCAGCGGGGTGCCTAATTTTGGCAGACGCTGGTCAGGTACCCGCAAACCAGTCGGGCGCGACTGGAATGCACAGGGAAGGCCAAAATCGCCATGGGTGCCCGACTTCAATGGACTAGGTCCAAGCTCCAGCTAGAAGCACTTTTTGACCGACGGATGGGATCTCTAAGTGGGAACCTTTTGGTGGACATCATTCTAGGCAGGGATTCGTGTAGACCAAACACTTGTGACACAGTTCCCTACTGAAATACATGAGCCAACTCCGAAAACTGGATCGCAAAGGCACTCTAACCTCGGGCAAAAAACAAACTCTGGCCATCCTCCCACCGGGTGACTTGATGACAGCATGGGGCGCTCTCACAAGAAAAGCGCCAGCCTGGTGGAGGCGGACGATCCTCCTGGCGGTTTGGATTTTCATGGGGGCAGCTTGGATCAAAACATGCTTCGGAGATCCCACAAAATGGATGTGTTCCTTTGGGTTTCCCTCTCAAACACATCTCAATAGAGGTGCCCTTAAAATCAAAAAATGAGAAAGAAACGGGACACCGCAATTTGCGCACGTCGCGAAAACGCAGTTTGGACTCTGCCATGAAAATCACATGGGGGAAGTGCCATTTTACAAACACCGGACACAAGCCATCTCTTTTGCACCACTTTCCCACGCAAATCTCGAGGTCCCTGACCTCCAGGCGTGCCTCGGAGCTGAAATATTACCGGAGGTCTGAAAGGAACCATCTGGGAGGGCTCGCTTTCGCAAGGCAAAACAGCCGCGGACCTCACATTGCCCCCTTTCTCACAGTTTGCAGCTGAGCTTGACCAAAAAAATATAGTTCTAACGCTCAAGGAGGTGATCATCCAAACCTCCTTCACACTCACCGAGCAACAAAAATTCCGGGCGAAAACTGCCACCTGGTTGATGCCAAGCCGCTTTAGAGCCGGAACTTCTGTCAGCTCTGGAGGGCTCCTGAGAAATGCGAGGAGGAGGGCATTTGTCACAATGTCATATTTGGAGAGTCCGGTTCACTCGACAACCATGACCCATATTTGGGCTCCCGCGTTGACACCTCTCATATTCACCAAAAAAGACTTCGTCCCAGACCTGGATGTTGAACCATGCTCTTCGGCGGGGTGTTCAAACTCACTTGCTGACCTGGACATGAAAGGTGGACCTTTTGTGACCTTGTCGAACGTGGACCAAAGGAGGGAACCAAAATGTCTGAAGGTCGGCTTTGGGGTAAGCAAAAGGCCGCAAGGAAACTGAGGACAAAGACTCCCTTAGTCTCAGGCAACTGAAAAGCTGTATGTTATGTCACGCACCCTAGATCAGGGGTTGCATCATCAAAGTCTGGCTAAGAGAGAACGAGATTGTGTTTGCCCGCATGCGAAACCGAAGAAGCATGCCGAGAATCGTTCTGCATGGGAGTCTCTGAGTGGGTGCATGTGTGTGTGTGTGTGTGCCCGCGCGTGCTATATCATTCCAATCTAACAAAACCATTCACCATCCATCGGCAAACATTCAAATGAACTCGACGTGTGGATATTGGTTCTAATTGGGGACCTGTTGGTGGACACCATTGCATGGGGTTGTATGATTCCCAATCGGATTTTGCCCACATTCTCAACAAAACTGCAAAAGATAGATTGGGAATATCGACGGGCAGAAGCCTGCGGCCATGACCCGCCCGAGTAGTTCTCACCACAGCACATGTTCAAATCTGACAGGTAAAGGCCTCAAGCGAGCAAAAAGAAAGCCATGAGCCAAGTTCCCCTGAAGGCCGAGTCCCATGTGAAGCACGGTCGAAATCACTTCATGCGGGGTTTTCGTTGCGCAGCTGGCGAGTCCCCAATCATTCTCCAGTGTTCTATCTTAAGTCAGGTGGTATCATGTTTTGCGGGTTCGCTGTTGCTTGCCTTTGTGCGCACTTTCACAACGAATGAACTTCTCGCCTTGGCTGGTTGGCCAGGCTCTGTGCTCACCAGTCCTCCTCCACAGATGCCAGGGCAGGTGCCACCTTGCTCGTGAGCCACGGGCAACCAATGGGCGAAAGCTCGCAGACATCCCACCCATCTTTGTGATAAGAATGGCATGCAAATGCATACAGCATTGCGCCGTGACATCGATGTTCATGGAGCATGATGCTCTACCCTGCCCGCTCCGAAACATGGGGCCGAACCATCATTCACACAGGTATGCAACAAACAGGTGTGATGTTGCATCCGTTCCGGCATCTCACTTTACCAAGTTCAGAATAAAAGCTGTGCTCGCAGCTGACGAGGCTCTTGCTCAACTTAAAGTATCGGTTTGGGGCTTCCCAGTGAATTTTGTCCGGGGCAAATCTTGGGAATCGAAACGTCCATTCAGCCTGGCTGGGGGCTCGGGAGGTTAGTACTAATATGAGAATGAGTCTTAGTTGAGCAGAAAAGATCTTGCACGCGAACGGAAAAGTTCATGAAGCCTGGCAGGGTGCTTGAGCGTCGTGAAGCTGCCCCTGCCCTGCACTCATTTTGCCAAACAGGATTTGCTGACGCTGCCACATGGGCGTCTCTTTTTTGGAGGGTACTGTAGGTGCCCATTTTTTCAGCTTCCCTCCAATTCAATTGGATTGGCAGTTTGGAGGTTAGTAGGTCCCATTTACCCTCTGCAAGAACCTGGGATTCAAATCCCCAAACACCGATCCAAAACAACACTCCAAGCTACCTGGCTTTGAGCGTTTCAGGGTCCAAACTAAAAACATGACACTCCCACATTGGCATAAGCCTGAGCTTCATCCCTTGGCTCTCCGAGGTCACAGCTGCACAGACCGCTGTCGCATCGTGCCATCCGTCAGAAACGTCGGACAGAGCACCTGTGGCTCTGCAAATCGGTGAGCCCTCACGCATCAAACCCTTACTCTTTGCTTCACGGCGTGTTTGTTCGAAAATTCATGGGTCACCATCCCTGGATGCCGAACAATTCGGAGGTGCTGCCAGGTGGCCAAAAGGCAAGCCCGACATGTCTTGGGGCTGCCACTGGTTGCATTCTTTCCTGCATTGAAAACAAACCGTCAGACATTGGTTCCTGTTCATCTCCTTCCCAGTCATACCGCTGGGTCAGGCACCGTCGCTTCCAGTGCTGTTTCGGCTGTCGCGGCGACCATCCTTGCTGATCTTCCGCGACTCCTTCGAGAGAAGCCACTTCCCGCAGACAGTTGGTTGCAGAAACAAGAGGGGTAAGTCACTTGAGCATGTTCTGCTCATGAGCCGGTGTCACAGGTATTTGTCACATGTCTCAAATCAGAAACGCATGACTGCGATTAAGACAAAAAGACAGCCGTGCCAAGGAGAAACCAAGCACAGTTCGGGCATCCCCTCTCATCAGGTACAACGGGCTCCGCTTCAAAGGTCCTTGCTGAAACTCCGCGTCAAGGCGAAGGCTGTTGGACTCACCACATCCTGGCCCGCAATGGAAGGGACGCCTTGGAAACCGCTGCAAACTCTGGTTCGCCAATTCTGCCGATTGTGCCAACTTGTCCAGTCAAGACTTGTTGGGGGATGCAAGCTTTCGGCTGCATAACTGCTCGAACGGAAACCAACAGAGATCGCCACGCTAACCCGCGCTGGACCCGAAATAAGGCCACCAGGTTCACAGAAAAATGTTGCCGAGGAAGCAAACAGATCTCCTGGGGTGCTAGGGTGTCATAATATCTGCGTCCCCACCAAACAAGGTGAATGCGGCAAAAGTACTTTGGATTCTGGATGGCATTCGAAAGTAGTTCAAAATCCTTTGCACAATCAAGTGAACGCCATGCGTGCTGTGCAACTCATATTAAACGTGGCAAGAGGTGCCGAAACGTCGCTGAAACCGCCTGGCCACGCAGCAACTCCGGTCAAAAGGTTCCAGGCCAAAGGATCAAGCTGGGGAGTCCCATAACATGTGGTTCTAGTTCTATTATTGTACACAACTTATAACATCCCAGCTATAAACTCCCTGGTAGCTGCAAACGCTCAGGGCATGCAGCCAGGATACTGATCTGGCTCTGAGTCCGCAGTGTGCCTCTGTCGTCACTTGGTCTGAAGTTGACATCTGCAGAGTGGAAGGCCCAACTCGACTACTGTGGCATCAGACATGCAGAAATGCAAGTAGCATCCACAGTCGCCCAAGCCCGTCAAATTGAAACGGAGCATATATTTACTGTCTGAGCTCCTGGCGGAAGGGATTCGAGTTCGATGATGGACTGATTGGAAAGCTGGAGTCGCCCTGGCCCGAAACTCGGAACTCGAAGCATGTTGCTTTATAGCCCCCGATGTTACTTCCTTCCTGCTACGTGCCAGCCTCTGCGGAGGATGCAAAGGAGCTTCTCCTTGCCACGGACTCCTGTCAGTCGAATATATGGTTGTGTCTTAAAATAGAATAAGAATAGCCACTGGAGCCCAAGACAGGCATTGGATTTCCTTTGGTTTCCCTCTCAAACCCCAAACAAAAAGGACACCCCGAAAAAAGAAACAAAAAGAGCGATCTCTCCTCCACGGACTCGCAGGATGCTCGTCGTGCCACTCCCTGCGCATATTTTGCCGGCCAAGCACCCCTAATCCAAAGGAAATCACCCATAGTCACCCGTCTTTGTCCCTGTTCGCGTGCACGTGTTTCTGATGAAACTGGGCAATCCAGCTCTCAGCTTGGTCAGATTCTTCTGGTAAGTCGAGGGCAGGGTCCTCAGACGTCTTTGCCCCGCAAGAGACTTGGTGAATGTCATTTCACACTAGCAAATCGATTTTTTGCCGAAGACTGGGAAACACTTGTGCTGGTTACAGGGACACAAAGAAGTATACTCCATTTCCGGAGCTGTTTTTGCAGCGCTCAAACATTCCGAACTGAAACTGTCAGCTCTGCCTCATCAAAGCTCTCAGCCACTGTCTCGCTGACCAAGGCTCCACCCATTCCGTGGAGAGGTCGCCGATAGCACCGCCTGCATGGCGGATGCTGGCCGGGAAAAACTGCCAAAAAAGGCTTGCGACTGCAACAGCTCCAATAGCCCTACCAGCCTCTGCCTGCTCTTCGAAAACAAAGCCTTAGGCTGCAACTCTTCGCCAACAGTGCATCCTTGTTTTGCTTCCGACATTCAACTAGCCTGACCGCTGCTCGGGTGATCCCGAACCGCGCAGGGGCTGCGGCTGCGCCATCTCGGGCGTCCGCTTTGACAGCGAGACCTCAAAGAGAAGGTGTCTTTCCAAGTCGCAAGCAAAAAAAAACGGAGATTGCCACGGAGACTCGGCTTTGCTGGGGACTCTCTCCCGACTCTGACTGCAAAGCAAGCTGCACACGGCGAGTGCAGTAGCCACCTAGTTGCCTCTCAAAACGAATGAGGCTCCGACTCCTGCTCAGCGCCCTCGGCGCCGACGCCTTCAGTGCCTGCCGGCAAGTTACCAGATCGCAAGCCGTGAGTGCCCCCACCCCAACCTCCACTCACAATGCGAGGGGATCAAGGGGATCAGGATATGTTGAAGAGTTCACAAGTCAAGAGGACAATGAGGATGCCCAGCTGTCTGCAGTTGAAAGCCCGCAGTCCAACTTCTTCGAACTGCGCCGCAGACCCCATCTGCGACTGCCCCCCAGCAGCGGCCTTCGCCTTCGCTGTGTGCCACCTCTCCGCCAAAGCTGGGATCCTGGAAAGCGCGAGAGAAGGCAGCAGCTGCCGTAGGAGCAAGCAACAAGACATCAACCGTGCTTCTCAGTACAAGAGACCGCAGATATTTGCTTGCCCATGCCAGCAGAATACATGCACCTACAAGTGACACAGGTTCAGGAACCAGCCATCGCCGCTTGCCATCGGCCGTTTCGGGCTAAAGGACTCAGCAGTGCCCCGCTTCGCAACCAGTACTTGACCGTCAGCTTCCCAACCCATCCATCCCAACCATTGGTCCGACCATCCTCACCACCCTGCAACCCGAGATCAACCCCAAACCCAACCAACCCTAAGACAAGAGAAACCAACCCTGTAATGAGTCAACCTCAACCTACAGTCCTGAGCAGCCAACCGAAAAGGTTTGCTTAGAGTTGGTCGAGGAGGCTTGAGCATGGTTTGTCATAGCGTAGGTTTTGGGCTTGGGTCGCGCAAGATTGTTTTGGGTTGGATTTAGGGTTCACAGGCAAAACCTAACCCCAGCCCAAACCAAGCCCAAACTGACCCCAAACAAATCCTAGACCGAACAACCCAGTCCAAAACCAACTGGTAGCTATAAACGAAAACTGGACGGCCTGCTTTTTGGTATTTGAACCAAAGGTGGCAAAAGACCAGAAAACAACCAAAACACTCGGCGTCCTGGAAAAGCGATCTCCAGCGCTTGGTGCGCGCGCGGTTCGTCTTGGGACTGCACAAGTGCAGGGTCTGCTTGCACTAGAGGACAATGAGACTCTCTCTAACAGGACATGTATTGCTTGCCCTGCCTAACGCTTTGGAGTGACGATGACTGCTTGCCTCGGAAGAGGCAATCATCCCCTCATCCTTCTGGTTTCTGCGGATGGCTATGCACATGCACCGGATATGTGCCAGCATGCATCCATACATCCATACCCCTTCTCTGAGTGCCCGACTCTTTGTCCTGCTGATCTCGAAGTCCAAGAACCTGGGCGCGCCGCCGCGCCAGCGAACCGCCCCCGAGGAAACGCCTCTGAGCTCGAGGCAAAGGGACTGGACCATCAGCGAATTCTGGCGCGCACACGCGATCGCGCGCGCGCGGGGAGAACCATCCGACGAGTGCCAACCGTTTTGCCTGCCCACGGAGTCTGTCAAGGGACGCCCACCAAGAACGAGGGCAAAACTCCACGGAAGTCTTCAAATGTCCGGCGGGGCCGAACGATTGGCTTCTTGTCGACATCTTTCCGAATCCAACATGGACAAGTGGTTCCCCGCTTGTAAAATTTGAACGCCGAATTCCAGCAAAACACAAAACGGGACACACCCCATATTAATGGAAGAACACAAGCTGCCGGCTTTGCACCTCGAAGGGCACGCCGCTGGGCGCAGGTGAATGCCAGGCTCAGCAGGCTGTAAAGGGTCAGGACCTTGGAGCCAAACGCCGAAGGCGACAGGGCGGCCGCCTGTGCGGAACTTGGGTTACCATCCCCAAGTTCAAACCAGTCGGGTTCTAACAATGGCAGTTTGCAGGCGCGAGCCAATTGGCATGTCGGAGAAGTGATGCAATCGAGGGCTCTCTCCAAGCCTCCGGCACCGCGCCAAACCTGACTGTGACTTGGCTCTCAATTCCCAGACTCATGCCAAGCTGAAAGCCTGCTGGCGCTGCAAGTGGATGGAGTGAAAGCCAATCCAACCTGACATTTGCGGCAAGGCATCGGCGTGTTTCCCGACATCTGATCCGTGTCAAGTGGATCTTGTGCGGGCCAGTAAGCTGAGAGTGCGGAAATCATTGGTCAAAAATAGAAGCACCCGACCGTCCCATTCGTGTCTCTGGCCGAGCGGCAAATCGTGCCCAAGACCATGGTGCCTCCAGGGCGCTACCGGTGCCCTCACCAAACAAAACACGCAAGCCAAAACAAAAAAGGTGCCTCAAAAGCCTCGCTCAAATGGATTCCCTTCAGAATGTCCCCTTAGGATTGGCAAGGCAAGTTGGTCAAGGGATAACCTTGCGGCCAGTTGAATTTGAGTTCAAGTGCACTCGGATTACGGTCAATACTGATTCGAGTGCACTCGAGGTCACTGGCCCCCAGGGCGAAGGCAGAAAAAGGTGAAAGGCCGATCGATGCTGTCCCGCCTTGAATAGCATACAGACACACCAGCGGGCCCCACTCACGGGCAGCGGAATCTTTGCCCTGGCAGTGATCCGAAGCGCAAAAGGGTGTGTTTGGAGGCTACCCTTTTTAGGCTGGGACAAAGGGAAACCAAGAGGAAAACTGCCATACCCGAATAGACATGGCTCGACTGGAGAGTTCCAAGTACTGAAACAGATCGTCAAGTCAGAAGCCGCCTCCGCTGGGATAACGGAGCAATATGAAGCCCTGGCACGGGTGCACCGGCAGAGTCTACGATGTGGTGTCTCTGAATAGATTTATGAGCGGGCAAAGATGGCTCGACCGCCATGCTACATTGACACAGCAATGATTGAATGAGCGGGAAATCATGGGCCAGCTCCGGGTCATACAAATCCATTCCGCAGAAGCCCTTTGGACCAACGCCTCCGCGATTTCTGCGCACACCAAACCAAAAGCAGCACGCAGGTCACCTCTCGCGAGATCGACTTCGGCTCAACTTAAGCCATCCAACTGACCAAGGAGGTTCTTTCATATCTCGGGGACAAACTCTGCATCTGGGTCTGCAACCCCAGCAACAGGGAACTGAAAATGGGAAGGATACAGCCGACAATAAGGCCGCGGCCACTGCGAAGCCAGCACTTGCCAAGTAAGCGGCCAGCCTGCCGTGTCGGCGGGTGGCGCCCTTTGAACAACTTTGCGCTTCGGGTCTCGGAATCCCGCCTGTCCGGGTGCAGAAGCTCCTCTCCCTCGGAGATGGAGGCTGCAAACTCCACCATGAAGAGGAGGAGCCAACTGGCAATTGCGGCAAGAAAAGAAAGGCAACTGCCATTACTTGCCAGCGCCTGCCGAGGGAAAGTAGCAGCACCATGGAATGCAGCCTCCAATCTTGCAACGAGTGTCATGATGGGAAGTCGCAGGCAATGCTAGCAAAGCCCAAGTCTTTGCAGCCATTCGCTTCAACCTCTCCATTTTTCCGCCCACTGGGGGCCCAGCGACTGTGAAGTTTGTGGCGCATCACCTGGTCTGAAGGCGTCAGCAGACACGATTTCAGTGGGATTGGCAGCTTTTGGGCCGGGCGCAACCCAATGGATCATCACATGCCAATCCAAACAGCACCAAGGGTAGCCGCCTTTGTCTGCGGCATAAGCAGCCATCAGCTGGTCCAAATCTGCATTGTAGGTGCCCGGGAGCAACCAAGACAAAATGAGACCCCTTCCCGTGAGGTCAAAAAAGGTGCTTGGATACGCATCTACGCTGAAGAACTCAAGGTTGAGAACTCATGGCAGCAAAAGATGCAGATGAATGCCTTTCTGATTCTATCCTTGTTTAACTGCACTTGAGCTGGCCAGGCGGCATGCAAAATGATGACGTGAAGCAGAAGCGCTTCAGCACGATTCCCACCACACTTAGAACTTCCCCACCTGGTGACGCGTCTGTTTTCCAGCATGGACTTGGGCCCGTGGGCATTCCGGAAATCATGCCATAAACATAAGGGCGAAGTCAGGGACCGACCGACCCCAGGTCTTCCCAACCTCTGCCACAACCCGGACAAGCAGCTTGCTTGGCAAGCTCCGTACCCTCCGCCATTCACCCTGCCAGCCCCTCACGCGCCAAGCTCTTGCCAGGTGGTTCGCGCCTCATGCAACCCTGCTTGTGACCCTCAAATGGCCATGGCGAAGTCTTGGTGCAAGGTATCGCCCATTGCCTGTTCAGCTTATTGCCTACCGCGAATTGAGCACCCGGCAAGCTCCGCATCATCACCCGGACCCTGCAACAGACTCACCGTACGGGCTCGACACAACTCGCTCATGGTGTGAAACAACAAGGATCACGCCTTGCATTTCTTGAAGTGCTTGGCTTCCTCGTCGAAGAATCCGGGGCAGCTGTAGTTGCCTCAAATGCATAGCAATGTGCAGCGTGGAACAAAAAGCAAGCACAAAATGAGGAAGCAAAACCAGAATTGTGGGCTTGAGCATTTTGCGCTGCGCGTGAGCATACGTGCTCATGTGCAAGTGTGCGAGCGTCAGGTTGTACAGGGCAGGTCGCTTGCAATCTATATAGCACACCGTCTAAGGGCCTGCGGCTTAAAGCTCAGCCGAGTGTCCGGTGGCTTTGGAGAACCTGAGCTTGGACTTCTCGCACAAGGGGCACAGGGGCCTTGGCTGCAATCAAAAACACATGGCAAGGGCACGAGTTCATCTGACTCAGCCATTCTCAAACTCAGCCCCAAGTGGTAGGCTTGGCAAGGGGAAAGTGATGTGACCTGCCTGCCGCTTGTCCTTCGGGACGGCCGCAAAAACTGATGTTAAATTTGCCTACGATCCCGACTTGTATGCAAGCAAGCCCGTCACTGCTCATGGAACTCCCCACTTCATCTTGTGAAAGCAGGAAAGAAAGCTTCTAAAACTGCAAATGCGCAAGCTAGCATAAGAATCAGCATCTCCGACCCCTTCGAACTTCTCCGTCGCTCGGTTTGAGGCCCGGGCGGCACGCCCAGCGCCTTGGCCTCAGCCGCCCGGTCCAAGAGATCCTCCTTGCGGCCGCTCCTGGCGTCAGAATCCGTGAATCGACGGACTCGAGCTCCGAATATGCGCGGAGACAATAGGATTCCTCGCAAGGCGGAGACGACGGTTCTGCGGTTCTGCTGATCCACTGTATCCACCGTGCCAAAATCAAAAAAAAGCAGTGCTGATAATAGCTGGAAAGAGGCTTTGGCTCCCATAACCCCGTGTATCAGATCCAGGACCTAGCCTTTCGCGTGTGTCAGTGGACACTTTGGCATCCCAAAAAGCTCGCTGAGAAGCCGGCTTGGCCAGCCCGTTCTTGGCCAGCATCGCGCCTTTGAACACGTGGCCATGGGTCAAAATCCCGTACCCGCAGTGCACTCAGTGAACATCCCAATCCCCACTAAAATAGACTAAATGGGTGGTGCACCTACCCCAAAATGGAACCATGCTGTTGACCCACAGCCACATCACCGCCCGCGCCAGTGCTTCTCATCTAGTGCCGCCCAGCGGCCGAGTGCAGCCACGCTTTTCTTCGAGAGCTCTGCCTCGCACTCGCGACAAAGTGGCCAAAGCTTTCCTCGAAGGACGTTACAAACATTCGGGTCCCGGTCCAAAATGCTGGTGTTTGCAGGTTGTGGTTCCCCTTGTCCTCCCCACCAGTAGACTACCAACTACCAATGCTGTTCCTAGTGAGTCCCAAAACTCTATAGCAGCTCTTGGGAAACGGCCACCTACCCGTGCCTTCGTGCTCTCAATGGCCTTCTGCTGATCTGCACTCAGGACAGAGGGGCCATCCTGAGAACACTTGACTACCGCACTTGGTCGAATTGGTGACGGAAGTGTGTGGCCAGTGTGCTCATCCGCTCTCCTACATCCGGACGCAAAGAGCAAGAGACTCCACAGGGACACTTCGCCAGAAGCCGTTCCCAGAAACAAAGGAGCCGTTGGGTGGTTCCTAGCGAGAGGAAACAGGATCAAACAGAAGCTCTGCAGCCAAAGAATTGAAGACCCCAAGGAAGTCCAGGAGCACAAATCGAACTGCGTGACGGACTAGTACTGGAGCTTGATAGCTACTTGGTTTGGTGCTGCGGACATGACCACGCTGGTTTTTACACCAGCAATCTTTCGCACGGAGATTGGTAGAGCTGTTGGCACATCCTACCATGCATCGTGCAGCTGAGCTGCCGCCCCCCCCCTTTCTGCAAAAAGAAGAGCCAGAAGCAACAGATCGCTGAGCGGGTATCACACATCTTGGGATTAGCACGCGCACACGCTGTCAAAAAGGCATAAGGCGCAAGCCTCTTTGGCGAAGAATTTGGACTTTTTTGTCGACCTGCCAGTGGTTTCACACATTGCATGTGTCACAAGTATACCATTCAAATCTGAAAGCTGATCCCCACCGTCAAGATTCCATTCGATGGGCACGTAAACTGAGGCATAGGCTTGTTTGTCTCTCCCTCCGCTTTGCGCTTGGTGCCCTGCAGTTTTCAGATTGTACATCAGGCAAATACAAGCTTCCACAACTGGGGCTAAAGAAAGACGTCCCAAGCAGTCTGCAAGCACCGTCCTTGGCTGGCGTCTTCTCTGCCTCTTCTTCATTTCTGCAAGCTTTGACAAGCATCTTGACCTGGTCAGCCATAAGCACTTTCAAGGAGCTGCAAATCCGTCTGTGATCCTGTTTGAAGACACCCACCAAGTGTTCACCACATTCATGCAACCCTGATTTGATCTCCCTCGAGGCCTTCTCCTGGTCTTCTTCCTTGAGAGTCTCATATCCGCTGATGGCTTCAGCATCTTCTGGAAGGTGCTGACGGAACCAAGCTGATCTTTTGATCTTCGGAAAGCAGCCTGCAATGCGCAGCCAAGGGAAGGAGTGAGTCTGTGCCAAATTCCAGGACACCTTTTGGTGGCCACGGGCCGCCCCAAAGCCTGGACCTCTCAGCCCCTCAGTCAGGTTCCATTTTGACAGACAGGAGGGTATCATGCAAACTTCAGCCACGCGCCACCCCCCACCGATGGGTGCGGTCAGCAGTGCCGGCCAAGTCCCGTGCCTTCATGGTGCCACTTCGCGGACTCCATGGCATGAGCCTTCTTCCGCGTGTCGGCATCGGCATCGGCGGAGACGTCCGGGACGTTTTTCAGGCCGACGCGGATGGCATCCTTCTCCTTGGAGTCGCGGCACCGGGCTGAACAGTTGAGGGAATCCGAGGGGCTGAAAGGAGAGCAAGCGAGAAAACAGAAAAAAGAGAGAGAGAGAGAGAGAGAGAGACTCTGAGAGAGCATCGAAAATGTTGGAAGGTGTTCACATCTAGAGCTGCTACATTCTGCGAAGAGGCTATCTTCTCTTTGCACTGCTTGCAGGCAGAGCGAGCGCTCTTGGCATACTCCAGCTCAAAGCTAAATGACGGCATCTTCAAAGCCTGACCTACAACTCCTGGCCTGAGTGAAATGGCTTCGATCCACGCAAATACCACAACGTCCGTCCAAGAAGGCCTTCTGTGCATCCAAAGGCCGTTTCTCACATCGAACTTGCACCTCCAGAAGTCTAAAGGTAGCAAAAGGCCGGCAGCCGGCGGCAAAACGAACAGGCCTCCTGTTTGCCTTGGTGACACCCGCTACATTTCTCTGACCAGATCCTGGCTCAGAAGCAGCCACAGCACTTCCTCAGAAGCAAATACAAATGCTTCTCAAAGCAAGCAATCGCTGAGCCATTTTGCTGCCAAGAAGCTTCTTGTTTTTCTTGGAGCGCTTCTTCGAGGCTTTGCCCTCCGGAAATCAGGGGAACACTCCAAGCTCATGTTGGTTTCGCCCGGGCCCAAGCTGCACCGTGTTCTCAAGCACACTCTGCCTCTGGAGCAGCGCCGGCCTTCTCAAACGGCGGTTGGCCTCAAGCGGCACTGCGAGCGGCACCGAGACAAAGAAAATTGAAATGTGGTGCTGGGCAATATGAGAAATGCCGAAGCAGTGCGAGTAGTGTCGCAAAATGCAAAGGACAAAATGCTTGAAAAAGCAAACAAGCCTTTTCTGAGCTGGCAGCCAGGAGGAATGTTCTGGAAGGCCTCAGGAAAACTGGAACATGCAACGGGGGATGATTCTGGGATTCCCTGGCTGTGCTCTCATTGGCGGCCAGCATTCTTGCCAACAAATGATCCTTGGCAATATCCCTGCGCTCCGAAGGACTATCTTCACTGCCGATCTTGCATGCGAGTCTCAGGGCTCGTCTCCTCTCTCACTCCTTCTCCATGCGAAAATATGCGCTCTCTTCAAGGGGTGGTTATCTTCCGGTTTCTAGTTCCTAGCCTCAGAAAGGTGCTGGGTTCCGCGTGGCAAGGCGACACTTGGCACCTTGGCCGCCCCGCCGGCTGCATGGGCACGGCAGCGGCTGCTGCCGGCCTGAACTTCGGGGAGGTTGCGCTCACATGGTTCTGGGTCAAACCAAGGGGATCCCATTTTGGTTGGCTGCACCACCCATTCTAGAACCTATTTTAGTGGGGATTGGGATGTTCGCTGGGGGTACGGGCTTTTGGCCCATGGCCACATATTCAAGTACTCAGCTCGGCTTAGCGGAGGCCAGCTGCTGAAACTTTCGGCTCGCAAGTGCGCCGGAGAGGCGAAACCTGAGCGCCCCGAGGGACGCTGACTGCCACTGGGGATGCCATCCTCGCCTTGGGACTCTCAGGACGGCACCTCTGTTGCCAATAGTTTGTGATCTCCATAGCAATCTGTGCAGCTGGCTGAGAGGCGCGCGCTTCCCGCAGTCTGTGCCATCGATGCGTTCGCAGGTGATGGCACAAACTGGGCACAAGGTCCGGTTTCTCCCTGGCGGCCAACTTTATACCGAACATAGGTCCCAACCTCTCTCCCAAAAACCCGGAAAATCAGGGAGGAGCCGGGAGGATTTGGGGGGACCCAGGCACCGGGCACCGGGGGACCGGGGCCAGCGCCACCCCAGAGCTCGACCCGGGTGGCACGGACACCAGCGCCGGCGGCGAGCCAGCGGCGGGGGATGGGACGAACTCGGCACCGCATGGATTTCAAACACGAGATCTCCACTTCCACACCTCTCTTCCGGAAAGGGCCACCCCAAAACTCCAGCAGAGTCTTCCTTTAAAGATCAAGAGGTCCACAGGGGCTGTTCCATGCCCTCAACAAATTCTTCCCCTTTGGCCCCCCGCTCCAGAGCTGGACATTGGCATAGACGGCACTCCGGCCACACCCATTGGCTGCGGCATCGGCTGGGCAGGCTGCACGGTCATTACCGGCCCCGGCGCCTGGTCATCAAACTCATTGGGGTACCAACAGAAGTGACCAAAAAACGACGTAGACATTTACAAAAAGGAAGTCGTGGTCGTTGATCTTCAGTGGCCTCCAAAGTTATTGTAGATGTTGCGCTTTCATTGTGACAAGCTGCGGTGCCTGGCTGCCAATACTCTGCAACCACGGTGGGGCCTCAGCGAATCCAGGAACAAACCTTGTGCCGCAGCACGTGAAGCATCACAAGAAAGAGCACGGAGAGAGAGAGAGAGAGAGCGAGAGAAAGGGAAAAGCGAGAAAGAGAGAGAGAGAGAGAGAGAGAGAGAGAGCGAGAGAAAGGGAAAAGCGAGAAAGAGAAAGAGAGAAAGAGAGAGAGAGAGAGAAAGAGAAAGGGAAAAAGCGAGAAAGAGAAAGAGAGAAAGAGAGAAAGAGAGAAACAGAGAAAGAGAGAAAGAGAGAAAGAGAGAAAGAGAGAAAGAGAGAAAGAGACAAAAACAGAGAGAAAGAGAGAAAGAGAGAAAGAGAGAAAGAGAGAAAGAGAGAAAGAGAGAAAGAGAGGAAGAGAGGAAGAGAGAAAGAGAGAAAGAGAGAAAGAGAGGAAGAGAGGAAGAGAGAAAGAGAGAAAGAGAGAGCGAGAGAGAGCGAGAGAAAGGGAAAAAGCGAGAAAGAGAAAAAGCGAGAAAGAGAGAAAAAGAGAAAGAGAGAAAGAGAGAAAGAGAGAAAGAGAGAAAGAGAGGAAGAGAGGAAGAGAGAAAGAGAGAAAGAGAGAAAGAGAGAAAGAGAGAAAGAGAGAAGAGAGAGAAAGAGAGAAAGAGAGAAAGAGAGAGAGAAAGAGAGAAAGAGAGGAGAAGAGAGAAAGAGAGAAGAGAGAAAGAGAGAAAGAGAGAAAGAGAGAAAGAGAGAAAGAGAGAAGAGAGAAAGAGAGAAAGAGAGAAAGAGAGAAAGAGAGAAAGAGAGAAAGAGAGAAAGAGAGAAAGAGAGAAAGAGAGAAAGAGAGAGAAAGAGAGAAAGAGAGAAAGAGAGAAAGAGAGAAAGAGAGAAAGAGAGAAAGAGAGAGAGAAAGAGAGAAAGAGAGAAAGAGAGAAAGAGAGAAAGAGAGAAAGAGAGAAAGAGAGAAAGAGAGAAAGAGAGAAAGAGAGAAAGAGAGAAAGAGAGAAAGAGAGAAAGAGAGAAAGAGAGAAAGAGAGAAAGAGAGAAAGAGAGAAAGAGAGAAAGAGAGAAAGAGAGAAAGAGAGAAAGAGAGAAAGAGAGAAAGAGAGAAAGAGAGAAAGAGAGAAAGAGAGAAAGAGAGAAAGAGAGAAAGAGAGAAAGAGAGAAGGAGAGAAGGAGAGAAAGAACAAACGAAAAAAGGAAGGAAGCAAGCAAGGAAGGAAGGAAGGAAGGAAGGAAAGAAAGAAGAGAACAAAGAAAGAAGAAAGGAAAAATGAACAAAGGCATGAAAAAAGAACAACAAACTGGCAGAGAGGAAGAGTGACTGGGACGCAAAGGGATAAATATGCGTGTAAGAAGTGCATATAGAGAGAGAGAGAGAAGGAGAATCCACCTGCCCACCTCTTATACTGGATCAAGGACTTGGAGCTTTGTTCGTGTCAAGGGGATTGGACCTGGAGTGCCTCTTCATGCTTGCTCTGCAATGTGCGTCTTTAGTCTTGTATCTCCAAACTGTAGCAGCCTTCAGAAAATAAATGCCTCGACCCCAGGCCTAAGTTTCAAGCTGTGAATGCGTGTTGTGTGTGCACGAATGGAAGCTTCAGACCTCCAAACTGCATCTCGTGTCTCCAAGGTCCAAGAAACATGCAGTAGGAAAAACCTGCATAGTTCAAAGAAGCTCTGTCCACTTTCTTGTGCAGTTCTCTCCAAGTCTTTTCCATTTGCGCTTTCCACCACTTTTAAGAACAAAACCTTGATGTGGTTGCTCACTTGCTTCCACAAGCAGCACCTTGGAAATCTCAGCATGCCTCAATGTCGATTGCTGAGAAACTCGCAGCACAAGAGCTATCCACAGCATAAAACGGAAAGCGACACTAGGCTGCAATAGTAATTTGAGCCGTTCTTCAACCCGTGCACCCTGTTTGCCATTGTGCATGTTTTACAGATCTGCTATGCTCAAGAGACAATGCAGTTTGGTTTTGAAGTCCGGCTAAAAGCCCAAATCCCCTGGCGTTTGGTCAAAGTTTATTTGAAAAGAAACTGTGTGTCTGTTGTCCCTGCGTGTGTTGAGGAGTTTCTTGCATTCAATTGGCACCCTCAGCGTCATCAGCATCCCCAGCATCTGCGGCCTCCCCACACCGGCATCCACCCTGAACCCAACCCTAAACCAGACCAAAAATGGACAGAGAAAGAGAATGAAGAAAAGGAAAAAGAAGGGGAAAAGCGGACAGAGAAAGAGCATGAAGAAAAGAGAAAGAGAAAGAGAGAAAGAGAAATGAGCAAGGGAAAAGAATAGAATGAGAAAGAGAAACAGAAAGAACAAGAGAAAGAGAAACAAAAACAGAAAGAGAAAGAAACAAAAACAGAAAGAGAAGCAGAAACAAACACGAAAAGAAAGGAAAAGGGAAAGGGAAAGGAAATGGAGGGCAATAAAGAAGGAAGGAAGACTGAAAAACTGAAACAAAGCAAGATAGAAAAGAAAGAAAAGAAACGAAAAACACAGGAAAAACACAAATTATACGGAGAATAGAATCCTTAGAAAACAACCAACCAAGCAAGCAAGCAAGCTGGTAGGCAAGCATGGATGGATGGATTGATGAATGGAATCAAAACAAGGAGCTCCGATCTCATATCCTGGCACTAGGAAAGACCAAGTTGTTGCCATGTTCCACATGTGCATGTCCCATTCCGAGGGTTTCTTCACACATTCATTTCCGCAGCTTGAGCTCCTCGCTGGAAGCGATGTCGAAACTGGGCCTCACGGGGTCTCTCTGGCCCTCTCTCTCTCTCTCTCTCTCTCTCTCCCATGAGGATTCACCAAACAAGCGATCCGCAAAACGAACCTTTCGTCTTTGCAACTCCAGCCCACGCATCGATGTCCAATCGGCGAGCCTGTTCCACTGACAGTGACCATGGTCGGAGAAGCTGCAGCCACTGGCGACCTGCAACAAGTCATGGCGTTGTAGGAATCAGGCGAGCTGCAAATTAGCAAGGCCCCTCCCGTCCGAACAAACAAAACTCACAGACCGCACCCGCCCCCTTGATTTCTTGTCCACTGCTTGGCATGCGACCGGCCTGGCATATCCTCTGTAGGGCCCACACCTCAATTTGTGACATTCCGACAGCACAAGGCGCCCGGAGACTGAGAAGGTGACAGTCGGTCTGTGTCACACAGAACCGCACCTGGACCCCGGTAAACAAAAGCACGTTTCAAGTCCATGAGCAATGCGTGCCATGTTCGTCGATGGCCAGAACTACAGGGCTCGCCTTGCTTCCAAAAGAGCATTGTGCATGGTCCGTCCGCCTTGTTAAACATCAACGACTGTTTGGGGGGGCCATGCAGGTGTCGGCCTGGCAAATCCATGGAGGCATCTTTCAGACCCGCCTTGCAGACCTTGCCAAACCTTGCAGCGCGTGCCCACATGCATGTAAAGGTTGTGAGAAGTACCGAACACTACGACACTACGTCGCTACGTTCACACGTGCATCCTATGTGTCCAAGTCACAAAACGAAAATGACACGATGCCTCCTTGATTTGAGGTCATCCGCCACATTGAACCACGTCTTAAACAGGCACCACAACGGATGCTGATATAGTCCCATCCTTCTCAAGCTGCAAAACTGGTGGAGATCGCTGGCCTGGTACACTGGACCCGACGATGCAGCTGTCGGGGCAGCTGGCTGGGCCACGGTCGTGGTCGTCACAGCCGGCATCGCGGGCAACGTCATTGCTGGCTCGGCCCTCAGATGGCAAAGCGCATCTTCGTCAGCGATCCCTTGAAACAGGTGAAGCCAAAACTCATCAACCGCTCCCGGCAGGCAAGCTGCTGACAATATGTTCTGGCTGGCAGGCTTGCTGAGCTCGCGGCGCCATCTGTCAGCACCCGGATTGGCGCGACTGGTGGTGCTGACAACCAAAAGCTGACATTCGATCATGCAAGCAAACAGCACCTGATGACAAGTTGTTCAAGCTTAGCCTCGGTTGGTGGTTTCCGTTGTCTGCAGACTTGGCCGATTGTATTGTCTCGTTGTTCAGCAATGCCTGCCCTCTCATAAATTCCAAAAATAGTTTACCACCCACTAAGCTTGGCACCTACAATCCGCACACCCAGGAGCACAACCACTCGCTCAGCCACTTGGGAGCCATCCACTAACTACCCACCAACCACCCACAAACCACCCACAAACCACCGACTAACCGCCCAGTAAACGCCAAACGCCCACTACCCGACGTCCAACCATAGCCACAACAACTCAGCCATTAGCCAGCCGCTTCCCACTCACAATCTACCGATTAACAGCCCACGCACCGCGTGCTAAAAGCCTGCCACCAACCATCAACCCACTAAAGCAGCCACTAACCGCCAACTAACAACCCACTCACCGCCAACCAACCACCAACTCCCACAAACCACTTGCTGGCCAAACCCAAAAACTCTACTCGACAACAAACCAAACCCCGCCTCCACGAAACCGCCTGCCACCCGCCGGCCATTGAGCAGCGCAAACAGTGGATCCAGACCCCAAAACCCCGCAAGCGTCCCAGTGGACCACAACAAAAACATGTCAGCATCATATTTCTCATTAACAAGATTAGCATAAAGCTGTCTGTCACTTTCAAGTATGATCTAACCACACTGTGTTTCGTAGACAACACACGCGTATGCCTTTTTGCACCAACGCAAAAACACATCAACTTGAGTTGATCTCAGCAAACATGCATCCATCGAGGAAGTGCCAATGGGAGAACTTGCCAAGAAGTTCACCAAACAATCAATTCCAAACGTCAAAACCGCCCGACTACACTGAACACATCAGTGATCAAAAGTCTGCACAAAGGCAAGTGTCCCATAACAGAAGCAAGAAAGAGAAGAAACAAATCCATCAGCAGCCACGCACAGCACCAGCCTCATACGTCAGCACGCGGCCACTACCTTTGTTTTACTTCCCCAGGCGCTTGGCTTTCTGTCGCATGGCTGCTCCAACCAGCAAATGGGCTGACTGTCAGACAAGACACTTCGTGCTTTCTTTTGGCTTGTGGAACTTGTTTGTTTTTGTTTGCTTTGCACAGGATGAACCGTCCTGACAAACAGTGGCAAGGTGCAACAAAATACACGCTGGAAGGCCAATGTTACCAAGAAGCAACAAAAATATTCCTTTGCGCAGGGCCAACGAAAACACCGAGGAAACTTGAACAACAAGACCAAACAAAAAGCAGCAACAGTGTAAACAAACAAACAAAAAACGGAGGGAAGCTGTAACTTGGCTCCGCAACACTTTCTGGAATTTCCGGCTAGAGCCAAGCACCCGGTGCCCCAAGGAACAGCCACCAAGAAGGAAGCCCCGGAGTAGTTTTTCTTGCAGTTGTGCCTGCCGTTAACTTTAAGAGCAGCCGCACCCAGCATTGAGCGTACAAACTGCCAACGTGGAAAATGTTCCCTGCAAACAAGCCAGTTGAAATATTTACAGCAAGAGTGGATGCAAGCAAAGGCAATGCGATGGAGGAGGACCCACTGCTGGGCCTTGAACCTTTAACAGCTCTGCCAACAGCAAGGTTTTGTAACATTGGGGTAATGCCTCTTCCCCTTTAGAAAATACATGCGGTGTGTGGACGTACAGAGAAAGAGACATCTTTCATTCTGTCCTTCACGGAAAAGCTGTAGCAGAGCACCTACTGGTGCTACCACACCGTCTGTTTGTGAAGCAGTTTTGTTTGATCCGCGGCCGTTGCGATATCGCCAGTCCGCTGCTATAGTGCAAAGATGAGGAAAGACAGAAACGGTGTCGAAGATAAACCCAAGACCACCAACACAAACAAAACACGCAACAAACAAACACAACACCCACAAGGATCTTCGACACAAGGGGGCATGAAGCCGCCCGTCACCGACAGGAAAGCCAGTGGCGAAAAGTTGAAAAATAAGGGCACCGATCCGGAGACCAAGGTCTCAACGAATCAGGAAACCCCACGTCCGCTTAGTGGCACCACTTGTCAGGTTCGGAAACAGAAGTCTCAACAAACCCGCAGAAAAGAGACTCAAGGCAGCCAAAACCAGACGACTGGTCAGGAAACAGGAGTCTCAACTGACCAATCATCGATTGGGAGAAGAGCCGAAGCAACTCAAACGAAGGCTGAATTCGAGTGAAACAACGCCCAACATACTACCCCGCGCAAGCTACGGAAAAGAAGATCCACGAAATGTCAAAGCAAGTCCCAAGCGCACCAGCTCATCTCCTCACCCAGCTGCCCAAACTCGCCGAAGCCGCCAAGGCTCCAGAAAAGATGAAGTTCGGGAGCAACCCCGCAGTACGCCAGAGCACCAATCAAGAATACCAAAAACCCGCTGCAACACGACAAGCAACAATAACAAGGCCGCGTATACGGCGAAGCCACCAAAAACATCGAGCCATCGGGAGCGACTCTTCCGTGCACCAATACCACACTGACACCAGAAATCCAGAAGTCATTAAAAGCCAAAAGCGGCGCAGTGCATGCACAATTTATAAAAGCTGCACATGGAAAGCAGGGCGAAAGGATTAGCACAAAGCCGCTCGAGGGTTCCCTGTGGGAACGCTGCCACCGCAAAACATAGGATGCAAAGAACAATCGAAGGCATCCAACGCGCCGCATCGTAGTCGCATGACTACCAGCGTCGAAGGGCCATACAATACTCTAATCATGAAAAATGCAGGAAAGCGGCACCAAATGAGAATCGCCGCCGCGACGAAGACGCCATAGCAACAAGCCAAGTGAGTGGCAAATAAGGAATGGCAGAGCCCAGGAGAAATACCAAAATAGAGTTAAGGCATGTTGCACTGCTCCTAGCCTGAACCCAAACATGAACCCCCAAAAGAACAAAGCAAGTCCGAAGCGGCCGCAGTTCTTTTTACCGGGATTGCTGAAAGTAGCACTGCTTCCAGGGCACTGGTGCGCCTGGAACAGGAGGTGCGTGGCATGCGTGCCCGCGCCCAAGGTCCGGAGACTGAATGGTCCGGAGACCAGAGTTGGTCCGGAGACCTGGTCCGGAGACCAAGAGGTTAGAATCTTGATCACTGCTTCAAGCCTACAGGGACATGCAGGGAAAAAAGCATCCGACCGAAGCAAACTCGACACGCGCTTTTTTACTTGAGCGTTGCTTAGAAGTGCAGGCTCTGAGATGCAGGTGGAGTGACGATGCGCGTCCACTCCATCTTCCTGCATCTCATGCGGAGCCTGTCGGAATGCCCCCTGTGGTCAACATTGCGTGTTCGACCATCACACAGGGCGTTTTACCCATGGGGTGTGAGACAAATAGGAGGTATTTTGCACATCGGTATGCAATGCGTGCATAGGTGTGCATGGGAGGAATGCGTCCTCCTGAAGGGGACCAGGCTGGTCCGACAGAATGCCGATGGCATTCAGCGATGTGCGACTGCGTGCACAGCATGGGTTCAAACTGGTGTGGCCAACGAGGAATGCGTCCTCACTGCATAGGCTTAAACTGGTCCTGCGGGATCAGTAAGCCGACAACATGCTTGATGCTGGAAAGCTTGCCGACAACGCGTGTTCAGCAATCAGCTATCAGGCCTCTTTGCACAGGCTAAACGGGTCCTGCGGGATGCAGTAAGCCGACAAAATGTTGGAAGCAGGAAAGCTTGCAACCATGCGTGTTCAGCAACCCAGCAATCAGGCCTTGTGGGAGGGTGGGTTCAAAAAGAACGAAAGAGGGGTCAGACCCTCAAGGCATGTCCCTTACTAAAGGGCTTGAAGCAGAAACAGCCACGCGGCCGAAGATTCAACCAAGATTAAAACACAGGGGAAAAGAAAAACCCCTAGCGTTAGAATCTTGATCACTGCTTCAAGCCTACAGGGACATGCAGGGAAAAAAGCATCCGACCGAAGCAAACTCGACACGCGCTTTTTTACTTGAGCGTTGCTTAGAAGTGCAGGCTCTGAGATGCAGGTGGAGTGACGATGCGCGTCCACTCCATCTTCCTGCATCTCATGCGGAGCCTGTCGGAATGCCCCCACTTTAGGGTTCTAAGCAAACGGTCAAATCACCTCACCCCCTCTTTAGTGCGTTTGCGACGCAATCACGTGCTCGGGTCTCCACGGTGCGTCCGCAGGGTGAAGCGTGAGAGCTGATGCGTGAGGCCAGAAATCATGCGGCCTGAAGCGCACTCTGGCATGCGGCCGACTCTGGAAAGCGGAGGTATTACCTCTGCTGAGTTGGTCCGCCCAGATGTTGTGCTCTCCTGGGATGTGTGACGCGATCACGGACCATTTGTGTTTATGGGCCCAGGCGGCTACAAGTTGCACAAAGACTTGCAAGGGCCATGCTGTGGTGAACAGTTTATTAACGCCTGCCTCGGAGGCCGTGTTATCTGTCCCTGTGGGCATGCAAATGCCACGCACGCTTTGTCCCTCGCAGGACCATGCGATACGCATGAGTGCTAGTTGAGCCAAGGTTTCGAAGCATGCGATGTAGCGCTGGGCTTCTTTGGTGAGGCACGGCCACTGCTCTTGGACTTCCTGGAATTGCCAAGTTTCTGCGAACCAAGAAACGGAGCTGCTGGTGATGAACCAACCCCCTATGCCCACGACACTGCCCTCGGCGCAGGCATCTGCGGCTGCTTTGCATGCCAGCATTGGCTTGCTTCTCAGCGGGCATGCGAGGTCTAAGTGGAAGCATTGCAGCAACCATTCTACGCCATGTTTGCTCATCTTGGACAGGCGAGTGTGCTCTGCGGATGCGTCCGCGACGCGCACCCAGGCGGATTTGTGACTAGGCACAACGCGAGGCAGGTCAGCTGGCGTGCGAATGCATGCCCCTTGGAACTCGAGAACTTTAGAGCCTGGTGGCATGAAGATGCCGTGCACTGCTGACCTGAGCA